TAGCAGTCTGAACATGTCCACGTATCCTTCAATGACTCATCAAACATAACAGATGGAAATTTGTCTGTCTTGTTTCAAACTCTTTCTTGTTTATAACTCCAATGACCTCATTTTTCTGTATCATTACAGATATGAAAATGGATAAACACCACTGTAAAATGCTCCAAAAACGCTTCAGCAGATTGTGAATGGGCTATTCAAGTGGTGAAAGAGAGAGTAGATTTCAATGAGGCTGGTTGTTTTCATTTTAAGCAGAAAACATAATTAAGCAACCATCGTGCCCCACTTCACATCATAGTTTGTGTTGTTTGGTTTGTTAAAGCTCCTGTGAAGAGTTTTTTGCTGGTTATGGAATAAATTCCGATGTCTCTCCATAAGCAGCAAAAGAAAACAATTGGCAACAAGACTGACACTATGGTAATTGTTCATGCTTGTAAATGCTGTCAGAAGACTTAATTTACAGAATGAATACACATTTTTGAAAACAGTTCTTGACATCCTTGTGAAGATAGCAGAATAGATTATTTTAGTGGAAAACAAAACTTGCTATGATTGAGACTCCAGAAACATCATGAGACTCCATTACACTGTGCGTATAAATATTTTAGCTGATCACATCAATCATGAACAGAAGTTCACACAGCAAAGGTTTGAGGGCTCAAGAGTTCACCCTCTTGTGTTTGATAACTTGTAAAATCACAATGTTTCTTCTTCAGCCTTTGCAGCTTGATCAGGTGCCAGTATAGCCTTTGTAGTAAAAAAAAATATTCAACAAGGTTTAAATTACTCTCAGAAAATACAGGAAACCTGTGTTACACGTAAAAAGCACTAGGTTAATACCAGTTATCAGTCTTAGATTGTGTTTCAAATCTGCCATACTCTCCTTCTGAACGGTGCAATCTAATACCTTTGAACATTATCTCATCTCATTTTTTGGGGGTTTATCTAAAACATTGTCATTATAAGATAAACAACAGCAAGAATAGACATTCTTTAACTTCAGGTGATGAAAAAGAATGAAGTCTGATGTCAGACTGAGGGCTCCAAAAATGATTGTGAAAAATGTCACGCTGTTCTCATCCTCTGCTCTGCTCAGAGTAATTTACTTTGCAAACACAGTTTAAGTGGTGGTTACTCAGCGTCAAGAACATGAAGATGTTTGGAGAATTGTCAATATATCCACAATATTAAAGATAGCAAGGATGTTGATTATTAATGTGAAGAAATTATAAATCATACACATGCGCACTGACTTTATGTTTCCAGTAAGTATTGCATTTAGTTGTGTTTAGATACTTGAAAATTTTGGACAAATACACAAAGAACCCAATGTTTGCAGTCACATCTTTAAGAATAAAGCGAAAAGAAAATGAAAAGCATCCCCTATGTCTGTGTTTGACCTGTTGCTTCAACTTCAACCCAGTGTAGCGTAATATAGAAGAAACAAGATGCTGGTTTTCTTGACACTCCAGGCCTTACGAGGACTGTTCAGTTTGTATCTCATGATATCGCCCCATAAATTTGCATTAAAATCTTTCCAGCGTGAATAAAACTTGGTGTGGGAGTAGCAACAAAGTCACGTTAACAGTCATATGCTTATGTTGCCTCTGTTTTTTTGTATTAAGGCTGTGACTGCACAACTATTTAACAAATGTATGAAAGTCCTTGAAAAGGAAGAAACAAAGGGAGTTGCAGAGGGGTGGACTGTTTTTTCTTTGTTGTTTGTTATATTTGGATCCACAGAGTGAAGTTTTGTACAATGGGTCAGCCTTACAGACAGAAAAACAGAGTAATCTAGCAACAAGATTATAAAAGCATGGATACCTTCTTCCAGTTTTTTTCTCAGATAAAATTTATTTAAATTTGGCTAAGGATCTGTGCTGATAAAAACTGGGCTCGTACCCCAACCAATTACTTCTGTAAAAGAAAGCTTCATAGAGAATGCCAAGATTTTTTTACCATCTTAGGACAAATTTAAAAGCAGCAGCCAAAACTTATTGCATTAGGCTGCTTCTGAGGGTTTTTTCATTATGTTATACGAAGTTCCCCATGGTCCATCAAATGGTATCCATTCATTATGTTGATTACTGAAGGACTGGAGCCTATCTCAGCTGTTATTGGGCTATAGGAGTACACCTGGGAGAGGTCGCTGTCTATCACAGAGCTGACATATGGAGACAGACAACCATTCACACTTACATTCACAGGCAATTTGTACCAAAATGTGTCCTGATAAGCATGTTTGCAGGTATTGGGTTAGGAGAGGGTAAAGGGGGTTGGAGAGGGGAAGGGTCCTCTTTTTATTGGGCAAATCAGAGTGCTCCTTACAGTAGACCTATCAGAGGGCTCCTTTCATTGGTAGAAAAAGAGTGCTCAGTTCTGCCAATCAAGGGGTTCCAATCATTAAGCCAATCAGAGGGCTCTATGCATTCCGAAAATCAGAGGATTCTACTCATCAGGCCAATCAGTGGACTGCTTTCACTGGACCAATAAGCAGGTTCCTTTCACTCTGCCAATCAGAGAGCTAATGAGCGTGCTCTTTTCATTGAACCAATCTGAGGCCTCCTTTCATCAGGTCAATCGGAGTATTACCGCCATTGGGCCAATGAGAGGGCTCCCTTCACTGGACCAAAGATGTTTGTGTTAGGCAAATCACAGAGCTTTTTAGTTGGGCCAACCAGATGGCTACCTTCATTTCGTAAATCTGAAGGCTACTTTCTGTTGTCCCATCCAAAATCCAATCTCCTTTTAATGTGTCGATCAGAATGATGCTTTCAGTTGGTATACCAGAGAGCTCCTTTCAATCACCTGATCGAAATGTTAATCACTTTCAATAAACTAGAAAAGGCTAAACAATTAGACAGATTAAAGACCTTAAAAGCAAGAAAACTGACAGGCAGCTGAGTGGTGTAAGGTTCGTGTCTCACAGTCTGAGAGATCTGTGTTCAAATCCAGATTTGGACCCAACTGTCTGGGATTAGGAAAATGCTCTGTAGATTGAAAATGGAAGGAAACTGGAGTACTCAGAGAAAACACACACATTTGGGGAAAACATGCAAATTTCATCTATAAAGGCTCCAGTCTGGTCAGGAATTCAAACCAGGAACCATTTCACTGTGAGGTACCACTAACAATATCATCATGCTTCATATTAACAAGAAAGATTGATTGAGTGTTCAATAAGCTGATGCTGTCATGTGATGAAGGTACTTTATAGTCAGGCTACATGTCACCAGCACTGCAACATTGTTTTTCCAAAGAAAAAACAAAGAGAAGGTGTGTTTGATGAAAGGGTCAGAACTGTTTACACAGTCTTTGCATCATGTTGATTATAAAATAACAGCTTACATTCAACATGAACTCTTGACAAGTACAGTACTTATGTTTATATTGTTCAAGGAGCAGCTGTGGCCTGACACTGCATTAGCCCATATAAATAAAGCACTTAATGGGAGACTGCAAGCAGACCCTGTTAAGAGAAGGAGGACATTATAAATACTGATCATATCAACAACAGGAACAACAAATATGGGCATTGCTGGATCTTGGTCAGCTATTGTAAAATTGCTGTATAACCTGCAGCTGTAAACTCATTGTAAACCCATTTACAATCCCTCGCTATATACACTTTCATTTTCTTGGTAGGCAACTAGCTTTACACTGCTGCTTCTTCAAAATATGAAACGCCCTTTTCTCCTCCCCAGACTTAATATCTTTCCTGTAAGCTTGCTCCTGTCTTGGATTCCTCCCAGGAAGAAAAGGAAAAGCATCTGACTCACTCCTAACAGAACATGATATTTTTCAAAGCTGAGAAATGACTGAATATCAACAGACTGGTGGCATAAACCCAAGGTAAACCAGTAAGACACACATTGGCGTGGGTGGACTTGTTGCCCTTAGACAGCTGGTGAGCGGTATAACTGAGAGGAGGGATCTTAAGGTGTGAAACAAAGTGCAATAGTGTCCAAAAGACTCCTAAAACTGTAGGGACTCTGTCTTCCCTTGACACTTTTGTATTACCTGAGTAAACCTGCTGACACTCAGTAATACTGTCTGAGTCGATGACAACAGACTCTTTTAATGGAAAAATAGCAGGGTAGTGTTGTGTCGTTCGTGACCGATTTCTTAAAAAGAACTGAATCTTTTAAGTGAACGTACTGAACTGAATCACTTCCTTAAGTGATTCGTTCGTTTCTCACTTCAGTTGAGCTGTAAGCAGGGCAGATGCTATAGCACGCAGCATTGCCAGGCGAGCAGCCGGTGAACGAGGGGTCGCATGCACTGACGCCTGAATCACTTGGTAAAGGAATCACCCATTGACCCACACTCTCTGGAATCATTTTTGTAGGACAAAACTAACTTTAATTTTTTACTGCTAGATTGCCACCACAACAACTTGCATACAACAGGACACAGCGTGTAACAAGTAGTAGATAAAACCTGCAGCATCCTATCATTGCAGCGGTTTGCGAGGGAACAGTGCATGTTCAGCGTGAATTCTTCTTAACGTCCAGTGAATGAATCACTCATTCAGCCCAATTTACCGAGCAGACCTGATAAATAGCATACCATAGGACAGTACACTTGAAACAACATGACTTATAAACAAGTTCATCTTTACAAACCCGTTTGCCAAAGCAACACAGCCAAAAGCTATAAATTGAACTGAATCCTGAACCGTTCAGCTGTGTATCAGTTCAGGAGGTCTGAGTCACAGGCTCCTCCCGCCAACCACTGAATGATTCTGTGATTTGATGAACAAATCTTTTGAACAAATCTTTTAGTGAACTGACTCTAGGGATTCAGTACATCTAAAAGAACTGCCGTGCCCATCACTACAGCAGGGAAACCACTGCTTGAGTTTGATCATACCAAATTGTGTTATGTGATTTTAGGACGTTACCATGGTCCCTTAATACTGCTGTCCCCTCTCTGATTTAGGATTTCTAATTAAAAGTTTCCACTACATTACAGCTGATCTAAACAGGTGTTAATCTGCATCCATATCAAGATTTTTCATAATTAAAACTGCACAGTGGTGTCATTTGAAGTTCACTTTGCGCGTTACTGTGCTCTGAATCATGGCTGCGAATCAGAATGCGTAATTCCATCAGGTTAGAAGCCTTTCCAGTAAAGAGGTCATATTTATGACTGTATGAGCGCAAGCCATGTGAACTCCAAAGTCTGCTTGCCTCGGTGAGGTGGAGAGACAAAGGCGAGCTATGGAGAGAGGGAGAGAGCGTCACAGAGGGAGGAAGAGTTTATCTTTCAACTCCAGCCTCCGCCAGGCAGTCGTTTTCGGATTTGGACCCGGTACACACAAGCTGGAATTAACCGGATATATGATAAACAAATCAACAACACTGGTGAGTTTTTAAACTGTCTTTTTTGTTACTGAATGGGCTTCTACAACATGTTTTTACTGATAAGTTAACCTGCTCAAAGTTTGCACGTGAGATCCTGCTGCAGCTCAACAGGTGATTCCTTGCGCACGAGACTTGAGACATTTCACATATTAAAGGAACTGGTCAGACAGCAGAGTCGCAGGGGGAGACTCTGGTGTGGATGTTCTGTAGTACTCGATTTTTTTAATGGAATAAGAGAGGCAGCTGTCATTACAGATAATTACATTGAAATAAATGAGCGTTGGTTGGATATCCTGCCGTCTCCTAGTGCAAAAAGAAAGAGTACTCTTCTAAAATATCCTGTTTAAAGCTCTGCGTCCGGTTTTAAGAAGAGTTTTCTTTCCATATCAACGAGTAATCGATCGTAAATATTGATAGTTTGGAGGCTATACCTTCAAACACAAAGACGAGAAAATGTGATTCTTCAAAATCTTCACTTATTACATCCAAACAAGCATTATCAGCTCCTTTTCTTATTTTAAGTCGTTTGTATTGTCTTAAAAATATGAATCTCAACCAAGTCTGTGAACAATATTTGATTTTGAGCTTTGATTTAGTTTAATATAGCAACTTAATAACCAGTTTGAAGCTTTTATTATCCAGCCTTAGATAGTGTCACACTGTCATAGTTTACCTGCTTCAGATGTGGTTATAACTGTCATGTTGTTATGGGTCATCATTTATGTGTTTGTTTAGTAAGTGCAGGTACAGACATTCCAACATGGGAGCGCTGATGAGAAAAAAAACATCATTGATCTTCCAGTGTTGCACTCCTTTAAATATGATAACCATACTAACATTAAGAATTACTAATTTCTTCCAGTATGAGCTGCTGAAAATCTACAAACCCCCACTACTACTGTGGGTGTCTCTTCCGCCCCCCAGCTGATAGTTAAAAGAGAAATCGTGAGGCTTTGTTTTTCTCTTCCTTCCCTTTCAATAAGTGTGTGTCATCAGTGAGTAAGTGACTCAGATATGCAAAGCTGCTGACAAAAAGATATAGCGGGATGACACAGGAAGAAAATCAGTTATTAGAAATGACAAATAATGTTGCAATGGAAAATTAGTTCAACAGTTACACCCCCTCCTCACATAATATATCATCACATATGTCAATTCGATGATTTCTCTTATTTATTCTGCTTCGAGTTTATGCCAAGCTTAAATGACTTTCAAAAATGTAAATTATTAGAATCAATTCTAGCACTTCCAGAGGTTGTTCTGTATAAATTAGTTGTATTTTCTACATTTTGCCAAGGATAACAAAATCTCTAAATAATGTTTAATATTGACCTGACTCCCGGGGTCCTTAAAAGGTCAAATACATATTTAATTGATCAGTGAGAGACAAGTTTGCAGCCATGTCTAGAAACGCCTACCTGCCTCCATGGCAACAAGTTTATTTCAGTCTACACTCTCAAAAATCAATACCCCTAAATAGTCTGGATAAAAGCTTTTTTGCAACTAGTGTAGTGGTATGTTTTAATAAGAGAAGTCCTACTGTGCTTTATTACAGTCAGGTTCAATGCAGTGTGTGATTCAACAACAAATCCTCAGAACTAGATTTCATCAAACAACTGTGGCAGCATATACTGTAAGTGTATCTCCTATCTGACAATCTCTCAGTTTGTCGGCGGAGGTGTCATTGATGGGAATTATCCACACTCCCCCAGTTAGTGTTAGAATGAAAGCCAGCTGGGCTGTGAAAGAGAAAGAGCAAGTGAAATTTTTTCTAATATATACTGTTTATCCATACCAAAAGAGTGACTGATCACAGGAAGTGATGATGTTGAACGTTTTTTTAAGGTCTCTGTAGACAGGCTCTCAGATCTGACTAAATCTAATGATATTCACTTGTTTTTTCTCCAGGCTGCTTTCTCAAATATCCCCACCACATAAGTAAATACTCATGAAAAATTCATAGGAATACCCATGAATCGAAACTTACTATTCACATTTACTCTAGCCCCTTACTGGCACACTTTTTTAAGATGTTACCACAGATGTTTCATGTAACTTCATACTCAAACATGAAGACTTGTCTCTTATCTAAAAAAAAAAACCAAAAACATGAGGTACTTGTGCACTAATAAAAAATAATAATATCAATACTATACTCCACTGATCAGTTGAGTATAATCCAGACATGAACTTAAATTAGGAGAAAAGGGCAAGAGGAGCCAGTGGGGTTATCCAGGGGGCATCTCTTCTCCCCGGTGTTTTGTTAAGTTCAGCCAATGTAACACCTCAGGGAGCCTTAAGTGGATCAATCCCCTCCATGCTGGCTCCCACCTTCCATCACAATCACAAAACAAAGGACAGAAGAAAGAGAAAAAGAAATGTGTTTAGGGATAAGATAGAAGAAGACCAAGATGGGAAAGCCAAAGCAAAAAACCTGTTTGGGCTGAGACTAGTCTCCTCTGGGTGAGGCTGTTCACTCTGCCTCCCTCTTTTTTATGAGGTTAGAAAGCTTTTAATATGTTACTCTGAAGGTATATATCTCTGGATGACACATGAGATCACATATTGTCAAAAAGCTACCCTCTCTACCATCTCTACCCTGAAGTGGTTAATTTACTTTAAAGTATATTTTAAAAGCTCCTGTGTTGAACTTTGGGTTTATATTAATTGTGGCGCCCCCTGTGGACAAAGCAGTCTTTGCTTATCTTGTACTTTAAATACTTAAGTAGCATCTGAAAAGGATTCTTGTTATTGTGACTTTTGACAGTAAAATGTGTCATATAATGTGAATATTTCTAATGGAAATATAGAAAAAGGCCTGTATCTCCAACTGCTCAGCTGACATCTACCCCCTTGCACCTGTTTCAGCCATCAAAATTTGTCATAAAAGAACCATCAATCTTGTCACAGATAGTCTTGTTTGCTTTTGGATGTCGTGAAAAGACATTCATAAGAATTTTAGTGCATTTCATTTATGTCATAAAGCTTCTCAGAGGAGCTTTTAGATTGAAGCTTGTTGTCTATAATCTACCAGGAGAAAGCTGGACCACTGGGAAGACTCTGGCAGGGTTTTAAATTCTGGGCCACTTTGCTCTGAAGCAGTAGTACAAAGCACCACAGGCCATCCTTGCAGTGCTCACCTGTTTGGGTCTTTTCATTTTATCAGTTTATTGTGGTGTAAAAGCTTAGCCCAGGCTACACTGCAGGGAAAGAAATTAGTTTAACCTCCGAATGAAAAGCCCCCCGTCTGGGATTGAATCTCAGACCATCTAGGCAGCAGTTAGGGTTACTGTTGGTTAACTGTTGCAACACTGGTCTGCTGAGGTTTCCTGTTTACTATGGAATATAAAAAATCACATACTGAACTAAAGAGAAAGGTAGTCACACTGTTCAAACAACAGCAATTCATTTAAGCTCTGAACCTTTGAGTTGAGGACTGGAAGTCTTCAATACAGCATCACAGACTGTCTTAATTACCTTCTTTCTAGGTTTTAAATTGTGATCCATTCTCCAATGTGAGAAAACAAGAAAACTGAAGGGTAACAAGTAAAGGCTGTAGCAGAAATTTTAAACCAGTTTTTTCACAGACTTTTGCAGTCCTCACGTGTTGATTTAAAAGCATAGTTCAGACCCAACACAGTCAAAGGTAGGACCCAAAAAATACTAGTGTCACATTAATGGGTCACCACTGAAACTAGAAACCAGGATCTAGGTATTGTTCAACTTCAGGAGCTTGCTTATTAAGGTTGATTTAACTTTTAGTTAATTATGGTAATTCAAAAGCATGGTCTTTGTCTAGAACATGCTACAAGAAAAGGCCTCAACTGGGATCCAAACAAGGACCAGTAAGGCGGCAGGTTTAAAAACCATCCTTGCTCTACATACTTGTTTTTTTTTAACTTTACAGGATATCACAGTAATTCAGAAGCATGCTCTGTCTCAAGTCAGAAGCATCAACTACATTCCTATGAAAGGAAGTATATGGGTTTAAAACTCTTTCCCTCAGCATAATTACTCTATTTCTTCTTTCTCATTCTTAATAATTTTCTTTACTTTTGAAAACTTGTATCAAAAATAAAGTTTTACTTTCCTGTTGAGTGCTCCTTTCCTCCTATAGGGCCTGTCTATGCGATTTAAATCCAATGCCAATTTGGGTGCAATTTTGCCGTTATCATCCTAGAGTCAACTTGCTGTCTGCAAAACTTCAAGTGATATGCCGCTATGTTTCGTTCCAAAGGCATCAAAATAGAGGTTTTTGATTGAGCCACACAACAGGATGCCATCCAATAAGAACAGGTCGTGCTGTGCGCAGAACTTGGACCTTTGCCTCAGTCGACTCTTATTTTGTGTCTGCCAATTAGGAAAGGAACAACATCATTATAATAATGGCAAATTCTACCATTTAATGAGGCTAGGTTACCCAAGAGGAACAGAACTTACTGACTGACTTATAATACCTGTTTTTTGACAAAAAAGTAAGAAACAAGCTCAGATTCGTGTTCCCAAACTGCCATGCATTGATACATATACCAAAAAAGGGACGGCTCTAAATACTTCTTCTATTTAATGAGACTAGGTTACCCAAGGAGACCAGAGTCTACTGACTGACTCATACTGCCTGTTTTTAAACCAACAAGTAAGAAAAAAACTCAGATTCCTGTTCCCAAACTGCAGTGCATTGATATATTTACCAAAAAAAGGAAGGCTCTAGATATTTCTTCTATCTGATGAGGCTAATTTACCCTAGGGGAGCAGAACTTACTGACTTATAATGCCTGTTTTTTAACCAAAAAGTAAGAAAAAAAACAGATTCCTGTTCCCAAACTGCAATGCATTGATACTACCAAAAAAGGAAAGGCTCTTAATACTTCTTTTATTTAATAAGGCTAGGCTCCCCAAGGGGAGCATAACTTACTGACTGACTTATAATGTCTGTTTTTTGACCAAAAAGTAAGAAACATATATCCGATTCCTGTTCCCAAACTGCAATGCATTGATACATTTACCAAAAAACGAAGGCTCCAAATACTAATTCATTGAAATTTACATAGAATATCTGAATATTTAAGTATTTTGTACATCAGAGCCTCTAACTAAGAGCTTCAGGTTGACTCATCACACCCTCTGCCTCTTGGACCATGACTGACTTGCAATCTAGCTGCAGTGTCAGGAAATTGTCCATGTGTATCCAAAACTTTGATCTAAAAATATCCTTGCCCTGGAAAATCCCTTTTAAAGTGTCTTCTACTTTTGAAATGTTCAGTTTTCTCGAGAGATGGGGTGGTATGGGAAACATATTTCTATGTGAAAACTTTGACCAATTTTAATGTTTTTTATTTGTTTTCCAGGGATGACTACTTCGGATTCACACGACAAAAGGTTCAAAAGGCGACTCACATCGATACCTGCTTGATTGGTCTGACAGGAAACGACTGAATTTTTCCAGGATGTGACTAAATTCAGAGGTGATCATCTCACCTACCATGATGGAATCCGGTCTACGGCCTCCTATGGATACTCTTCAACTAAACACCAATAGCTATGTCAACAACAGTAATCGCAGCTGGGGCAGCCTGCTTGATGGTGACTCATTGGGGAGCAACAACACCCTGAGCTTTCATTATGGTTTCCAGAATGCCCTGTTGGGTGTCTCTCTGGGACTTCTTTCTCTCCTCACAGTTGTAATGAACCTGCTAGTTCTGTATGCGGTTAAAAGCGAGAAGAGCCTCCACACTGTAGGGAACCTCTACATAGTCAGCCTATCAGTGGCGGATCTCATTGTGGGGGCCACAGTTATGCCCCTAAACCTGGTGTACTTGTTGGAGGATGAATGGAAGCTGGGGCGGGCTGTTTGCCAGTTTTGGCTCATAATGGACTACGTAGCTAGCACGGCTTCCATTTTTAGCTTGTTCATCCTGTGTTTGGACAGGTATCGGTCTGTCAGACAGCCACTAAAGTATCTCAAGTATCGGACACGGGGACGAGCCAGTGCAATGATTTCTGGAGCCTGGCTGTTGTCGATGATGTGGATTATTCCAATTTTAGGATGGAGGTCTTTCACTCATGTAGACCTTAAACCAGAGGAAGAGAACAAGTGTGACACAGATTTCCGCTTTGTCACATGGTTTAAGGTTGTCACTGCAGTTTTCAACTTTTATGTTCCTTCAGTTTTGATGATTTGGTTTTATACCCACATCTACTTGGCCGTGAGGCAACATCTGAGGGACAGGGAAAGAATCATTCATCCAACAGATTCATTTGGGGAAAATGAAAACGGACAAAACGCTGGGTCTCCAGTGAAAAATGTCTCGAAACCACAAACGCAAGAGTTTGAAGGCCCAATGAAACTATCGAAGAAACAACGCTTGCTTGACCAAAACACCCTCGATCAGGCGTATTCCATCGAGGATTTGGGCAAAACCAAAACTGCTCCATCCAGATCTCACAGAAAAATTGGTGTTAAGTGCCAGCAGATTTCATTACTTGCCATGACCTCAAGACGACTTGGAGTGGTGAAAAGGTGCTCATTGTCCCCTGAAGAGGAGCAGCCAGATGTAGAGATTCCCTCGAGCCAGCAACCAGTGCAACAGGAAGTGAACTGCTCGGAGGTGAACAATGGGAACAAGCTTCAAGCTTCTTTGAATGAATGTCACGTGACGGTGCCAAACTCAGTGAGCGGTGTCTGTGACGTAAGTCAGGTTACAGATGTACAAAGATTTACACCTGCACTCTACAATAACTTTGACGCCAAACAAACTCTACCCTGGACTGAGGAAGGGGTCAAAGATGCCAAAATGGACCCAAATAGTGCAGCGACATTGAGACAAACATGGCAAAGGTTTATTGTCCACTCACGCCAGCGTATACAGAGCCTGAGGATCCATAAAGAGCACAAGGCAGCCAAGCAGTTGGGTTTCATTATCGCTGCTTTCTTGCTGTGTTGGATACCGTACTTCATCGCTTTTATGGTCATGGCAGTCTGCAAAGAGTGTGTGCACCATGACCTCCACATGTTCACGATATGGCTTGGTTATATTAACTCTACACTCAACCCTTTCATATACCCGCTCTGCAATGGAAACTTTAAAAGAGTCTTCAGAAATATTCTCAAAATTGGTTTGTGATTGACACCAACAGACAAAGAAACAGAACAAAATGATACGAATGTAAAAACTGCCTCTAAAGCTCAGACTTCGAAGCTTAGGTAAAACTGTAAATGGTTGTGATAGTCTGTTTTTTCTGTTTTGTCTGGACCTTATTTTTATAACACATAATGCACTTTAGATCAGTCTCATGGCAATGCTTAAGAAAAATGTCTGAGAATCATGTTATTTATATTGTCTGTATAATGCTGATGATAACAAAGCATGTCAAGGACCAGAGACCTTTTCTATCAAAAGAACTTGATATTCACTCTGATGAACAGAAGCATGAATGAAGTGTCTTTGCTCTGGTCTAGAATCTATGAAAACTTGTTGATGTTGAAAAAGTGTTGCTCTATTTTTCATGTAATATTTGCTCTGCTGCAGTGTTCTTAGCTGTTGTATTTGTCACACTGTTGCCTCATCATCAAGTTGTCTTAAAAGAAAAAATCGAAAGTCTTGGCAGATCTGCTAAAAGTTATCTGACAGCTTGCGCTCTTATTTCACACTTCTCTTCAGATCTTAAAAACATGCAAGATGTCAAAATGTTTACATATTGTACATCACCATTTGAAGAAATAGATTTTATAAAAACTCTTTGGTGTCATTGAACTTTTTTGTGTTGTCTTCAGCCTTTATCCTGCAAGATTTGTTTACATGGCAACTTCTTCAATCTGTGTGTCAAACTACCAAAGTGTCCTGCAAAAATGCCTTTCAGGAGCAGAAGCTTTCACGATTAATCTTGCCTGTGATTTAGTGAAGGATTTTTTCTTTTTTTACTGTCGGCAAAAGGGCACTAAATATCTTTCCACAAGCTAGCGGACAAGAGGCCATAAATTCAAGGCTAATGTTTGGCATTTGGATTGATTTCATAACAGGGGCAAAAATCAAAGTGCATCCATCATAATGGACGTTGGAGATAATTGTCTCCTATAATCTTGATATGAATAACAAACCCAATATGGAGTTCAATGTAACATTCAACATGTTCATAGCGTCAAAGTTTGGTTTCAGATTGTTTCTTTTTCATGTCCAATAAACAACATTTTTCACATTCTCAATGCCAAGACTGGCAAATTAGATTATGTTTTTCTTTTTTTCAGTCTGACCTGAGTGGCTGTCCCTGTTGGGTTTTCCAAATGAAGATAGTGTTGTGGATTTTTTTCATGTAATATGTTCAGCAACATCACTACAACAGCATGAGCGTGATGTTGCTTTACTTGCTAACCTAGTACAAATTTGCCTCGCTGTGAGAGTCCACCAAAATGTACGCAAAATTTTTAGTGTCCTTTAGAACACAGGGTGGTGGTCCACTTTGGTGTCTTGCACCAAAATGAGATTTACATGAGATTTTAAACCCTGAAAATCACTATAAACTATTTAAGTTCTGTCAGTTGCTAAAACTTTTATTGCAAACCATTTCTACATATAAAGCAAATTAACATATAGGATTGTTTTTGACAAAGAAAATTATTTATTCCCACCTTTTTAAAGCCCTTGCGAGAATTTTAATTGGTTATATGAATGCAGATGTTACTGTCATTAAAGCAATGATCATTAAAACAAAGCAGGAGCAGGTTTTATTTCAGTCAGAAGGTACTACCTTGTCACAGATCGAACAAGATCAGCAAAATGATGGATTTACCTGTTTACCTAAAGGGAGCTTTTCTGTCTGTATTTAGAACCACTTTGATTTCCAGAGATGCCGAAACGGACTTCACTACCTGGCTGTTGGGTTTATATTATCTCAAAAAGTTTGTGACCGTTTTTATTAGTACTTTATTAAGTGCCCAGTACTCCACGTGAGCGCATACTGTATGAAAAACCCAGCCGAGGTTTCAAAACATCATTATTTTGACACAGCGACCCTTTGTCAAATGGGAAGACATGATCATGTAGCATCGCCAGACTCTAGTTATAATTTCATCCTAGCGGTGCAAATGAAATTACAAAATGAATCTGCAAGTAATCAAATCACTAAAAACAAATTGCATACAGTAACTCAGCGGGGGCCAGCAGCAGAGGTTAGTCTGAAACATTGCCTTCCGACTAGTTTTCTTTCGTAGCCAAAGATAGACCATTTTCACGAGAGGTGATGTGAAATGTGTTAGACACAAGAACATTTCCCTCTGATTTGAAATAGACTGTCCACATGTGAGAGTGGCACAATTATGTGTTAGCACAGAAGTGGCCGGAAGACCGAAGCAGGACACAGTCTGGTGGCTGGGGTAACCATAGGAACATTAGCAACACTTCCAGCATAGTGCAGTTGGACTCTCATAAACCTAACAGAAACTGTAATGTTGGTTGTTTTTTATGTTTCAAAAGACAGATTTGGCTACTGCAGATGAAATAACATTTTAGATTCAGCAAAAAACGTATCTACAAATTGTGGCACAGGAGCAGAGCACATTGGCTTTCTCCCTCATTATTTTTTCCTGTGAGTTAACGGTAAACATGTTTTACCCATACTTTGTGGTAGTTTATGATGAGTGATTTGTGGTTCTATTTCCATCTATACCAAAAATGAAGGGTTTCATGGTTCAACGGATTAAGGGGATATTCTGGTGTAAAATTAATTTAGGGTCAAACATGCCGTAACACCGAGTTAGACACCCCCTTGAGAGATGATTGTTGCCGACTGCTTACTTCTCTAGTTGATAGTTTATGTTTTCCAAAATGATAAAGGAATGATCATAAATGTTCTTCCTTGAGCTGCGTCACCCCGCAGCAGTCCGTAATAGACTGGCCTGAGGTCTCGCTACAAACAAGCGGCGGCTGGAAGAGAGTAGGTGAGTTGCGTTTAGTCTCTTTGCTAAAGAAATTAGGCAAAGTTAAAAAGATGCTTGGTGGCTAGTCCTTTGGCTAGGACCCTATATGTACTGTTGGTGAAGTTAGGTGCTGTTCTGAGCATTATTTGTGGATATAGAGTGGCTTTTTGGTTGAGGTTTGTTGATGGCTCCTCAGACTGCTGTGTATTGCTATCCTGCAGTAGTTACTTAAGTTGGTAAAACTAGAGAAGCAAGCGGTCGGCAACATTCATCTCTCAAGGGGTGTCTAACTCTGTGTTACTGTGTGTTTGACCCTAAATTAATTTTACGCTGGAATATCCCTTTAAGACGTGCACCACACACTGTTTGGTTAAAGCTTCTCCTTTGGGGAACTGTAAAAGTACAATTAAAGAAAGGTCACACATGCACACTGTGTCGAGTACAGCAAATTTTTCATTCATCTAAGCATACAAACTACAGTATGTAGGAGATACACACCATTGTATCAGTAAGTTATTCTAGCTGGTCAGAACTGAGATATGACAGGGTTAATCAAGCCAAATGAGGGCCATGTTGTCACTCTGTTTGTTCATTTTGATGATGACTGTTTCCTGTTTTAATTTGGTGCGTACTCTTTTCTCTTTCTTCCAGATCCTGCTCCTCATGTTTTCCAGCTTGAAGCTCTCCTACCCTGATCGTGCTCACTTGTGTCTCATTCTCCACTGATTGTCTGAGTATTTAATCCCTGTGTGCTCTCCCTCATGTTACCAGTTTGTAGTCGGTTTCCCTGTGTTGCCTCAGCCCAGCCTTTATTTATTTTTTCTCCTAGTGAGTGTTCTTGTGTTTGACCTCTGCCTTTAACTGCTCTTTTGGATTTATTAGCCCTGTGGACTGAGTACCTGTGCTCTGATCTGGATATTTTATGTAACTCTGCCTTCTTGAACTCTGCCCTGTGTGATTGTTATCAGATGAGGGTGAGCAGATCATGCCTTACTCCTAAGGTGTTCTTCTGTCATAGCTTCCTGGTCACTATACATGATTTTACTTATTAAACGACTACTCACCAGATGTATCAACAACTTTTCTGTCTTGTCATTGTCAGAGTTTGTGACTTTCACTTTTTTTTTATCAGACCCAAAACAGAGCAGTAGCTATCTCACAACTTCCTCCATTAATTGTTTACTACATGTGCCATTTCCAGATTTTTTTCTTTTTCAGATTTTGTGCCTTGAAGCTCCTCTATTTGTTTCTCTGCTGTTTTCATTTATTTTCCTTTTCCCCAAAGTAGACAAAACAATAAATCAACCAGACTGATTTCAATTTTAAAAAACAAAACAACAATTATAGTCAGTGCCCCAGAGAGTGTGTGATAAGAACCACGTTCCTGGCAAGTCTGCTTTTCCAGTGTTAACAGTCATCTATTCAGGAAATTCTGTGAAATAAAGCCATGTCTTGACTGATTAGAAATAAGCAACACAGCTTTGTAATAAAAACAAACAAATACTGATGATACAGAGGGGAAATTTAGGGATTCACAATTAACGTAAAGGCATTTGAACAGTTTGGAGTGATTATAAATCATAATTCAAGCCTTCTGATTTACTCGAGAATGTACCTTGGGCTCCAAAAAAGAGAGGGGACTTTTGACAGCACCATTATTTCTCTTTAAGGATCAATTATTTCATATTAATATTATATTCTGTGTCTAATTGAAACAATTTAAAATCAGTAATTGCTGCCATAATGGAGATAAAGAGAGAAAACATGAATAATGGATGTGATATGAAACTTAAACTGAGGAGTGTGTACGACAATGAGGAGCACATGAGAAACTTGTATTCCTTCATGAAATTATGAAGAACGTTTTGTTTGTGATATTCAGAAAAGAAGAAAATTTTATGAGGTAAAAATCACTGTGACATAGACACGAGTATGGATCACCCCACAATATCATCCTAATTTTCCCTTCTTATTCTGGTAAATTCAACTGAGACGTTGTTTTGGGTAATCAAGCTCAATTCGGTCATGCAAAACGAAGAGTTGAGGAAATAGAACAAAGGTAAGTGTGACACAGAAATTGATAGTCAATTGTATAATGAGAGAGAAGGAAAATATCACTTTCTTCAAAACAGGGCATAATCTTACTCAATGTGTAATTTAAAATGTTTAATTCAAATGGTTTAAGTAAGGCAACAACTAAAGTTGGCCCCTGAGTATCCGACTTTATTTTCTGCTGAGACCACTTTTCTGTACTCATGCCCAGATGAGAGTGATTATACTTCATAGATCATTATATTCTGACCTTTCTAGTATGATTAACACAATCTCACATACTGTACCCTTTGCTACTGCCCTGTGCTTCCTCTCACACATATCATTGGGCTCTTGAAAATCAGTACTATTCCTTCTAAAATGATTGATTGCCTCCCACTTCAAGCCCTCAGTGACACTGCCACCACTTGTAGAGCACTAAACATGGCACAGACACCTTATCAGCCTGTGCGATACCACTCCTCTAATCTATAAATAAAAACATGCTGAATGAAGTTTTTTCTTAAGTTTTAATTGCTAGTGTAGGATTACTTAGAAAGCTTTGATTGTAAGAATAGAATAAATGATCATCCATGGTATGGTAATGGAATCGCCATCTGTGCGTCGTGATTATAACCTTGCCATACTGAGCCAATCAGTATGACTCACAGCAGGTCAGTGAAGCTAAATGGATCTACTTGAGGTTAGTTTTATCATTTTAGTCATTGTTAAATAACTTTATGTAAGCTAAAACTGAAACACTGACAGCAGGGTTGGTATTTAACAGTTTCATTCTATTTTAGAGTGTGTGGCTTCTAAATAATTTAACAATAACTATGAACTTCTGTGTAATTTCATACTTGACCATGAAAAAACATTAAAGTGGACTACTGGCTTCAGATTCATTGTCATTGACAAAAAGAATACAGCATACAGTAGTGTGCTGAGGGAGGGGGGAGGCAGGACGAATTGCACCCTCCAGTTCCCTCATGTTTCCACTGAGTTCCACATTTTCCACTGACTTGAACTACTTAAATGATTTTGTTGTCCTATCTTTGGTGCCTTCATTGCCATCATTACCAAAGTACATATTGTAGCCCTGTGTTTTGTTTGGCTATTAGTTTATTTTTCCCCCCTTCTTTTAAATGTCAAAAATCAATTGAAAAAAATTTGAAAACTGCTAAATGACTAAATTACCGTGCAACTGATTCTTTGTTTTCGAGTCAAAAGCCCACTAAGCAAAGTTATTCTTGTTCTTAAACTTTTAGTAGCAAATTGAATATATTCTTCTTTCAGTTAAATAGTCTACATATTTTAGGTTGTTTTTAGACTTTGCACTTCCACACAGTTGCCAACTTTTTAAGTTCCTTCAAACCTACAATATAATGAGGGCCGGATAGTTTTAGGGGATTATCGTAAATTAGTTTATTGTGAATTCGAAGAGGAAAAAAACTTAAGTACGCCATAATTTACTTGGTAATTCTCAAACCTTGTCACGGGTCTTAAATTAAATATTGTTCTCGTTTATTTTTTTAATTTCAGCTAACCGTTGTGCGTTTCTCCTAATCTAGCATTTCCTGTCGGTCCCTAACTCACACTTGAGCTGGTCGGTGTCCAGTGGGGAGATAGTTTCTGATTTGCCGGTGTCTGTTTTTGTGAAAATGAGCTCCTAACGCCAGAAATATGCTTAAGCGTCTTTCTGTGTGAACCCACTTTATTCTCTTTGTCACTGAAAAACTTTCACCTCCTCTGCAGATGTAACACGCTCCTTTATTTCAGTGGGTTACCTCCTGGATTCGCACCTTCAACATCGGTGTCTGACATGAAAAGAAACGGCGCGTACAGGTTTTTGTCTGTTTTCTCGTGCTTTGTCGTTTGCGCTTTCTTGTTCATCTTTTGGTTCTTTATATTTTATTCAATGTTACACGCACCGTAAGGCATAGAAAGACACTCTCTTAGCAGCTGGCTAAGCTAAGCTCGCATGCTACTTACCCACACTGCATTGCTCTGTTGACAAGACTCGTGATCACATGATCCACCGGACCAGGAAGTAAGGATCTGTGGTAAGTGTAGAAAGCACTGCTTATATCAGTCTAAATCAGAAACTTACGCTTTGGCTTTATTATAGTTTCCTGAGTATGTCTCATTTAAAATCGAGCAGTGTCTGTGTATTATTACGTGTTTTTTTTTGAAAATGTATGTCGTGTCTGTGGGATTTTAAAGCTGTCAGAGATTTCACAATGAAGTCTCTCTGTATTAACTCTGCACAGGAACAGAAAACTGGGAAAGTCCTGACCAATAAAACACAACATTTTATCATGTAAGGATCAAGGAATAGACAGAAATTTGATGTGCAAATACGTTCCTCTGTGCAATTATTTATGTTATTCTGAAAAGTAATAGGTGAGAGTGGGGTAAGATGAGACATTTTTCATATTTTGGATCACTACATCAAGGCAATCATAGTTTTGTCTCTAACTAGTGTATCTGCATATATTTCAAGATGTTGTGCATCCCTGCAAACCAACAGAATGAGTGTAAACATAACTGTCTTGATAATATAGCATGCCAAAAAAAGTGGTCTCCTATGGTCAACTTACCCTGTGTATGGGGTAAGTTGACCATAGGAGCGGGGTAAGTTGAGCCGCATCCCTACAACCCCCCCACTCTCCACCCCAGCCCTCCCTCACCTTCTCTCTCCCTTAATAACAGTCACTTCTTCACATTCATGAGTATTTTTATCTATTATACGGTTTTCAACTGGTACAATAATTCTTTTTATTATTATTGCATATAACTGTTAAAAAGCTGTTTTGTAAAAAGCTATTTTAACATGAGAATGTCTTAAAGTGATTCAGAACATTCACAGCTGTATTTCAGTAAAGAAAAAGTAACACATTTCAACAATCTGAACTGAAACTCTGATCCTCTCTTCAGACTCCTTTGGCTCAACTTACCCCAGTCATGGTATTCATTGAAGAATTTCTTCTTATTCTTATTCAACGGTGGAGCAGTTGGGTAGTGAAACATATCTGTATGAAGTCCCTGGATAATCTGAATCCCAGGGCTGCCAAGTTTCAGAAAATGACAAGAGTGAGACTTTAGTGTTAAGATGTGTTTGAAAATAATTTGGCCTTTTTTTTAACGTCGATTTATACCTCAAATTACGGCAAGCAAGGTTTATTATCATGGAAAAAATAAATACAGAGTATGAATGGGGAAATATAAGCATGTGAAATGTCAAGTGGGGCATGTGGTGTGATAATGGGTCAAATTGCGTGACTTTCACACTTAAAGTGTGATGCTTGGCAGCTCTGGAAACCCCTACAGCACAGCTCCAATGTTTTGGTGTATTTGGAGTGAAAGGAGTCTCAAAGTAACACATACAGCAAAAAGATTTACAAGTTTCACAAACTATGACACAATATTTACCCATACTCAAGCCAGAATAATGTTTATCCCCTTATCAAGACGTCAGTTCGTGCTGCACATTTGACTGAATATGATAAAGATGTTGGTTACTGTTTACATCCCTGGATTATGCCATGAACAGCTCCATCAGAGACAGGATGTTTGTTGTCAGCCTCTTACTGGCGTTATCCCTGTTCAGCACTCCTGAGTGTGTCTGACAGGCTTCAACTGTTCTAAAACTACAACTGTTGCATTTCTCAGCTCGTAGTTCTTGGCTGTGCTGCCTGAAATTGAAAACACAATGGCATCTGGCACCAGTGAAGCAGCGTCCTCGGCTGCAGACCTCAAGCTGCAGTTTGCTCCCTTTAGCAGTGCTCTGGAGGCAGGCTTCTGGCACCAGCTCACTCAGAAAAAACTCGATGACTACAGACTGGATGAGAGCCCCAAATGTATCAAAGGATATTACTACAACGGTGAGTGGGGAGAAAACAGGTTTCACTATGAAGGGTTTACTCCTTGTAGACCATCTTTTCCTTATCTTAGCTTATGTGTCTGCTCTTTAGGTGACCCACTTGGTTTGCCTACACGTCTGACTTTGGAGTTCAGTGCATTTGAAATGTAAGTATGATGCAGTTTATTGCACGTTTTAACCCATACTTTCTATTTTGTTCATTTTCTTTTAAGGTGCAAGGAGAATTTTTTGCCCATGTAGAGTTGAACCACAAGAAAAACACAAGAACGACTCAGTCCTCTGTTCTCAAATCGACAGAGAGCTCTTTTTATACATCCTCTAATGGCTCTAAAATAACAAGAGAAAAAAGATGTGAAAGCACTGCAGTTTTCTCAGCAATAAAACAGCTTTATGGATAAGTCAATGTCACATTAAGTCAATAACATTCACTAATGAAGTCATAAATGGTGTGAGATTTGTTACTATTTTTAAATATTCATGAGATTAGATTAGAGAGACTTTATTGACCCTTTTCCTCAAGGAAATTAAGAATCAACCATGTTGATAAAACAATTCAGAGCTCCCTTTCTAAAGTTTCGAAAAAATTAAGGAATAGTTTCTTGCGGTGGATTAATGGAAAACCTTATCCAAAGTTCAAAAGTGAGGAAAGTTAAGAATAAGACAAACTTTATTTATCCGAAGGGAAATTCAATAGGGGTTAGGGGTTTTACTTAATTTGAATCAGCTCATAACCTTTAATAAGAACACTATGTTATTAACTTTGTCTCTGTTACAACTCAATGCAAAGTTGTGATGTGATTTTTCTGTCAGAGATGGTCCGACACCGGCCCGTTGTTGCTCAGCTATTGGAACTCTTTATAACACCAACACACTGGACGCCTTCAAGACCACTGATAAGAAGGCCCTGCTGGAGAAAGAGGCAAAGGAGGTAACTAACTCACATACTTGTGCTGGGAGTTGAATATCAGTAAAATGGACACAAAAGTTTGCAGCTTATTCATCTAGTTGTGATGGTTGCTTTGTTTTATCTCCTGTTTGTAGATTTGGGAAGCGATTCAGTCTGGGGCTGCGCTGAAGGACCCATCCATCCTCTCCAGATTCATTCTCCTTACTTTTGCAGTGCGTATCAACATCAAATTAAAACTTTTTAAAAACGTTTGAATTACTGTTTGTGACTTTGTTGTTTGGCTTTTTTTCAGGATCTGAAGAAGTACCATTTTTACTACTGGTTCTGCTTTCCTGCTCTCTGTTTCCCAGAGGGGATAAAGATAGTCCAACAACCTTCCATGCTGGAGCAAGTTTTCTCAGCAAAACAGGTATTAAAGTTTAACTTTTTATACCATATAATCAACATGCACAATATCTATACTGTGCAGTTGAATGTTATGTAGCCTCCCCGAGAGGTTATCAAAAATTAGTCAAATTTTTTGCTCTAGTTTAGTATTTAATTTCAAAATTTCTGTCTTTCTAACATCACGACTAAACTGTGAGATGTTAAAAGAGGGCAGCCTTTGTATAGATGTCTGTCTGGGGATTATTAAAAAGTGTAATGAACAGATGAGAATTGTTATCTCTGAGGACTGCAGGTCCAAAGACTTTTGTGTTTATTTTGTAAAAACCTCATCAAGAGCTAGAATTAGTCATCACAGAAGCTTCAGGCCACAACGATTATGATCTGTCTTTCTGTCTTTTCCTCTACATCTCTGTGTTGTTTCTATCAACTGAAATCATCAAGTAATTCGACACCTCAGCAGTTCATTACAATAATTCATGAGCTGCAAGATGACATTACAGCCCGTCAAAGATACACTAGCCCCTGGTCGGTGCATGAATGTACAGATCTCTGGCAGTCTATCTCTAGCAGAGGCCGGCAAGTGCTTCACAAGATTTTCACCTTGACCAATCTGATGAGTTAACAGAATGCCTTCAATCGAATTCATACTGAATGGTTTTTGTTAGTTTGTCATTTGGGTTATTGCAAAAAAATCTGCAAACTAAAATATTTTACTATAGATCCTAACATATACAAAAAACAGGTCTTTGTTTTAGTAGGAAGATAACTTTTTTTTAAAGGAAGGATGTAGTCCTCAATCTCAGAAGAAGTTTTGGTAACACTTTACTTGACGCCTATCTATATAACGTATTATAAATATATTTACAATTTGTTATAATCACGTTATAGCACTGTATAACTATAGTTATAAACACTCATAATGATCATAATGCTTTATAGCAATAATCATAACACATTATAAGGCATTTTATACGACTTATTTGGTTGGGTATTATAATGTGTTCTAACTGTTAACAACTCACTGACAATGCCCACATAGATAATGGATTATTCATATATTTATAATGTGTCAAATTTGCTTATAAACTTGTATAACTATCATTATAAACACCCACTAATTATCATAAGGCTTACATATCATACATATATTTATAATGCGTTATAGAGATAGGCATCAAGTAAAGTGTTACCCGAGTTTTCTTTTAAAATGTTGTATTTTCCTATGACCAAGTGGTAGGAGAACCCATCGAGGACTGAGGAAACCACCAGAGAGATTAATATCTTATCTAATGTGGGATTGCCTCGGGATCCCCCCTAGAGATGGTTGAAAATGTTTCTTGAAAAGGGAAAGTGGAATTGCCTTTCTCTGTCTGTTACCATAGGAACGAGGCCTGAGAGATGGCTGAGAATACACACAGATCTCTTATTTATCATTTCCCTTTATAGGATATCTGTAATTATTGCTGACATCTCATTATTTCTACTTCAGGTTTCAGCCCTGCAGGAGGCTTATGATGGCCTCTGTATCAAAAGAGGAACCACTGCAGTGCCGTACTTTATAATGAAGTACACAGATGATGCGGTTCAGATGGCGGCACTTGAAGACTGGGATGCTTTCTTCGCTGATACTAAGAAGGTAGCTCATTATTCTGAGTTATTAGGACTGGCTTCTCCTTATCCAGTTGCCATCAGATTAGATTTTATATCACACCTACTGGTTCTTAGTCACTCTCTCACAGCGACAACATAAACACACCTCGATTTTTCTAGGTCACTGTGGGCGTCTACGATCCCTGTACTCTGTCTCAACATCCGGGCTGGCCTCTAAGAAATCTGCTGGTCCTCCTGGCTTACAGATGGTAAACCGTACTTCTCTTTAACGGCTTTATGTGCTTGTGTGCGTGGGTTAGATGAGGAAGTTCTTCTGAAAGCATGTTCTGTTTGTGAAAATTTATTATGAATGTCTTTCAGCTTCCAGCGAGTGAGATAAAAAGACAGGAAATCTCAGTAAGAGAAATCAAATCTCCTCTTAGATAATTTCCTGATTTTTTTCAGTGTGGGAAGCAGGTGACACATTGGATCAAGATGTCAACTTCCAAAGAAAACGTTGTTGCTTTAAAAGCTTTTCAATACGGCAAAAAAATTCCAGAATCATCAGCTTTTACGTCACTTTAGGATAGGAAAAAAAGATGTATTCGGCTGTTGCTAAGTCACAGTATCAATAAAATTTCGCGAGGCTGAGGTAAACTTGATGAATAATAGTTGTTTCTAAATGAAAGCGTGGGATTGCAACATGACTACTGCTGCCAGTTCTTGTAAAGCTGTAAATTTCCCTGATTAACAAGATTCACTTTTAATAATATTTCACATGCCGCCCATGTCATCGGGTCGAAAAAAAACTCACACTTTCCTTCTAGTTCATATGAATACATTTAAGTGTGGGGTCTCCGTTTGGATTTGATCTGCCTGAAGTTTCCCGATACAATCTGAGAGTTTTCTGAAAACTTTATGACCCATACTCCTGTGAACCAAAGTAAGAGTGCAGCACGGCATATCCATAAAGACGCACTCCCTTTTTTTGTGAATTGGACCATATATCTCCTCAGGGCAGATGAGTTACAATGCTTGGCTTGTTAACTGATGCCATAGCAATGTTCAACACTCAGCAAACAGCAGCTGCTGTCTGAGGTTTTATTGTGTAAACACACACTTGGCACGCAATTCATGTCTGGCATCTCTGGGTTTTTAAACTTGTCAGAAACAAGTTTTTGCTAACACTGAATGTGCTTTGTCTTTCTGTCATCAGAAAATATATTTCATTGGGTGATTTATAAGTTTCTGTCTCACGTGTATTTGTAGTTTAAGAAGCAGGACCAAGCTTTGTAAACCAGTCTGAGTTTTATGGGAGGGGCAGATACACATAAAGTTGTGAGATTTAAGTTTGGTCCACTGTATCTGACTGTCTTGAAATACTTCAGATTCAGACTTGGCTCTACAAGTAGCACAGATTTCACAACTTTACAGAGTTGCAACACAGAGGTTGAGAAGGGATTACTGCCCCCGAAGAGTTGCAGAGGAGATATACTGAGGAAATATGTCTTTGCACTGCTGGGCTGTTGGTACAAGCTGTTAGTCTTGTTACTTCACATGTGATCAACAGTGAATTTTCAAATATTTACACACGTGTCGTACCACTGTTTAGTTTTTGTGTATCAGTTCAGTTTCCATGAGAACATTTATTTCAACATCTAATAGTAATATGTAGATGACGATTTGTTGGAGACCAGAAAAGGTGTTGTTTGTTATGTTTAGTTGTACCACACCAGTTTTTTTGCATGTTTTGCTCTTTATTTTTCAGCAGTTTACAGAGGTGTAAATCCTTGTTCAGAACCTGGTGGTTAAATTCCAGTCACTACACTACAGAAAAGTTTTAACAGAGTGATGAAACAATCTAAAAGTGGAAGCATAAACTCACAAGATGAGATTTTCTTTCTTAATAACAGAGATGAAGAATGCAAACTCAAATGAGCAGGAAAGCTGCTTTTTACTCTAATAGCACAAACAGAGAGCATCACTGCAAGTTTTTGAATAAATGGTTGTTTTTTTGACCTGAGAAATGAAACAGTCAAAGTTGTAATGATGAAGCTGGAAGTAAAGATTGTTTTGCTGAAGAGCAGGGGCATGGTTGTTGATAAAGTACCTACATAAGTGACCTTATGACAGCAGTGATGGATTCAAGCTGTGGTGCTTAAATCATTTGATCTGAACACATCTTAAAATGGTTAAAATCATAACTTCATATTTTTTGTCGGTGGGCTTACAGCTGATTAAATGCTACGTTTCACTTCTGCATTTACAGTCCAGTTAGGTAACACTGAGTCAAAAATGTTCACACTTTTTGCTTCATGTTTTAGGTTTCAAGGAACTTGTATTTTACTTTTTATTGCATATCATCTGGCTATTTTTTCATAAATACAAGGACTCCTATCCAGGCCTTCACTTCACTGTGTCTAGACTGTACCTCTCCATACCACAAAGAAGACCCACAATGGTTGAAACTGGTCTGCGTTTTTCCGGTTGTTGGAGTTTATACAGTTATTTCCCTGTTAAAATAAAGACATTTTAACAGTATCCTTGACTCACTGACCTCTGAACCTACTCTGTCTGGGTGGTAAACATAAACTGTTGATACTAGCTTATGTCAAAAAGAAAGACGTCAACTTTTGCAGCCATTTCTTGCTTTTCAAGTTTAATCAGCAGAGTTTGATGTTGTATTTTCAAGAGTTTTTAAGAATGTATTTGAGGCTGTCATGCCAGTATTCAGAGATAGGACAGGAAAGAGAGTAGGAAACAGGGGAGAGAGGATGGGGAATGACTTTAGTCCAAGGACAGACAGTTGGAATCAAGCATGATTTGTCTGCCAAGCCCAGACAGTGCCCAGTAATGATGTTTTAAAGTACCAAAAAAAAGGATGAATAAATGGTGGTTTAAGTTGTGTTTCAAAGTCACTTTTTTACTTGTGATGTACAATTTACAGGTAATTTGTAACCTGTAAACAATATGTGTGTGATATTTCCACTCTCTGACTGTTACATCTTCTCTGTGTTTGTGCATCTGTTAGGGGCTCAAAGCTCGACACAGTAGGGGTGCTGTGTTTCAGGGACAGAACTCTGCAGGGGAGCCGCTCCATCCAGCACAGTCTCATCTTCCAGATCAAATTACCTGAGCTTCTGCACAACTCAGGTACATTCTCTTATTTATACATCTGAATGGGTGTGTATTTGTATTCACATACTCCACCGAGTAGTACATGTTTGTGTGTGCTGGTATGTCACGCAGTGTGTTTCTGTCTGCATATACTTTTGTTCTCTGTCCTCTGAATGTGTGTAGCCTACTTTGAATACCGTCCCCGATTTGAACCCTCAGACTGCGTGCTCGCCCTCTTAATCTAACACTTTTCTTTTATTCCTTTATCTGTTAAAAAGGTGCAAGTCATTTAAACGATAATGGCAGAATGTAGACGGCAGTGGCTCTGTGATATGTGAAGATTTTTTTTTTTTAGAGTTAAGTTGAAGTGTCTGCCTTTACCTCTACTTCCCTTTCAGCAGTAGTTTCATTTTAATGACCTTGCAATCAAATCGGCTGCTCTTTGTCATGATGTTCACTTCGTGTAACCTTATCTGTTGATGTTTTGCAAAGTGTGAATCAAGTTACCTCAGTCGAACTTTTCACATGCACTCATTTTTCTTAGAAAGTGATTTACCTCTTCACAATGCTTTAATTACCTTTTCATCTACACATCTTGAATCAGAATCAGAACAAAACTGGATCATTTCAAAACATCTATTTAAAAATCCATATCGAGACAACTGTCATTATTTTGTGCCGTATAACGAATCCACTTTTGCGCATTAAGCAGCTTAAGCTTGGCAGCACATAGTGAACGTGATTGCTCAGGCAGTATCCAAAGCTGTGTCAATCAACAGTGTGAGAAATAGAGGGTTGAGTGATCAGAACAGTGTTCATTTGAGCAAGTGGGTTTTGAAAAGAGCAACTCTACATTAAACTCCAATTTCACTTACTAATGTTCCCAAACTGTTTCCAGCCATGACAAACTGTAAAAAAAAAACTCCCTGCTGTTCACAATGGTCTGGTCTGTGTTAGTCAAAAGTTTGTGCATTAAATTAAACTGAAGCGCAAAAAAGAGTCATTAAAGTCTGCCGCGGGGGACAACACGGCTCGGCGGAGTGCTGCCCCCGTCTTTGACGTGGTTGGTAGAGGAGGACTTGTGAAAGTTGAAACCATAGACTGTATATAAAATGGACGCCGTCTGCCTCCTCGCTGGGTGAAGCAACTCCGAGAACAGCACCCTCTGGTGACAGGCTGCAGTATAGGTCATAAATCCCGCCTCTGCCAACCATCCTTATGCGGCTGTGGACAAACTGTAGAAATTTATTACACAGAATATACATTTTTCTCCCCTGTTCTTGTGATGTTGACATGTAGTTACTGTAAGACTGGTTTGTGCTCAAGTCCTCTTTTTTTCTGTACAGCTTATTAGGGGGTTCATGTTTTCTATGATTAACACTTGATACAGCCTATGGGCGTATGAAGATTGCGTGGCTTACCCGGGGGATACACAGTTTGAGCCGAGCGTCATCACAGCGACTCTCCCGCCGAATGCGTACAACGCTACTGCGCAATGTTGGTTGCAGGAAATTGAGAAAAAATGCGGAATTACCGAGAGCTTTTTGGCTTCAAATCCTTGCACTGGCGGATGGCGGAGCCAAGTTTCCCATAATATATACAGTCTATGCCTGTGAAATAGGGGTGCTCTGAAAACACCCCTATTAGGACTTGGTACGTTCCTCCTGAGGAAATTAACCGTCGACTGTAAATTGATGCAGAAAATAATCGAGTTGACTAATCAGAAATTTGGTCGACTCAGCATGTATCGACCAATAAGTCAACTGGTCGACTAGGACTTTTACAGCCCTACTTCTCTAGTCTATCTCTTGTTGTTTGACGTTCTGTCTGAACATGTTTTCTTGAGGAAACTAAGGAAACTGTTGAGCATGAAAATCGACCTTAGAACAACCTGGTATTATTATTCCTTTGAAGACACATCACTGTTGCATCTTCTGTAATTCTGCTATTATATGGATTATGAAAGGATAGAGACAGCAATGTACAAGATGCATGTATCAACAACCAACATGCTTTATGAAAGGTTGTTGTATGCTTTCTTTCACAGTGGTGATGTATTATGTATATGTATTGTTGTTTGTCATGCAGCATGTCCTAAGAGTGTAGGGTGGGAGAAGAATCCTAAAGGGGCCATGGGACCCCGGATGGTAAACCTCAGTGAATGCATGGACCCCAAAAGGTGATTCAAATTAGTCTACTTTGCATTCACCCCTTTTGCCACAGGTTTGAAAGTAAAACTGTGAACTATTCAAGCTTGAAATTACATTTTGGTGAAAGTAGATTAAGTAAGAAAATTCTGCACCCATCATGCTTTCATTTAAAGTTGGAGTTGGAGTTTTTACTAATTATGTCCTCACATTTCTGCACAGTCCAGACAAGTGTTGAGGTACGATTACATGTTCTGCCAGTTTTTAGGAAATCGTGGGTTAAAAAACTTACTCTGAAGTTGTCTCTGTTGGCTGTGTGCAGGCTGGCAGAGTCATCAGTGGACCTGAACCTCAAGCTAATGAGATGGAGGCTGGTTCCATCGTTGGATCTGGACAAAGTGGTCAGCACAAAGTGTCTCCTGCTCGGAGCAGGGACTCTGGGCTGCAATGTAGCCAGGACTTTGATGGTAAGGTTGGAAGGACAGCAGAGGACAAACCGGTCTTTGGGATATAGTTGGCTGGAATTTTACAGTTTTTTAAAGGGATAGTCTGTGAATTTCACTCAAGAGTTTCCTGTAGCAGGTATTCCTTCAAAGTTGAAGCAGCAAAGTGTCTAACATTAAATCAGACCTGTGCCAATAACACAGAAAACGCTCACAGCATTATTATGGGTGATATTTCAACTCTAATTTGTATTGATGACCTGAAGGTAAGCCAAAGAGAAATACAGATCACAATCAGGTAGTAGTTATCACAGTGAAAATCACATATAGACAAAAATGGAAATCAAAGTTGACATTCTAAACAAGATAAAGGTCAAAATGTTTTCTGACCTTTTACTTTGACTGCGCCATAAGAAACATAAATTAGTAAGCCAATTAGACATGTGCTGCTGTAAACACACGATGACTGTGTTTCTCGTTGCATTTTTATTCATTACTTTACATAACGACAGCATATGCAGAGTCTTTTTGATCAAAAAGACTACTGCCTGTTTTCATACACAAACATCTGCCTATTAATATTTCACCTCACAATAAATTTCACGTTATTCAGACATCCTCTCTCCATCTAAATGTGCAAACTTAGATTAGATTCTGCCTGAAATGCAAAATTAATTAAAGCTCACCCACAATGCAGTGCTTTGTTTAAAAAAGGTCTGTGTATTATTCTATTGACACTGCTTCTTTCGCCCCTCATTTAGAGGCTTACTTGACTCTTAGTTAGAATTAAAATGAATTATTCCTTGTGTATTTCAATGTCGCTGTGGCTAGACTTTGTATTAAAGTACAATTAATGACAAAGAAGTACAATCTTGAGGTTGCATGGCTTGCACACTAATTAGTGTAAAGTATCAATTAACTTTGCAACACACACTGGACATGCAACCTCCCACTCATTGTTGTTTAATGAGTGTTGCTCAGGACAACTTTAATTTCACTAAATTGGGGTTAAGCAAGCAGAAATAATGTGATTAAAGATATGAATAATGTTATTTTTCTCCAGGGATGGGGAGTGAGACGCATCACATTTGTAGACAACGCAAAGATCTCATACTCTAATCCAGTCCGGCAGCCGCTCTATGAGTTTGAAGACTGTCTCGGAGGAGGGAAGTCAAAAGCCATGGCAGCCGTGGACCGACTTACCAAAATCTTTCCTGGGGTGGTGAGTGATTTAAGACGTACATTCAGCTCGTTATTATTCCCACATAATGGTATTCCTGTTTGTTCGGTCATGCCTGAGATGTGACGGCCCAACAATACCAGGAATAAAAAGGTGAGTTAGTTGAATATTGATGCTGCTGGTTTCATTATTTAGTTAATTAATGAGCTGGTTCCCTAGGGGCAGGATTGTATTTACTGAATGAAAACTCAGTCACACAAGCAGAGCTGCTGTTAGATGTTGTATAATGTTCAGTTTAGGAAGGTAACAGAAGTAGTTAAAAATCACATTTGAATTATGTATGAAAGTATTAATATTATTATTTTAGGATTATTTGTGGGGCATTTTTGCCATTAATGGATAGAGAGAAAGAGAGAGAGAGAGAGAGAGAGAGAGACAGAGAGAGGGGGCTGGAATCAAACCCGCGACCGTCTGCGCACCCCTTATGAAAGTATTATTATTAGTTGTTTTTCCTTTGGTATTTATTCTTGTACTGACAGACATGATTAATCCATAGATTTCAATAGTAAATCGCAATTTATCACATTTATATTCAAACCTTTAAATCTCAGGTTTGGCATTTCTAAATGGTTTTTAAGGTCATATCAATAACCCAAATCAATAAATGCTAATCTGAAGATGAAAAATAGACCCAATTCTTTTCCTATGCTCAGTTACCACCCTGTTTGTAAGGGCTATTTTAGGGTGACCATGCGTTCTCTTTTACCCGGACATGTCTTCTTTTTGGGGGCTATCAGGGTTTGTCCAGCTTTGTCCAGGGAAGTTTATAAAATCCTTCAGATGTCCGCGGTTTTGTTTGTAAGTTTCAATTTTTTGTCATGTGGATTTACTGAGTTAGAAGCATGTAAAAGACACTCAATCTAACCTGAAAAACTTTGTGACTCTGCCCCCCATAGTCATGTCCTCTTTTTGGGAAGTCAGAATATTGTCCCCCTAGCTATTTCATTTGCAGATATGTGATTATTTGCTCACTCCACAGGTAGGGATCTGCTTTTGTGGTGCTGCTCACTGAAATCAGTCCGATACCTGCACTTGGAGGCTTAGCTTGTAGGCGGTAGCTCATATTGGAGGTTCTTTAGGGACTATCTAATTTTATTTGACATTAAGTGCACATTATGTCTGACCTGTCAACCATGCTGTCAGGAGTTTTTAAAGTTCAATGTTTCAGTTAAAAACACTTAAATGTGATTATTTTACATCACAGCAGCAGCATGATGCAGGAGGACACTGTAGCAGCTTAATTACAGTGTGGTATAGAGTGTGATATCTTTGGACCTTAATTGCAAAGCGTTGGTAGCCCAAGTTCTTGTGATTATTTGAGTACATTAAAAAAACAGAAGTACAGTTATATGCCATATCACAAGACAGTCCACTACACAGTGTACAGCACAGGTGTCAAACTCAAGGCCAGGGGCCAAATCCGGCCCGTGGAATAATTATATCTGGCCCACGAGTTCATAACATATTTGTATTATTATTGGCCCAACAGTATGAAGTCTGCAGATTTCGTCCAGGATAATAATGTAAACTTTAGCACCATTATTTAAAATGGCCTTAATAAACCATGAAAATCTGGGAAATTAAAGAGTAATAAAGATTTGATAAATAGTCAAGAATGTGGGGGAAAAAATATTTGGTGTTTTATTTCATGTTTTCAATTTTGCATTTCAAGATTACAAGTCAAACATGATTGGATTTTTTATTTCATGCTTTGATTTTGTTCAACTCAGTATTTAGACTTGTGTCACTTTTATACTTTAGATTCCAATCTGAAACTTTAAGTAATATTTTGACCTTTTTAACCTGGTTTTAATGTTTTTTTCATGTATTTGCTCTTTAAACACATTATTTTTCTATTTTTAATATCATGCTCTGATCTTTTGAACTAATAAATAAAAATAGAATAAAAAATAACATTTTTCCATCTCAGATTGCCTTTTAACTTTTAAAAAAAATATTTTTTGAATTTCCAAATGTTTTATAATCATTGCTATTTTTGTTACATATTTTCTAAAAAAGGGGGTTGACAGTTTTGGTCAAATGTTGACCCTGTTTGGCCCTCAGGTTAGACCTAAATCCAGATTATGGCCCTTGCTGTGGTTGAGTTTGACACCCCAGGTGTACAGTATTGATCTGAGCTGAATTTGTTCCCTCTATATAGCTTCAGCTGAAATCAGTGCTGTTGTGTTATACATACATCAGAGATAAGTAAATAGTAAAATAATACAACAATCCTGTTTTCATACTGATTGCATGTTGAATGCAGAATTTTACAGGTGGGGTGTTGCTGCTTCAATCACTTAATTGGGTTACCTGTGTAGTTAAAATGGGGACACAGCAACTTAAAGTTACAGGTTTTAAGTTTTGGGCTCATTTGAATCTTCCAAACGATCACTGTGAAATCCCATGACTTCACTAAAGATCAAGTTTTTAATGCACACTGAGAGACCTGTATCGGGATTTTACAGCTCAGCCTGTGAAATGAAATGTTTCTACCCCCTGGGCTCCGAGGCAACCTCTGTGTGTGTTTTGACAAAAACTGGCTAAGACTCAGTCTGTGAGCTCATCTCCCCGGAGCATGTATGATTGAAGTCTCATTTTCAAATTATTGACCTGACAAAGCTTGCAACTGGGACTCTTTTTGAAAGGTTGTTCCTGAAATGAGATATAATGGGGGAAGTAATATACTGTCAGAAACACATGGACAGTTAATGCCCCATTTAAATGCACACATGCGGACGAATAATTGCCATGTCCTTATATCATCAATTTGACTCCCTCCACCCTCGTGTTTTCAGATTCTCTTATATTCTTGTGGGGATAAAATCTACAGCGAAGAACAGAGGTTCGCTGTGTGATGGATGGCTCGGTGCTACCTTGACATCTGGAGTCAGTGTTCACTGCAACCATAAATGCCCTCCTATTTTTATCAGTGTGGGTGTTTGTCTGCTTCGATCTTATCCCAGCTTGTTTTCCTGCAGACATCTGGGCATCAGGTGTTAGTGTTACGGATAAGAGGAGTTATGAACAAGGTGAGCACAGAGTCAGAGTCAACACAGAGGAGCTGGTTTATCCAAGGTCACAATGTGGAAAAGGTCTAAAACAGATTTGAAGGGAAGCCTGTGGACTAATGTTTTCACAGAAATGTTTGTAGAGCTCCTGCCAGATTCCTAATTATCCTCAAATTTTGGCACCACTTTTGTCAGAGCTGCCTTAAGGTGTCAACAGTGACACGTTTGGATTTTAATGAAACGCTGTTTGCCTTTTCATTTTTTGTTTTTGCCACAATCACAATGTTTTAATTGTCCTTTGTTGGCTGCAAGTCTAGGTTGTAAATTAGAAAATGATTTTCATATCTGCAGCCTGAAGTCACCCCTGATGCTTAGCAACACATTCAGTGACTGAATTGTGAATTCAAAGCTCGGTTGACAGCTCCCACCCTTGAAATGTGGAGAGCGATTAAGTGCATCCACTGATTCCGAATAAGTAGCATGTTTAGATCTCGGCCTTTTTCGACCCTCTCTTGACTATAAAATTGCTCCTGACATTTCTATTTGCTTTACCGTCAAGCCTGCAATCCCCGGAGATAGTCACGGTTATAAAAGTTTGGCAATAGACAATGAATATATATATTTTTTGTGGAATAGAAAGTGGAGATTTGAGGTTTTCTTTTTAATACTCTCCTACTGACTTTGGGGGAGAGCCAAATCCATCCTGGTCTGAGGTCAACCGTGGTGATGAACTGATGATGTGTCACACAGAGGCACTGTTGGGAGACTGCTTCTGCTGTTCCCCTATAATTTGTGGAGGCGTGTCATTCAGCTGAAAGCACTCACGTTTCAAACAGTTAACTTGCCATACATGTTGGATCTTGTAGTTCTGAAAATCTATTCATGGCAAGTTTTTCTCCGGAGAAGCTTTCAGTCAAAACATCCCTCAGTGCAGAAAATACAAAACTACAGCGTATACAAAGCATTCAAACATACCGCATTGCATTTTCGGTGGTTAAAATGTTTTGAGGCTTGATATGGGCGCTCTTGCATGAATTTGCTTTTGCATATAATTTCGTTGCATTCCAAAGCAGCACTGATTTGTACATGTACATGGAGAGATGATAATTTGCACCATTTAGAGATGAGTAAATTGGTAGCTCAGTACCCCAATTAAAATGACATTTCCAAATTCTACATACTAAACAGTTTGTACAAAAGAGCAGAAGTTTAAAAAAGTACATGCAAAAAATGTAAACCAAAAAAGACAACAAATTGCCCAAAGAGTAAAGGCTTTAATGTGAAGCTGTGTTTTAATTTGCATATTTACATTTGCATATCTTAAATGTTACTTTTTTATTTTTTTAGCTGTGTCTTATTTTTCTTCTCTTTCTTTGTCTCTCTTTCTTCTTTCAGAATGCAGAAGGTTACAATATGAGCATCCCCATGCCAGGACACCCTGTTAATTTCTCCCAGGCCACTTTGGCCCAGGCCCAGAGAGATGTTGAGCAGCTGGAGAAGCTAATTTCAGAACATGATGTGGTATTCTTACTAATGGATACCAGGGAGAGCCGCTGGTTGCCCACAGTGATCGCTGCCAGCAAGAGGAAGGTATGACAGTACAGTGTCGAATGTACAGGGCCGAACAAGATTAATTAAAGCTGCCCTCATAGTATGATGATGTGTTATCTTTAAAGTGAACTATTCCTACAGTAAAGTACAGTTTAACCCCGTCATTAACAGCTTTTCAGGCTGCAGGATGGAACAAATGTCAGATAGACACGATTACAAACTAGTAGGAAAGAGATGACCGTGTTGCACCTTTTATTTTATTTCGCAAGAAATCATACAAAGCAAAAGTGAAACTTAATTAACCCTTTTCAAAAGGGCAGAAACACTGTGTCAAAACAAAGCTGCAGTTTTTCATGAAGCGCTGCACCACAAAACAACACTCTGAGAAGGTTTTCCGCCCCCTGGGGAATAAAAGGAGAAATAAACTTTGAAACTTTCAGCTGTTAAAGAAGTAACATACTGTGTGTTGTTAACCTATTATTTTTTCACACAGTAGTTTTGAAAAGTAGTGCCTACACAGAATTTGCCTGATATCCAGCAGTTTTTCAACAAACGTAATGAGCAGCCATACATCCAACAAGTTTTTTGTGACTGTAATACAATGAATTTTGACAAAAGTGGCGGCAATCAAACCAGCCGGATGTGTCCTCCACATTGTCTAATATCACCTTAAAACCACCCACTGTGACTGATTGAGTCAGTTTCATGTTTTAGAAAGCATAAAAGCTGTGATGGGGCGCTCACACCAAGCGCAAGTAAAATCATCTGCTCGGTTAATCTAGACACGTGAATGAATAATATTTACTCGCTTCATTCACGTGTCAACGCTAATTTCAACAGTAATCCCTGCCAATTCAACCAGCAGGATCAAGTGATGACAAAGGTTTTTTACAATTTACCAGGTAATCCGACCTCCTCACTCACTTGCCTCCAGGCGAGCTCCTTTTTATTCTGGTTTCGATAATTGAAAGAAATAGTATCATATAATTCAGGGGACCCACACACCAACACAATCAGTTTGTCCTCCATTTTAGAAACCAGTGAACAACCGTCTGTTTTCATAAGTAACTTGGCAACCTTCATGCTGATTAGTTATTGTGACACGAATATCCGCTGAAGTTGAGACATTTGCAGCTCCCACCCACTTCACGTCATTCGTGCCACCAGAGGAGTAGTAGCGTCTAATCGCGTCTTTGCATTGACTAAACATGTAATTCATTCATGATGATTTTACTCGTGCTTGGTGTGTGGAGACAGTAAAGCTTTTTGTATTGGATTGCATCAGATTGCCCAGATGTCCATAATGTTACGGCTGTAGACCAGGTTGTAGGGAAGGATACTCAAAATAGACTAATATATCAAAATATGCCTGTATATTAGTCTGTAACTTTTGTAGGTCGAACAGTAATGAGTCATGGCTTAAGAGTTCGAGCTGAACCTCACTGGTCCATGATACATGGTGTCCGGATCAATATTCGAGGCATAAAAGTGTCAGCAAACAGTCCCTGTTTGGACCGGACGGATAAATGGGATATAATTTCTGAAGTAAAGACAGTTTTAGTTTGTATCTTTAAGTCTAAAAGCATGATTATTTTGATGGTGTCATGGAGGTTAGAGAAAGTAATCAGGAGACTGAACATTTGTCTGCTCTAATGGTCGAGTACGCACAGAAGAGTCGCAGTGCAGCGCTGTGACAGGAGACATTTTAACTCCACCCCTCTTTATTACAACGCTCTGAAAGCTGAAACTTGAAATTCGAGGCACGCTTGACCTTTTTTCAGGAAAGTGAAATAATATAAAGTCTTCTTGTGTTTCTGTCAAATCTGTAGTTTGTCAATTTTAATTGTATTTGTTGCCGGGCAACGCCGGATTATTGGACATTGTGAAGGAACAGGAACTTGTGAGCCTCAAGTAACACTGACGTGGCGCCTTTAATGCCGTATTAGCAGCAGTTAAGTGTTTTAGGGCTTGCTGATAATGTTTTCTTGATGACTTGCTCAGCTGAGTGGCTGTTTTGCCTTTTGTACTGCGAGGCTGTTAAAGACTTCACCACAAATTAGCTTCACAATATGGTTCTTTTACGCTCCGCAAGTCGGGATGCTCTGAAATTGTTAAGAGCCTATTCATGTTTATGTAACTGCTTTTTTGAAAAACGGAAACACATTATAGCCTCATTGTTTGTACAAAAAGAGGCAATTTAGTCTATTAGATTTTTGTGGCAATGTGCCGTGCTCTGTGAAAAACCTTAATTGTCATCTTTTTCCTCCTTTAGCTCGTGGTGAATGCGGCCCTGGGCTTTGACACGTTTGTTGTGATGCGCCATGGCCTCAAGAAACCCCTGCTCGGTCAGGGTGTTTCTGCGGGTGCTGACTCGTCCTCTTCTTGCTCTTCTGCTTCCTCTTCATCCTCCACACCAGCTGGCTCTGCACCTACGGTCCCAGGATCCTCTCTGTTTTCCAACATCCCAGGGCACAAACTTGGCTGCTACTTCTGCAATGATGTTGTGGCACCAGGAGACGTAAGGAATCATAATCACAAACTTATGTGATGTATTAGGAACAAACAAAGGGGCAACTTTGAGCAGCTAAAACCTCACTGTACACTATCCAACAAACGATTTCAAGCAGTTACTCTGCTCTTTTTTGAAGGTGAACATGTGTTAAAAAGTTTGTATGCTTCCCCCTTTAGAAAATTTTTAATCATTGTTGGAATTTGTGGAAGGGAACTAAAATAACCTTCAAAGTCTAAATGTAAAAACTCTCCTCATCTGTTATGTAAAAAGAAATGATGACACAACGAACAATATTATTCTGGTGGTGTCATCTGTGAAAATATTCTGAAATCAGAGTCTTTGTTTACTGTAAATATTGCACAGCAGAATCTCTGAAATTCTGAAAATTAGCAAATAATAGCTCAGTCCACCATCATGACTTTGCATAATCTTTAAATGCTCTGCAAAAAAATCAGCATATCAGAACAAACTAACCTGTGATTGGTGCCAAGCGAATTTCCCAAACTTCTATGAAGACACTCATTCAGGTTTAAACCGGGGATGCCTCTTGTAATGCGGTTGTAGCTCCAAACTTACTTACTTGCTATTGATGTGTGTTTCTTTCTCATTAACAGTCAACGAGGGATCGGACTCTGGATCAACAGTGCACAGTCAGCAGGCCAGGTCTGGCCATGATAGCTGGAGCTCTGGCTGTAGAGATGATGGTGTCTATTCTGCAGCACAGTGAAGGGTGAGCACAGCTGTTCTGCAGCTTTTAGGAATCATAGCTGCAGAAGCTTCAAACTCGGTCTTGCTCGTCACGTTCCACTGCCTTGTAGTAGTCATCATTTTTGAGTAACCTCTAGGGCTGGGCGATATGGCCTCAAACAATATCACGATATATTGAGCAGTTCACCTCGATAGTTTAAATGGATGATAACTCCTCCACAAACTACTCACCCCCTCCCACATTAACTTTGTTTACATCAGCCGCCACTACAACTTTTGAACCGTCCTCCATCTCCTCACCTGTCTTTCCCTCTTTGTTACGGACTGGATGGGGTGGAGTCACATCTCTGAGACCATAGCCTACCTACACACATCCAATACCAACTTTTATAGATTTTTTTTTTTTGACACTGAATATACTGATTTGGTAAAAATGACATCGGTTATTGTCGTAAATTTTGGTATCGGCAAATTTTCGGTTTATTGCCCAGCCCTAGTATCCTGTGTTTCTTATACACCTTTCATTAAGTGGATCTGGATTTTTCACTCTCCTTAGCAAACATTGAGGCACAGGATGTGGAGTTTTAAACCAGTTTTATGGCACGTCTTCTTCAACTGGACTTTTTTTTCCCCTCAGCATTAAAACTAGACTGTTAAAAAAAGAGCCATGCAAACTCTGAGATTTGCAGAGATATGCACAAAGTCAGACACCCGCCCCCAGTCGGTGAGCAGCAAGGACCAGCCGCTGATGTCCCTAAATGAGCTCCGTGCTGGTACTAAAGGAGGAATTTCCTTTGAGGTTGTCTCTGTTCATTTTTCAGCAAGCTTAGCTTTCTGCTTTTGCTTTCTGATGGAACAGCAATGCAGCTGAAGTCTTTCAGCGATGCACATGGAGTCCTTAATTTGTTTGCAGCACATCTCACCAAAAATTAGTTAAGCAAAACAACTTGCTGTTGAGGCTTTCTCTGCAATTTATAATCCCTCCCTCATTTTTAAGCTTCAGAAGCTTTTACACTGTGATTCAGTCAGCTCTCAAGTTCATTCGGTAAGCTGCACTAACTCTGTTTTCGGCTTCTGAAGGTGCTTTTTTTTCTGTCCAAACACTAATGGAGATGCTTTTGTCTGTTAAGTGTGTTTTTTTTCACTGGTGTGTCTTTGTGGAAACGTAATTTCGTCTGCCTTTTCCCGGTGAAAGTCAAACTAAAGTGGTTGCCGGCCGTGCCTGATAAGACAGCCATTTTCTTTCAGAGTGTTTTGAGATGTTATAAGCCGTTGCAGAACTCTTCTGCCCATCCTGGATAAAAAGCTTAGGAAGTAAAGAAGAGAGGATGAGAAAGAGATGTTCTCTCTTTACCTCCATAGTTGTGCGAGTCTGTCTTTTACAACCAGATCTCCCTTTCTTGCATCTACCCTCATTTTATCCCTGTCTCTAGCTTGTTTATTCTCCGTGTTTACTTCTCTCTCCATAACCCTCTTTGCTCCATCTTTTTATCCCTTTAACAATCCCTGCACCATGAACAAATCAGATTTTAATGGGTCACTTTGAAAACAGTGTGGGACTAAATATCCAAATCATTGTTACCTTTAGATACGTGGATCTTCTGACTCAAGGTAGATTCACAGACCGTCAGGAGCTCATAGATAATGTAGACAATAATATGTAACATGCTGTTTTTTCTTTCTTAATTTCAATTTCAAGACTTGATTGAAATGACCTGATAAATTATACCGGATGTTACCCAAGCTGTGATTTCACCCACACAGACAAATATGCAAATGCTGCATAAAAATGTGTCATGTTAATTATTTCCTCCCCCTCTGTCTCCATCTTCAGAGGCTATGCGGTGGCCAGCAGCAGTGATGACAGAATGAATGAACCCCCCACCTCTCTGGGACTGGTGCCACATCAGGTCAGACACACACGCCTGCCCGCCCAGAGCTATTATTGAAGTAGAGTACCAACAGTCTATGCTGCGTGCTTGCTTCTCCTTGCCATTTTCTCTTCTTTGCTACATGATGTCAGCCACCGACATATAAAAATGTATGAGCTTATAAGCCACAGCGTTTTTCAGTTCATCTAGAAATCAAAGCAGTTAAATCTGGATCAAACACTCTCATACTTATTTACATACTTGTGATTTTTTATTATTGAGAAAAAATCCAAAGATAAAACTTGTTTCATTAAAAAAGATAAAAAATAAAGCTTTGATATTGCCCTCATCATAAACATTATCCCCTTCATGTTGGTAATGAGATGCAGACTAAGATTCTTTGTAGTCACTTTTAAGACGGTGTGAATCCAGTTCAATGTTTGTTAAGGAGATTGTGGTTTGTGCGACTGATTGATAGCCAGTATCCTGTCAGGCTAGTTTCATTTGGTTGGTTACAGTTTAGTTCAGTGTCACATTTGGTTGAGTTTAATTTAGTTTTAGTTTAGGTAAAAAGTTTAGGTAAGCTTCATTAAGTCTAGTCGAGTTGAGTTCAGCGTTAAGTTGCGTTGCGATAAGTTGTGTTAAATTAAGTTGCGTTAAGTTCAGTTTAGTTTAGTTTTAGTTTAAAGTTAGGTAAAATGTTTAGGTAAGCTTTATTAAGTCAAGTCTAGTTTAGTTGGGTTCAGTGTTAAGTTGCGTTTAGTTGTGTTGCGTTTAGTTTTGTTACGTTAAGTTGCGTTAAGTTTAGTTTCAGTTTAAAGTTTAGGTAAAAAGTTTAGGTAAGCTTCATTGATAGCTGACTGAGTGATAGCCATTATCCTGTTAGGCTAGTTTTATTTGGTTGGTTACAGTTTAGTTCAGTGTCACATTTGGGTAAGTTTAGTTAAGTTTAGTTTAGTTTTAGTTTAGGTAAAATGTTTAGGTAAGCCTCATTAAGCCTAGTCTAGTTGAGTTAAGTTCAGCATTAAGTTTAGTTATGCTAAATTAAGTTAAATTGAGTTAAGTTGAGTTAGGTGAAGTTGAGTCCGGTTTGGAGCATATTTACATCTGTGGTCCCTGGGCGGGCCAATCTTAAGAGTAAAGAAATTTGAATATCTGGTCAGTATAGTGCGGTCAATTTCACGATTACAAAGTTCTGCCCCAGAAATACAGATACAGTTCTCTGATATCCTTTTAACGTTGCTTAACAATGTTAAAATCCATTTTGAAATATCTGTCGTAATCCTTTTATATAAGTCAAATTTTCTTTGGTAGGTCTTCGGTGGTCTTTACATCCTGCAAAGCAGTCTTTAACCAATGCATTAAATTGGCAACATTTCAGTGACTGATTGTTAGATGGGTCAGGAAGTTTAAAATGGTGATTTGTTTTTCTTGGATGGTTAAGAATCGAGGTGCAGTCGTTCTGAACTGGCGTGGTTGCTCAGAGTCTGGGGGTGTGAGGCTTGTTAGATGTCCTGCCAAATTCTGGAGGACGGTGCCGGAGATGGATTATGGTTGTGAAATGGAAATTCAAAGGACTGGCAACAGCTGTGATGAATGTCTCAGCAGTTAGCACGCCAACTGCATGCTCTATCAAAACTTATATTGTGTTATTTGATCAAACATCACATCTCGAAGCAGCCCCTTCATTGTTGACAGCCTGAGGCACACCTGTGTAATAACCATGTTATCCGATCAACATCTGGATGAGTCATACCGCTTTGTTGTGCGGACTATTTTGGCAAAGAAATGATGCATTTAAACTCACTCTGAAAGGAAACAAATGGGTTTTAAAAAAAGTATCAATCCTTATTTTCACTGTCAGAGATTAGATAAGTGTGGCATCAATATTTTTCAGCATGAATGAAAAATCTCTGCCGGATATGTGCTCAGAGTTTAAGAGTGATGCTGAGGAAATTACTGCAGTTTTTTGCTTTGCCTCCTAAGTTTGTGAAACCCTCAGTGACAATGACAGTAAACATTACAGATGATGCAAGAACCAGGCACATATTTTTTAATAGTTAAAGCAGGTTTTGCTAGGAACCTTGAGTCATTTAGCCTCCTGGTCTTGATTACATCAGCTCTGAAAAGGTCAAATATACACAATAAACGTAAGAACTAACCTTTATGATGTGGTGCTGCATGAAATAGATAGGTGAGTCACATTTATTGTCCGTCTGTTTGTTTTCTTTAACCTTTATAAAGTAGCTTTTAACTCTATTTCATTCATTTATCTGTGTATATGTTCATGCAGTTAATAATTGTATACTTCTTTCAGGCACTTTAAGGTTGCATTTTTTTCTTTATATGTCTGAGGTGTCCCTGTTTGTGAATGGACAAGACCTGCATTTGCGATTCCTGAGTCAAGTCAGGGAGAAAACAGCTCTGCAGTAAATTCCACATGACTTAAGGATGTTGATATCCAGTCTCTGTTGATGGTAAATGTTGTCAGCGTCAGTAATCAACTCCCCAGTGTGCACTTAACTTGATGAAAAACCTGACTGACAGAGCTGTGCCTGCAGAGTCTGCATGTACCAGTATGCACTTACCCAAGCAGTAACAGCCCAGCCTGGGACTTGCTCCAAAGCGTTTCATGGTGGTACATCCAAACAAATACACTGATGAGTAATCAAACAACAAAAAGCACTGTAAAAGTGTCCACAGGAGTAATTTCATACCCACTCAGACTGAAGGATACATCTCTTTCACTTTTTGTTTGGGCCCTAAAATTCAAGACTGAAGTTAGTGGAGGCTGAAGCAGACTGGATTTCTCCCTGGCGTCCGAGTTTGTCAACTGAGAACAAACAGGAATTCAGCTTTGTTGAGCTTTCCTCAGAAACAGAGATCAAAACAACACAATTGTGCTTTGGCTGTTTATGTTTCAGTCAGTTTATGCTTTGAAACACGGAGGCTTGAATCCATCCCTTTATGAGCTGTTTGGACACCCCCAGCAGTGCTGATAATGATCAAAAAAAGATGTATGTTATTTTTACATTTGTAGATTTGCGCCTCGTTACAGAAAACAGTGCATTTTATCAGCATCATTGTAATGGTCACTTAATGTTTGAAAATGAAGGATGAAACAAAAACAAGAGTGCAGATACCCAGAAGTGGAAAAGGGGGTACCTATGAGTGTGACCTGACACAGGAGCTCCTATAGTTCATATTGATATGCATCAGACAGAAACAAAGATGAGTCATTCACACAGGCCAAATTAACTGGCATAACTCATTAACAGATTGGATTATACACGACAAATCACTGCGGGTCCACTCCAAAAGAGCGCATGCAGTTTTCTTTGTTCAGTTTTTGGCACAGTCTGCATACCAATAATTAGGCCTACTCTGCCAAGGGGTCGGCACATTAAGGTCCCAGCCTTCATCTGATACCCAGCTGAAGATGCACCAGGCCCTCATGCCTATCCCTGCAGTTGTTGGGACCATAAGAAAGGCCACCAACTGGTTCCTTAGACAGCATAAGGAATCGGTTGAGGTGTTTGGTCATCTAATAAGGATACCATCGAGACACCTCCCTCTGGAGGTCATCCAGGCATGTCCAACTTGGAGTAGACTCCAGGGTATTTTGACCCAGTGTGCAATGGAGGGTTATATATCCCGTCTGGTCTGGGAAAACCTCTTGATCCCTCAGGAGGAGCTGGAAAGCATTGGAGGGGAGAAGCATGTCAGGGGATACTTGCACAGCCTGCTGCTTTTGTGATGCTGCTCTGGATGAGAGAAGAAGAGATTAGGTGGACAGATGGATGGATTGGTCATTTTTATTGTGCTGTTTTTATAAAATAAGCAGCATACTAATTCCAACTGCCTCATCAAGAGAAGGTGAAGATTATGCATCCTGAGAATGAAGGATGTTCCATCTCTTACATGTATGGATATTAAGAAGAAGGCATTGGCCTAGGATAAAGCCTTGTGGCTCACCATAACATCATCATCATCATCACTAAAACTGAAGTGATATCTTTGTGAAGAACTAATTAATTCTGTCTTAAAGTGAATTGGTGTCACAGAAAATCTCAGAAAGAAACCAATCAAAGCAACAACTCTTTCACGAGCAAGGCCATAACTCCAGACATGAATGCTGTAATAGGGCTGGGCGATAAACTGGAAATTTACCGATACCAGAATTTACGACAATAACCGACGTCATTAAAAGTTGGTTTTGGGTGTGTGTAGGTAGGCTATGGTCTCATGTCCTCTTAAGACGCTGTCCTACGCAAAGACGTGACTCCACCCCATCCAGTCCGTAACAAAGAGGGAAAGACAAGTGAGGAGATGGAGGACGGTTCAAAAGTTGTAGCGGCTGAAGTAGACGAAGTTAATGTGGGAGGGGGTGAGCAGCTTGTGGAGTAGTTATTGTCCATATTTTGTTATCGAGGTGAACTGCTCAATATATCATGATATTGATTTGAGGCTGTGTCGCCCAGCCCTACGTTGTAATGAGTGAGTTTACTAATAATGCTTCTGAAAGAACTGCAAGAATGAACATCAAGTTATTTAGTGTGTTTGTACCACCTGTTTATTCACTTTTCAAAGTTGTATTTTAGCATCTGTTTACTTTATTTTCAGTTTGTTTATTTTCGTTATTAATTTCATTCATTCAGCACCTGTTTACTGTCTAAGAGCTTTGGGTGTTTCTAGCATTAACCAGCCAGCTGCAGCCTCATGAATGTTTTTCTCGTACTCACCTGTGGAAAAACTCTCATTCGGCTTTGTGATGGTGACATGAGAGTCCTGGTTGATTTTCAGAACCACGTGTAGCATTCTGGTGTTGCATCCATCCAGGGACTTCTGCAGGGTTGGCTTCACGGTTCTTAAAGAGTTGAAGCAGAACTCTGTATGGTGGATTAATTGGACTTTAACAGTCTCACCCTTCCTCACCAGAGTCCTTATCTGAAGTTCAAATCTCACAATATTTGAAGCCGCCAAACTTTCCGCCAGACACCGGAGATAAGTGGTCTGGGAGGAAGTTGTTTTGTGCACTTCCATTTCCTTATTTATTCATCAAGTCTAAATCACACCTGTGCTGATAGAGATTTGGCATTTTACGTGTTTTTTTCTACAGTCTTTCAAGCGTACTAGCCTGTATAAAAGCTCACTTTTTCCAACACAGCATGTCCTTTTATCCAGGAGTGTTTAAATGAAGGGCTATATTACTCCACAGGGCGTTACATTTATGTAGAGAGGTTTTTAGACTCCAGCTGGACGCCTCATTATTCCCAGATAACTCACCTTTTAAAGCATTATCATGTTTCTTTTGTGACTATATTTTAAAAACCATTTTCAGCTGCTTCCCATTTTGCTTTCCTCCACCGAAAATCCATCTAAATAATAATACCACCACCATGTCCACAGTTTTCCCCTATAAAATTGCCAATGTGATTAAATAATGAACAATTAGACTACATTCAAACTGTGCAGTGACCTGATAAGCACTTATGCCGCCGTAGCTGTATTACCGTTTGAGTAAATATATGTTCAAACTCGCTGAATGTGCGTTCAAGAATTTCTGATTCCACAAGGGTGAAGTAGGTCAACCTCTTTTTGTCAGTTGTTGCCATGGTGAATGCAACTGCAGCATGGGGTCGCCATGTATGTTGGCTTTTGATGGTCACTGTGCATGTGTTGAACTCTATACCAGCTTACTCAGAGTTTGATGAACATCTGAGTCGATCATCTGAAGCTAAATCGACTCAACCTTCTGCCCTGAGATTATGGTCTAGTATTATTTTGAAGAGGGGGAGAGAGAGAGTGTATGTCCCCCTTGAAACATCCTTGCCTGGATGTCAAACTCCTGGTTATGCTGTTTCTGACCTTGCGCCTCTGTGCAGCACTCTTATGCGTCAGAGAGGGTCTAGAGAAACAGTCTAAACCTTGAATATTCCATCATTATTCATTTTGCATTTTTCTGTTCATAATCAGAAAATTGGCCGCTGTGTGTGCATGAATCTTCCAGATAATACCCCAAAAAACCTTTGGATGGGAATGTGATTCATTTCAGAAGCTTAGATAAAAAAAAAACCTAAGACAGTTTACTTTGCTCATGTCTTATAATCAGTAGAGGTAACACTCTAATGTCATTGATTAGATCAAAACAGAGGGCTAATCATTTACACAAAGAAACACAGACATCTTAAGTTGACCTAGACCTGAAGAGCAGTCTTATTCAAAGTATGATGAGCTGATTAAACTGATGATTGGGGATAGGGGTCACCAAATAAAAGAGGACCAGACAGTCTGCAGCCTTCCAAGCTGTGTCCTTTAGCTCACTGATACTTACCGCACAAAGATTTCACCACCGCCATTTGCATCATCATCTTCATCCTTATTCATCAGCCTGAGAATTTGAATTTCTGCCATTTGCTTGACACCTCTGCCGCTCTTGGCATTTCAGCTAAATAATGTGGAGGAGAGTGGGGATGTAAATAGGCTGTGTGTGTGTGTAAGATAGTGTATTCATGTGTGTGTGCGTGTGTCTGGATGGAGGAGAGAAGGCAGACAAGGTTACAAGATAATAGTGACCAAAGAGATAGACATGTTGGGTGAATAATAAGCATAAAAGGATTAATAATGTGTGTGTTTACCCATTTTCTGTATTTGCGATGCTGGACAGGATGTTCCTCCAGCTATTGGCAGCTTAAGCACTCTGCAGCTGAGAGGTTTACTGTCTCTCTTTTCTGTGGTGCCACAGTGACAGCTTGTGGCGGGGGAGCTAAACTTCATATTTATTCACAAGTGACAGAGCAGGCCCCGTTATACAACACATGATCCCATCTTTTAAACTCTTTCTTCTGTTGTTGATGTGCAATCATCACCAGGGATGACTTTTGATCCGACAGTTTGTTGTGTTGCTTTAAACCTTTAACTCGTCAAGCTTTATATCTGAAAACCACAGAGCAGAGTTTATCCTGAACATTTTTTTGTTTCATTTCTGTGCGGTACATCACCTCGGCACTTTGTTACTACAAAGCACCTGAAGTCTCTCAAGGGGATAAAACTTGTCTCGTAAGCTGAAGTTATTATCCGGTGCTCGCAGTTCAATTATCTTGTGCATGCAAGTTATTAACCTCTGCAAATGCAGCCGTGGTATTACATCCCCTTGCTATCAATTGTTATCACATGCCATTATTCGTTACTAATTTTCTAGTTTTATGGTGTAAATACTGTTTATAATGTATTCTGATGAGTTATAATTGAGTACTGGCATTTTGTGGGTGGCATAAATGCACTCTGCAGAACAGGGTCTAAGTAGCTCAACTTGAATATATTAGAGATATGAGAGATAGTCAGTGTTTGTGATAAAAGTGCTAAATAATCATGTGGCGTGTTGACAGAACCTCCAAATTTGATGGAAACCACTTGTAGTGACTGGCAACTAGGGCTGGGTGATATGGCCTCAAATCAATATCACGATATATTGAGCAGTTCACCTCGATAACGATAAGTAAAAGATAACTACTCCACAAGCTGCTCACCCCCTCCCACATTAACCTCATCTACTCGAGCCGCCGCTCCAGCTGCTCCAACTTTTGAACCGTCCTCCATCTCCTCACCTGTCTTTCCCTCTTTGTTACGAACTGGATGGGGTGGAGTCACATCTCTGACGTAGGACAGCGTCTTAAAGGGACATGAGACAATAGCCTATCTACACACATCCAAAAACAACTTTTACTTATTTGTTTTTTTTTTTTACACAGAATATATTGACATGGGCAAAATGACGTTGGTTATTGTCGAAAATGTCGGTATCGGAATATTTTCGGTTTATCGCTACTGGCAACCTACAGTATATGCAGGGAAAACTCAGATAGTAAACAGGAGACATGAAGCAAACGACACAGAAGTGACTTCAACTGTAACTTAGACGGTCGAGGGAGAAGGGAACTAACTTGAACTTCTCATCCAGCCTTCAGCTTTCCCAGGATGTCAGAGAAGGGCTTATCCACTTCCCTGAAGGTTAAGAGTGAGAGTGCAAGGAGCCTCTTGTTTATTCTATGCTCGAGGGTCAGCGGGCGAGTTTGCCAGCTGCCTTATGGGTCTCAGAGTGACACTGCTTCACCAGCCTCTGCTCTGGCTGTCTCACCATGCTGCTTGTAAACTGGTTACGCAAACTCTGACTACCCATGTGTCCAGTGACAGGTGCCAAGTAGGGATGGGCGACAAATTATCGTTCACTACATATTGTCAGAAAAATCCTCCATGATAAATATTTGCCATCTAATGATAAATATGTTAAATGCAAGTTGATGACGTAAGCAGGAGCGACAGACAAACAAACATGGCCAAAGGTGGAGAAAAACACATCACTGAGCAGCTTGTTGCTAAACAAGTCTCCACATGAGGGATTTCCTTCAAGATCGGGGCTTAGACGAGTGCAATCAGGTATGTCTGACATTGGACAGAGGATCTGTTCATTCTGTGCAATAAGAGTTTTCAACAAAAGTATTTTCACATTTCACTAGTTTTCTCCGTAACATACCACTTAAAGTTGTGGTTAAGTATCTTATTTGACTTTTCCAACTAGTGACCTCAAGACAGTATGAGTCAAAAACATAGATAGGAATTATATTTTTTATCAGGACTTTTATCGTTTATCGCGATAAATATTTAGCCTATATCTCCCATCCCTAGTGCAAAGTCGCTGCAACACCTGAACTGGGAGGAAAACTCTCTCCCTCTCACTTCCCTCAACCTGCACTTGGTCTGAACTGAGTGGACCTGGAGTAGGAGGGCTGGGGAAGAGGTGATGAGCTTCATCAGATAGAACTGTAAACAGAGGAAGCACAAGATGATTCACAGCAACCTTGTTGGGCACTTACAGCTGTGTGGGTGATTGTGTGAGTTGAAACATTTTTTGGATGACCTCAGATGTTTCGTTATTAGTCTCTATTTTTACCACTGTAACAATGCGTCCTCTGTCCCTTTGGTGCAGGTTCAAAGAAAAACATTCAATATGTGGATTTGAAAAACAGGTTCATCCACTCGTAAACAAAGGAGAAGGAAAGTACACAGTTTTAGTTCCAAAACATGAGACTTGACAAAACAGTACACGACGTAAATCAGTTTTTTTTTTTTTACTTTTTATGAAGCCCAGTGTCTCAAATTTTCCTTCAAAGCTTTTATAGATAATGAATTACATGACATCATTGGTCCATTTACACATAAGAAAGAGATAACTACTCCAGCAGTGGAAAAAAGAAGAATTGGGCGACAGAGCAGGGACCTTTAATCTGAGATAGACAGACTTTGAGTAGCTGGCTGCAGGAATATGGATTATCAAGATGGCAAAAAGTTAGACTTTGAAAATGATAGGTCTTTATTCCTCAAAAGCAGCAGTACAGCCTTGACCTCATTATATGCCCTCTTATTAGTCCCTGCAGTGAATTTAGAGCCACTTGTCTGTTCAGGTCCATCTCACGTTCCCACGCTCACCTTTCAGGCTGACTCACTCAAACTCTCGCTTGTTAATTTGTTAGAAAATTTGACCGAACTTGTTTGCTCTGCCAGGTTCCTTCATTTTTTTTTTACTTCTCATTACTGTAGTCAATTTCCCAGTCTCTCTATCAGTCTTGAGTCCTCCCTTTTCAGTCCTTGAGTGGAGTGGACTATTTTAATTGGAATTCTCAGTACAGAGATAACAAGATATAAGTGGCAAGAAGAAGTTAATGTGATGAGCCTCTAGCTGAGTTTTCTTTTTTTTCTTTTGCAAATTTACTCTTTTGAAGAAGAGCCACTGGTCTTTACTATCTGTTATAATTAGACTCACAGATCTGAATATAAATCTTGTAGGGCTGTAATAACCAAAGAAATTCTTGATCGACTGAAACCTTGAAATTTTCAACCAAAAATCAGCTAATAAGGGGGGATTTTTCGCAGCTCGGCGGAGCGTGGTTGGGCGGTTGATATCATCACAAGAAGGCAATTTAATACTTACGGCTAAAATACTAAAATATAAAAATTCAGCAAACCACCGGACGTTGATTAATGTGAACGCGCTTCAATCTTCCTGTCTCCAGCCAGTCTCTAGTGGGTTGGGCGAATCCAAAATGGTGAAAACAAGGGAGGTGTTCTGAGACAGGCTGTTACCTGTGAATATAGACTGTATATTGAATGGACACCACGTGAACAGCATCCTCTGGTAATGGGCTGCAGTATAGGTCGTGAATCCCGCCTGACCCAGCAATCCTTATGGAGCTGTGGACAAACTTTAGAAATTTATTACACAGAATTTAAATTTTTCTCTCCCCTGCTTGTGACGTTGACATGTAGTTACTGTCAGACTGGTTTGTGCTCAAGTCCTCTTTTTTCTGTACAGCTCCATTTTTAAAAGTTACTCGGGGGTTCATGTTTTCTATGATTGACACTTGATACAGCCTATAGGCGTACGAAGATTGCGTAGCTCAACCTGGGGATACGCTGTTTGAGTGGAGCGTCATCACAGTGACTCTCGGCGACTCTCCTGCCAAATGCGAACAACGCTACTGCGCAATGTTGGTTTCAGAAAGTGGAGAAAAACACAGAATTACAGAGAGCTTTTGGGCTTCAAATCCATATACTGGTGGAAAGTGGAACCAAGTTGTCCATAGTATATACAGTCTATGCCTGTGAAATGGGGGTGCTTTGAAAACACCCCCATTAGCACTTGGTATGTTCCTCCTGATGAAATTAACCATTGACTGTTAATTGACGCAGAAAAAAATCGAGTTGACCAATCGACTCAGCTCATATCGACCAAAAAGTCTACCAGTCGTCTTTGACTCTACAGTCCTAAAATCTTGCACTTGAGGGCTTTGCAGTTTCAAAGTTGGTGCTGGAGTAAGAGTCATTTATAAGTATTTTTGTGTACGATGATGTCATGATGGTTAAAGCCACAATCAACTGAAAGGTCTTAATTCACCGAGCACTTTTCACAATAGATTGATCCATTTTCTTCTATTTCATCACCGTATAATTATAGCGAGAGAGCCACTTCATGAGCAGGTCGGTCCACACACGTCACCAGAAAACATAATGGACCGCCGGGCTTTTTATTTCAAGCGAGTGGATGTGGGCACAAGAGAGAGAAAGCGAGAAAAGGAGGGAAATGATGACTGGAAAATATTAGTGATGAGTGGCGTTTCAACATGTGTCACCGTAGAGTTTGTTGGTGTGTGTTTGTACATGTTTGGAGGGGTGGGGAGGGGGGCCCTTTCGACACTCATCAAGGTAATTAGATTTAATGACTGCAGCCAAAAATAGGTGCGAGGGCTCTCAGGGGCGAGAGATGGGGAAAATGTTTGCAGCAGCTTTTCTGACACAAGAGGGCGCTCTCAGCATGAGTTTAAACTGGAGAGCCACACAAGCACCTAAAGTTTCAAACCACAGATATCATGTTTATTCCCTTACTATTGTATATTTATGTATTCTAACAGTTAATGAAGGTGTTAAGAGTAATTTTTCCCTCACAAGCTGAATTACCTCTCACCAGGATGCACTTTTTAATAAACTTATTCTGTCTTAATTTTGTGTTTTTATCATCATCTCCCTTTTTAAATGGTTCTGTTTGATGTCCTGATTTTGACATGTTGATTTCTTCTCTCACAGATCCGAGGTTTCCTATCCAGGTTTGACAACGTCCTGCCTGCCAGCCTAGCCTTCGACAAATGCACCGCCTGCTCCCCCATTGTAAGTTGCCCGTATTGTAACAGAATAGATCTTAAAGTCTGTTTTTTACGATCCACTCTTAAATATTTTGACTCTCAGTCGTCATGTTACAACTTTGTTATGAACCACAAGTTGCAGCCGTTGCAGAAATAGGGGGATTCCCATCTCTCCCATTTCTGCATTGTTGAGCCAGTTGAGCTGTGTTGAAATGTAGGTCCATGAGGAATACTGAACACACACACACAATCGCACACACACAGTCGCACACACACAGCCGCACACAAACACGGGGAGAGCTAGCAAAGCCATATGGTAGCAATCAGGCAGCAGTTGCTCATTGATGTCAGTTACTGTCTTATGAGTGGAATTAGCTCCCACCACTGCTGTGTGCATGTGTGTGTGTTTGTGTGGTAAGTGTGTAGAGAGGAGTTGTTGAAGGGTCTACATGTCCCACATTACCCTCGGCGGTGGGAGAACCACTGCAGCCTTATCCACTGGGCTAAACCCAACTAAGTAGCCAATCATTGCTGCAGGTGGTTGCCCCTGTCCTGCGATGTGATTGGTTGAATTAGTGTAAGACCAGGATTTGAGAGGGGGGGCATCTAAGAGAGGGAAAAAGTTAAGAAAAAGAAGAAAAAGTAAGATAAGGGCGAGGGGGCTGGGGGAAAGAGAGAGGAAGTACAGGGTTGAAGAAAGGCTGTTGAAACGAGCGGAGGCCTGGTTCACTCTCTCTTTACTCCCCCCCTTCTCCGATCTCAATGCAGTCTTTGTGTCTATAAAGAGGTCATAAAGCCCCAGATCTATCACTTTCATGAGAAGACAGAGTGAGTGAGACACAGAGGGAGAAACCAAGAGGCAGAGGGGGGGAGGGAAGTTGGCTCGCTTGTACTAAGAGAAAAAAAAAAAAAAGTTTTCTCCACCTACGCTGCCTCTGAAAAAAAAAAAAAAAAAAAAAAGCAAAGAGAAAAGATGAAGTTCCAGCCCATCTTAAGGTGTCATGTTTCTGCCTGTGTGACTGATGAGATTATTCGGTCTGCACAGAGGGTTCATAAGGTTTGACAGGGTTTGGCTGGGGTCTGTGTAGTCAGGAACAATGAACAACACAAGTTAGGAAAGATGATCCTTTGCTGAGGAAGGGATCTAGGCTGAGTAGTGAAATTGGTGAAAATGTTTTGATTCCCTAAATCCCACCCACACACATTTTCCCTCTCTCTCTCTGTTTTGCATCTGCTTATCTGCTGTTAACGCTTTCCTCTCCGCCAGTCCGACCCTCTTTTCTTCCTCCTCTTCTTACCTTTCCTCCCTCTCCTATATTTCTCTCCCCTTTGTGCGTCTCTGTCCATCTATCAGCCCACTGTAATGTGTGTGCGCCGCTCTTTGTCTTCTGTGTGTGTGTGTGTGTGTGTACTCTTGCTGCAGTCAGCTGTGTGCTGCCAGGTCACTATGGAAACAAAACAATTCAGCCCCTGTCTGGGCTGGAGCAGTTCCTGTAGAGTTGGGGCTTTTTCACTTTGCGTGTGTGTGTGTGTGTGTGTGTGTGTGTGTGTGTGTGTGTGTGTGTGTGTGTGTGTGTGTGTGTGTGTGTGTGTGTGTGTGTGCATTTCCTAACTCTTTTCTGGGGCTGAAAGCCAATAAAGCTACACGCCAGAGAGTAAATCACAGCTGACGTGGCTTTGTATTACACTGTGCCAGACACCTCTTACTACAAATACTTGGACTTACACTACCAAATATGCTAACACTATTAATAGCAGACAGTTTTCACATTTGTAGCGCAGAAAGAGCAGAAAAACTGAGTTAGTCACATGACACACAATGTATTTTGATAGCAAATATATCAGAGATTCGCTGAATGTGAAAATCACGACCAATATCAACATCAATATGGATGTTTAAGGTAACAGTTTAGTCGTAAGATGACGAGTTATGAGATTTTGATGTATTTACATTGTTGTTAGTGGTCACTTCTTTTATTCCCATAACACCATAACAATCTGATATGATGTGAAGTATGATTGTTGGTTTCATGAGACATAATTAGACTGTGAAGTCATTTGATAAGTCACTCAAAATGTAAAATGGTGATCTTGTGTCAATTGGACAGACTGCTGTTTGAACATATCAAGTATTTTCTGGTTAAAGCTTTAAAAATCTGATTATTTGCTGACTCTCTTTTTGTTCAGCAGATATTAACGGAGTGGTTTAGATTTCAGATTGTTAACCAGACAGATTAAGAACTACAAACCCTTTCTTACATGGATTAAGATCAAGTTCTTACAGAAATCATTTCATAATTGGTGGATTTCTTGATGATAATTTCTGATTATTACAAGACTGCAGCTTTAAAATCTTTCATCAAAGCCATATTGTTACAGTAGATTAGGGTGTACTTATTTGAGAAAGACTGACTCTCAGAGTAGATTCAAATAAAACAGGGACAATATTAAAGATCCCCTATTATGGCATATTTCATCAAGTTTAAATTGGTCCCAGTGGTCCCACAAGACTACATTTGAAGTTTTTTGTCAAGCAACAGTTCATTTGTGGATATTATCAGCCATCCTGTGCCCTCCTTTTTTTGAGCTCCACTGAGAACGAGTTGATTCTGCGCCTGTACCTTTAAATGATAATGAGCTGTGTGTAACCACGCGATTGCAGCCAAAGCACTAGTAATAAGGGCGACAATAAAACAACATAAAATGGTAAAACTTACAGCTTCCACGTTTGAAGTTGGGTACCTGACATGGACAGTCGGTACGGATCCAGGTTTTATCTTCAGCTTCTTAGTGAATCCTGCTTTGAACTGCCCCTCGCTGGTAAAACAGTCCGTGGTGAAATGGTTATCACACACATACAACATTTTCAGAGTTGTTGTGGGTACATTTCCATCAAAAATAAAATTAATCCACTGGGTCCTCAAATCTTCTGAAGAAGGAGGCAGAAAAAGACTTATGGCTTATGCGTTCATGTCGCCATAACCGCACAGCTTTTCCATTCGCCAGTTTGCGCTCATGTTTTCAGAAAGAAGGGGAAGGCAAGAGAGAGAGAGAATGAATACTGAAATTATGTCCGATATGGTTTTGTACATATCTTTTCTGTCGCCAAGTAAAAACTCAATATTTTTGCACTTTCTCCAAAATCTGAAGTATTGCAAGAGTCATTGCTGTAGTGCACGTAAAGTCTCATAACACCCTTTACATTCAGAGCAGCAATAGTTTTCAGTTGCAGTTTAGGTCAGGCTTAAGAGTTTTAAAGAGAGACTACAAAGACTTTTGAAATATTTTTATGAGCTTTTCTTTAAAACACACAAAAACCTGAGTTTTGACTCAATGAGTCAGTATGGAGTGTCTGTCTGTGTCCGTCTGTATGTGTCTGTGTGGTTGTGTGCGAGTGACCCGCTGTGTCGACCTTACATATTAACAGAGGAAGTCAAAGGCATTGAGTCACCAGGAGCTGTTTACTCATAACGCTCAGGAAGCTCTGAGCGCAACATCGAGGCAAAACCACTTAGCAAGAGCCGCTCTGCGTTTTATCGGTAGTTGTGCGTCAGTCTTGAAAAATACTCAAAATTACACACCTGGGATTGTGTTCAGAGCTCTTTCTTTACAGTTTAATTCCTTCTTCTGCTGATAATGCTGTGTCTGTTAAAAGTCTATAAGCAGTCCATAACAAAGGGATTTAGTTGTGTCTGTTTTTTGTACTTTAAATCGACAGCAAACCACAATCTTTATGTTTAGAATTTAAAGTGAAGCTCTTGTAAGCTCGACCGCTAACTGTATGTTTGATACACTAAATGATAGACACACCAACAAACAAACAACAAGCACATGTTGATATCTACAGTATGGATCCATAAACCACTGAAAGAAAACATCAGCACTCTAGATTAAGATGAGGGGCAGAGATTTATGCGACCCCGGTAGGAAGGAAGTCTACATCCACGTGTGTGTAAACATATGTGTAGCACACCATCTAATCCAGATGTTGACAGCTCTGTTCAAAGCTTAGTTTAATTGATGCCAACTGTCGACAGCATGTACAGCATCTGTTCTGTTGTGGTCTTTCGTATTTTTGCATATTTCTTGGCACAGCTGTGTCAGTTCTGTCCCGGTAGATTCTAGTTTTCGTTTCTTTTACTCCAAAATCAAAACTTTCTACTTTGATGAGGAAAATATTTCTGTAGTTTGTTATCAGTTGGAGCCAAAGGGTTTCAAAAATTCAAATGAGTTTGGAAATACTGGTGTGTTGGTAGTGTTGTGCCGTTCATGAACGATTTGCTCAAAAGAACAGAGCTGCTGAGTGAACAATGTGAATGGAATCACTCCGAGACCTGATTCTTTCCTTTCGCAGTTCAGTTGAGCTCAGCTGCGAGCGTGCATGCTGGTCAGGATTGGAACTACCACCTCTGACTCTTTGGCGAACGACACACAGCGAGCCAGCCAGTGAGCAGGCGGGCAGAGTCTCGTGATTTGCTCACAGCGAATGAACGACATGTATCGGTCAGACTGTAAACGAAACGAACAACTTGCGAACGACTTAAGGCAGGCCAAGGAGACAGGGGAGGGCTGAGCACTGGTTCATTCACTGTGTATTTTTGTTTAATGTTTCCACTTTTCCGCAATATAAAAGAAGGACATCTTGCGCTTGTTTAGCAGGCATGCTGCTGTTGTGTTTCACTCACATCACAATGCGAATGTCAACGGCACACAGAGAGATGAGTTTTTAGGGCAGGGGAGCGAATCTTCCTTCACAACTTGAACGACATGTGCCACCCAATGAACGACATTGTGACTTCAGCAGCAGCAGAGGGGAGGGGCTCAATCAGTGAATAAACTCCAGATCAGCGCCGCTGTGTCACTTACTTGTGCACTGCACCCGGCAGGGCAGTGCTTTGAAGCACCGACTGATTCACTGAACAAATCTTTTGAACGAATCATTTCAATGAACGTATTCTAAAGATTCAGTGCCATCAAAAGAACTGTTCCTCCCATCACTACATGTTGGATATCTGAAACATCCAATATCATGCACCTCTACCACAAAAGATTTTTTTTAACTTAAATTTTATCCTCGTTTTTTTACAATAACAGCAAAAGCAAAACCTACAGTCAAACAGACAAATCATGGTGCCAGAATAAAGAAGTCCATGTAGCTTCCATTAAAGTTGTCCATTCTTATCATGTGGTGTGAACAGATTTATATTTGTCCCGTTTTTCCCACTTTGGGGTTTTTGATTCTTGCTGGAGTGGTGAAGCACGTCTAAATTTCTCCATATCGTGTATTTCCTCCACCATGTCCAGCCAGTTTTTCCGATTGGGGGGAATCCTCCTTACACCATTTCCTTGTAATAGCCTTCCTCTCTATTTCAACCGAGTATCTGTTTTTAACTTGTATGTTTTCCTGTGTTAAATTACCCAAGTATATTACCACAAAGGTCATGGGAAGCTCATATCCTAATGTTGCCTTCATTGCTTTCCCTAATACTTTATTTTCACATGGGTGTGATCAACATCCTGCAGAAATCTTATAAAAGATAATTTAAGTCTGATTTTCTATCTACATACAAAAAGTAATAATGAAAACCTTTTTTGATTTTTATCAGCAGTTATTTCTATTTTTATTACTTTTTTTTGACGTATGTTTTTTTCATCTCGAGCTAAAACTGTCACTCATCAGACGTCATGCTGTTGTTTGTCTCGTATTGATTTTTTACTCAAGCGAATGATGTAAGTGTTTTTTATTATCACAAAATCGCCACAGTTATCATGTTGCCTCTGTGTCATGAGCAGCTATATTTCAGCAAAGTGGTTCTTGCCGTCGGCGTCCCATGTAACCGATCTCATGCGTGGAAGTGGAGAATCAAAGAAATAAAAGAGAAGGAAGGAAAGAAAAGAGAGGTTGAAAAGATGAACGAGGGACACGTCAGTGTGTATTGTGTGCGGTGTGTCTGGCTCTGAGGCTAGACGCCAGGTCAGTCTGCAAACACACACACACACAGAATCACACACAGGCTTTGACTCATACAGTGTTTTGATGTCTGAAGCAAAGGTAACCCTACACCTGCAGAGGAGGGTCTGTGGGTGTCCATGAAAGGCCCGGCCAAGCCTCGCAAGGTAGACAGGAGGGCAGAGGATCTGTGTGTTGTCTGTGATGTGTGTGTTTTGGAAAGTAGGTGTGGAGTTTTGAAGCCAGAGCTGGTAGGAGATCAAGGTAAACATCATTGCAGAGGTGCTGAGTTGTGGCGTAACAGGTCGGGCGCACGGAGCAGAGAGACAAAGTTAAATTTAATTTTTCACCCATGAAGCCTCTTGCTGTCTCATAATGTATTTACTATTTCTAGACACCTCTTTTTCCCATGTCATGATGCATCACCATGACTCAGCCTGTCACTCTAACGATCTGAAATAGTCTCTCACTTAGACTGAAGGTTTTGTGCAGGAAATACACCTAAATACACAAGATGGTAGATGATGTCCAGTGAAGGAAAAATTAAGGCCTTCACCTTCAATAATCAATATGTTGACACTATCCTGTACGAAACTGCATACCTAAAACGCAACTTTGAAGAATACAGAGATACAGTGTTTGATTTTTCTTTTTTGTTCCAGGTCCTGGACCACTATGGGAGAGAAGGTTTCAACTTCCTGTCCAAGGTTTTTAACTCCTCCCACTCTTTCCTGGAAGACCTGACCGGGCTGACACTGTTGCACCAGGAGACCCAGGCTGCAGAGGTAAATCACACTCACACATATACAGTAAACCTGCTCATACATAATCTGGTATGAGATGCAGTGTCAGCAAGTTTCTGTTTACATCACATTGTCACACTCAGTACATGCACAACACTTGTATCTTTAGTTTCAGTGTGTGTTGGCTTTGATATTGATGTTAATTGATATCTATCATGTAATTTTGTGTATTTAACGTCTGACTGATAGGCATTTTTTGAAAAAGTCACAGTTTTCCAACATGTGACACATCACCTTTTACAAATATCTGCAAATAACTGCAGAATGTGTAGGCAGGTGACTTTTTAAGTATTGGTGTTTATCCTTTTTGTGTTTGTGTCACCACACAATAATGTTCACCAGTGTTTTGTTTGCATTAGATATCTAAGGGGAAAAATCCATCTGAAGACTAGAAAGAAGAAAATATTAGCATTACTGCAATACCTGAAAGCATCTATGATTGTCCAACATTCATCCAGCTCTTTACTGATATTTTTTAACAGATGTCTGTGTGCAAGTCCTTCTGACACACCAGCTACAGAGCTTGTTTTTTAATAACAATAGCATTGCATGGAAAAGAAGGTGTTGGCTGGATGACCTCTGTTGCTCAATTACTTAACTACTGCTCAAAACCTCTGAAAGGTTGGTCATGGCTCTAAGAGTTAAACCATCTCTGGGTGGTATTTAATGGGATAGATAACAAAGCAGGGCTGTAATCAACCAAAGAAGTTCTTGGTCGACTAAAACCCTGAAATTGGGGGGACTCTGACGGCCAACCATTTTGCAGCAGGGGACAACGTGGCTCAGCGGGGTGAAAATACACTGATGTCAGCACAAGAGGGCAATTAAACACAAAAGGCAAGTTGAAACGCTCAAGATGAAAATAAAGCATGAAATTGACGCAGAAAAAAATTGAGTTGACCAATCAGAGTTTTTGTCTACTCAGCACGTATCAACCAATAGGTCAACCAGTTGACTCGGACTTTACAGCCCTATAACAAAGCATATAAATAACTGTTTTAAATGAAGGTAGAGGGGTTGCTCCTATTACTGCACTGCCTTCATGTTGAAGTTTTTGTTGAAAATGATGTTATCGGTGTTTTCTGAGCCTCAAATTGATCAGAATTAGCAGATTTGATCCTGTTTGTGTAACAATGGAGCAAGTTTTTCCTCCTGTAAGGATTCTTAAGGTGTCAGCAAGTCTTCATCGACAACATCTAGAGTTGTAATCCTGCTTTTTGCAAAGTAGGGTGCAGCTGTTGGGAAAAACCAAGTGGTCAAATAAAGTGCCAAGTCTTTAAGAATGATGTATGAAGATCCCTCTCCAAATTCAGTTACTTCTCGGTTCACAGTGAGGTGTTTGCCAAGGAAAAGTAAAAGTACCTGTTGTACAGACCTTAGGATAGTGCTCAAAAGTATACGTGCACACCCTCAGGAAGAAAGCTAAAGGCGAAGACACACTAAAGAAGCTTAATATCACTTCCCTTTACGGTTCTGTCTTTAAATTATGATTGATGTTAAAGTCAGAGGGATTCAATATCCAACCTTGCCTGGGAATGCCTCAAGAGGAGATGGACGTCTCTGCTCAAAATAAGGACTTCTGGGTGTTCTTTTCCTGCAGGATCTAAATAAGGGATGGAAAATTGACGGCTCGATAGAGCTTACCATGGTCTGTCAGGAGCTGAGTAAGCTTTATGACCATGAGAAACCTGTACAAGTCTCTTGATTATTCAGTTTTACAACTGCTTAGTCCAAACCTGGAGGGTAAAAGTGAAAGCTAATGCCTTTCCTTAAGAATCCTATTTGCAGGATTTCCCACATTGAATGCTTCACAGCAGATACACTGTTTTGAATTCAAACAAAGGCCGAGATATTTCTCAATTTTCTTTTTGTTGCTATAGCAGCACAAAGTTGATTTCAGTGGAACAACAAAGCGGCACAAAGTCCCAACAAACAGCCAGAAAACTCGGTGGTGGAACATGGGTGGTTTTCCTCAAGACTCCCCTCTGACATGAGTGAGAGGGGAGTGGAAGGGAGAGACAGAAAATGAGTGGGTGTGGGGTTGGGTCTGGGCCTGTCGAGCTGTGGGAAAATCCCACGTACTTTCTCCCCAACTCCTACTCATAACACGCAGATTGAGGAGGGAAGAAGAAAAAGCCAAGAAGTTGGAGGGAAAGAAGGGGGAAAAAAAAGAGTGCAGATAAGAGAAACAAAGGAGGAAGAAAAGACTCAGAGGAGAAAGAATGGATTAAAATATACAATGAGGGATTATGGGAAATGAAGTTGTAACAGGGACAGAAAATGGTATCTCATGAGGAAGAAAGAGACCTGCATTATTTGCCTTTCCCATCCTCATCCTCTTTTCTTTCATCCTTTATCCTTCCCTTCTCCTGCTATCAAACCTTAATCTCATCCCCTATCCTTTCCTCTATCACATGGCGTTCTTCCTCACTTCCCTCTCCACCCCCCTCCGTCTGCTGGAGTGCTCTGAAAACTCTGGCGTAGGTCCTTTTCTCTTCAAACAGAAGATGGAGAGATTGTTTTGATTGCTCAGCCCACTAGCGCCAGAAGTCTTAGCGCCTGTTTCCTGTACACAGATTAGCTATTCTGAAAACTACTGCACTTGGAGGACGTCCCTTCCATTTTTTTTTCCTTCTCCAATTCCAGGAAGGGACAGACGCTCTCCTCTCACTTGTGAAAGCCTATTATTACTTATTTTATGCGGGTAACCAATAGAAACAGACCTGTGGCTCATTTTAGGACTTGACCTGTATTTTAAGAAGTATAGGCCATGAGTAATGATCATTCTCAGTGTAAAAGTACGGGGTTTAAAGGGTTCTTGTCCCCATATGACAAGTTTTGTTGTTTGTATGTGAGTTTTACACAGATACCAGTCATCTTTTGTCGGTTATTGTGACATTTATTTGCTGATTTAATGACACTTTATGATCGGAGGTTTTGAGTTAACCTAAACCACCTATAGAAAGCCCTCCATCATCACTAAAAAAAGTCTTTCTCCTTATATTTAGAAGCTAGAAACACTGTAATTTTGGGATTTTGAAACCATGTGGTGGCAAAATGACTAACTAGGAACACAATGAATTTTGTCTTATATTACAAAATGTTTGGGCAAGGATTCCAGGGGACTTCGATGAGTGTATTTGCATGTTGTTTTAACAGCGGTCTCTTGTTTCCCTGAAGCGTGGTACTGATTCAGTCCAGACTGTGTGTATTTGTGTGTATTTGCACGTGCCTGTGCATGTAACCATCCTAAACTATAATCTACGTCACCGAATAGCAGCAGTATGTACTTAAGGCCCTATTTTGGGCAACTTTGTAACCTGAGAACTACTTTTTATGCGGTCACCTCAGGGTTTTGGGGGAGTTCAAGTAAAAGTTTAGACTGAATGAAAGCTGGGTGTGTGTGTGTACATGCTTTTTGTGCGCTTACTTGCGTATGAGAGTGTGTGTGAGTGTGCACGTATTGGTATGAATGGCGCCTTTGTGAGGGCGGCCCTGTTGGGATTTCATACTCTAGTAGCAGAATAACAGGGTGGAAAATGTTCTATGAGTTTGTCGCTGGTAAATTAGCTGCATGTGTTTGAAGGTCTGTTGAAGATTTATGTTCTTTCTGACCAGCTCTATCTTTAGCATCATGAGGCCGCTCTCGCTTGTAGTAAGGGCAATAAAACCGGACGATATTATTGAGCGTTTTAAGACATGATTAGTGCTTCTTCTAAATCGTTTGCCACTGTCATTCCCCCAAATTTAAGTCACCGCTGCACTTCAAATCTACTCTGAACTCAACTCCTGTTGAAACTTTTAACCTGAGACCCACAGAAAATGACAGAGCCAATCATTTCAACAATGGTCCCAAAACAACATATGTCCATGATAAACAAAAACGGTTAAAAGAACTCGAGCTCTCAGTGGTTCGGTGGTTTTGGGGCGCAGAAATATGTTTTATCCCTGGAGATAGAGGGGTACCAGAACGCTCTTATTCAGGCCTTTTTCAAGCTTTTATTTTGGGCTTTTAATCTTTATTTAGGACTCTGGATAGTTTTAGACACATGGAAGAGAGATTCCTATTGTACATGTGGCACACCGTGCACAATATAAGTGCTAAGACAAACCAGCGCTCATTTTTGGACCATGTTAGAGTGCAGTCACATGCATGTCTGGTCATAAAGCTTTGTTGAACTCTTTGACTCTTAGCAGCATGCCTAATTCATGCAGATATTTGAGCAAATGAGTCAAAGCAGGCAAGACTTTCACTTTTCACTCAAGCTAATGTCCCGTTCTGTTTGTACAAACTTATTTTTAGATGTATAATTGAAGCTCATCCCATTTCGCTCCCTGCTGTTTTAAGATTTTAGCAAGCTGTAATCAAGTAGAACAATGGTTCGCTGTACCATTTATGTCATTCGCAGCTAAATATGTGCCGGGCCGTTTGTATGATGACAAGAAAACCACATTTGAGGATGGTTCAAGATGCTGCTTGGGAAACTGTGGCAGTGGCACTTCATATTTTTAATGTTTTGGGCGTGTTTACATCGTTCTACCACTGAAACAATGAAACAGGATGTTCTAGAGCTGGGGGATTAATTTTGATGAGGATTATGACACCCTAGGACCATAAATGGACCTAAATGATTATTATGCCGCCTGCTGTGTTGTGTGACATTATAGAGGAGGTTAAATAAAAGCTTGGAAAGACTGAATGATTATTACATCTTAAGTTTGATGACGTACTGTAAAAATACAAGTGAAATTTAGCGTTGAGTTTAGTGAGTTTTATCACCAAATCAAGCTGAAGCTTTTGAAGTGAGATTGTGATGCACGGTCCTTTTAAGTAGGGCTGGGTGATACGGCCTAAAATCAATATCACGATATATTGAGCAGTTCACCTCGATAAGGATAAATGGATGATAACTACTCCACAAGCTGCTAACCGCTTCCCACATTAACTTCGTCTACTTCAGCCGCCGCTCCAGCCGCTCCAACTTTTGAACCGTCCTCCATCTCCTCACCTGTCTTTCCCTCTTTGTTATGGACTGGAAGGGGTGGAGTCACATCTCCGATGTAGGACAGCGTCTTAAAGGGACATAAGCCTACCTACACACATCCAAAACCAACTTATTTTTTTGACACTGAATATACCGATATGGGCAAAATCTCGTCGTTATTGTCACAATTTTCGAGATCTGTAAATTTTCGGTTTATTGCCCAGCCCTACTTTTAAGTCAACCAATCAATCAATTAAATTTGATCTATATAGCGCCAGTTCACAAGTCGTCATCTCAAGACGCTTTTCAAAGAACAAGAGCAGGTCTAGACCACGCTCATTGTTTGATGATCAAGAACCAACCTAAGATGGGTTTTGGCCCATCTTAACTAACATGAGTAGCAGTGGCGAGGAAAAAACTTCCTTTTAACAGACAGAAACCTTGGGCAGGACCCGACTCATGCCAGACAGCCACCATGCCGCTGCTGGGTCGGGGAGGAATGTAGAGAGATTTAAGTACCTACAAAGTTTTAAAAAGTTTAGATCATCCAGTTTGACAGAAAGACCTGCTTTAGTAAACAAAAAGATGGCTAAACAGTTTATTCCATATGTTATTTGTTTCAAGATAAGTTTTAAGTTGCTCAGATGTCTGTGATTAGGATATCAAATCAAAGTTTATCTGAGGGCTCCCTTGAATCGAACTCTCAAGCCTCACGCTCATTTTGCCAAGAATCTAAACAAACCTTGAACCAGGTCAATGTGTCAAAGTGCTCTCGGAGTTACTGTATTCGCTCATTCGGCCTTCCTGAGTGTGATCTCACCGCACAGGGCTGGGTCAGACGAATCAACACGCACAAACTCTCCGAGATCCTGAAAGGAAATGAGTGTCTGTAGCTACAGGATGGTGCACCTCTCCCCTGATATCTATCCACCAATCGCAGCATGAGCTGTTCATTAAAAAGCTGCACGGTTTCATCATACAGGAGTATATAGGGCAGTGGCTAATCCTTGTTACGTAACATTTAGTAAGACAGGACAAAGAATACAGATCTTTTGAAGATAAAACCTGAGTATTATATAAGCACAAGTAAAAGGGTGTTGCTATGTGTGCGTCTTTGGCCTTTTTACCCTTAGGTGTTCATAAACCACTTATTTTAGAATATCAGCATCAGCCACAAGGAGTAGGATACTTTCATTTATAAGTTTTAACTCCATATGAGAAGGTCAGATATGAATTTTTTCAAAGCTTGAAGTAGGGATGGGGGAATTTCCAGCTCAGGGGAAAACTTTGCTATTGTGTAGCTTGGGTTGGACAGCACAGTGAAACATTGTGGACAAATGGAGCAAAACAAGCTACATTTTAAAATGCGGTATCCCTACTGTAGTTTCCCAATATTAGGAGTAGGAGGCCCATAATCATTAGTCACTGTCTGCTGTCACTCCCAGTTAAGTGTCTCCAGTTGCTCGCGTGTTTGTGTGTTCCCGCTCACATTAGTCTGTCGAAGCTGGAGTGCGGCACACAGAGGATGTGTGACCCTCTCTCAGCACAAAGGGTCTTTTTTTTGCAGAGCTCATGTTCCACTCCCATCCACCTACTCCAACCAGCGCTTTCAGTAAGTCACAAGATAACGGCGTTTGCAGTGATCTCCGAGAAGAATGTGTTACTTGTGTCACTCCGGTCTTTTGTTTTGGGGCGGTCTTGTGACATGATTACTTATTCGTGTAGGAATAAAGTGACAGCTCTTCTGTCAAAGAGATGGAAACAAAAATGCAGTGTGACTTTTAAACTCCTCAAATAAAATCTTAGTGAAGTTTTAACAAGGCTTGACACTAACTTTTTTCACAAGGAGCACAGATGTGGTCGTAAGTTGTCAATGTAAGGAGCACACAAAGAACTTTAGAGGCACAATGAAAATTAATCAAATAATGTTTTTCTTATTGGTCGACGGAAAAGGACTTTAGGACTTTTGGCCACATGACATGGAAGCTATTGAAGGAAAGGTTCAAAACTTGGCCTTAGATTTAATCCAAAAATTTTTGGAGGACAAATTTGAGAAAAAAAGAGGTTTGTATTATTGTCCGACCTTAATACTACTATTTGAAATCAATTTTAGGTCAATTGGTCACATGACATGGAAGCTATTGAAGGAAAACAGCTTTTTTGAGAACATCAAATGGTAGTTTATTAATAGTTACTTATTCAACACCTGACATACACCTGTTGCCATTCCCGGTTATGGAGAGTTAGAAGACACCAGTAGATCCGCAGTAAATGTCTGTCGAATATCCAACCTGAAACTAACTTCATGCGGTATCGACAGGTTTCTGTGCAATGTCATCGTGGGTATGCGCGCAGCCAGGGGGCAGAAAGTGGGACATTTCTTGTTTGTTTACTAACGGAGTCAACAGAGAAAGAAAATGACAAGGAGCTGTTGTGCTGTAAACTGCAAAACAAACAATTGGCAAACATTACGACCCTGCTCCTGATATTAGAAATATCTAAAACAACATCACAGCCTGGTAAATTGAGTTAAATTCATGGATATTTCAGCAAGTGTTTTTCTGATTTTGATGCAATGAAAGATAAAGCGATTTTTCATTGAAATGACCTTTTATATGCAATTGTGTCAGGGAGAACTTGCAAACAATACGGCATCTTCATTGATATCAGTCCACTCCGAAGCAGGCTTTTGCCCCATGGTTGCACGCACCTAGTATTGTTTGTAGACAAGAAACCCGTCTATTTATATGAAAAAACATTTGATGCCTCGGCTGATTGTTTTATGGGCACATGTGCCCCTAAATATCTACCTATCACATCTATTTTTAGTTGCAAATGGGAGTAAAATGGTTGCACTGTCAAGCCCTATGCAAGTTTTTATGAAAGGAAAACCTCATATGATTTGACATATAACTGAGCAACAGCTCTACACTTGATACAGTCATCTCTCTTAGGATTAGATAAGAACCCAGAGAGGGTTCATTTTATGGACTTCATGATCCAATAACACTCTTGAGGGTGTAACCTGTGTTTGAACAACAATATAATCTCACTGTCGTATTTTCTAATGAAATCATTATAAAATCACATCATTCCAACGTAATAAATCAGGACCATCCTGTAAGTTTCAACATCGAGAAGTCCTTTGGGTATAAGACCCCCCATTTGGAAGAAATTTGTTTTCAGCTGATATCCAGGGTAACACATGCTGACTTCAGGGTCTTGCTCAACAGAGGACTCAAACGACATAATAACAGTCCAAAGTTTTATACAAGATCAAGAGTTTTGTGCTTTCTGTGCGAGTTTTATCGAATTGATATTGGAGGTTCGAACTTTAACTCCCAAGTGACATTTTTTGGACAAGTTTCAAGGTCTCTCATCTTGATACGGTGCTTTGGCTGATTTCAGTACACTGACGCAAAGTGAAGTCAAATATAGACTTGAATGATTCTTTGGCTTTTTGGAAACACTCTGTGCGCCATCAGATGCTACAAATCATCACCTTGAGTCATACGAATGCCCCGAAGGAGCAGAAGCTTCCCAACCACCCACGCTCGACCCTGCTCTGGTCTGAGCTGCTCTACGTAAAACAGTGCGCTGACGATAAAGTTGATTTAGTTATGTTGGCTCATCACCCGGCAGCTTGGAAAACATACAAGCTCGAGCCTGCACCCACACACACACACACACACACACACACACACTCCTCTCACTAGTCACATGCTCTTTTCCCTCTTCGCTCTGCTCTCTTTCACCCCCACATACACACACACACACACACACACACTCTTACACACAGCACTTGAGCGTCAAAGGGCCCCCATGTATGTCAGAGCTTTATCCAAACACAGCTACGGTTGCTACATGCTACAATTATTACCAGATGGACTCAGAGCAAACATATTAAGTCTGCTTTTTCATTAGCACACTGCAAACCCCTCCTGTGAGACCCAGAGATGGATGGAGAGAGAAGGAAAGAGAGACATTTGAAAGTGCAACTGTTTCAAAATTTCCAACTGAGCAGAATCACTCTTCATTTTTTATTTTATTTTAAGGTCCCATGAAATCACAGTTTAGTATCTGTTAAAAATTTGATCCTGACCTCCTTTTCCTTCAAATCTAACACTTAGAGGAGCCATAACAAGTTTCAGTTAAGGTACAACATAACACAATCTAGCCAAAATGATGCCAAAAGCAACAACAAAGAAACAACTTTTAGTTAGACGACCAAAGAAGTCAGTGTATTTATCTTTTTAGCAGAACACCCAGAACTCACTGGTTTAAACCATATTAGGATTTATATACATAAAAATATATTTGTTTCATGTCATTTAAAACTTATTCGTCATATCCTTTGACAAAACATAAGGAATCCTTCTCGCTATTTCAGGGTCAGACAATAAAGTAAAGTGTCTCATGTATAAATACTTTTAAATATGCTTGTTTTCTCCTTTTGTCCTTAAACTGAGCTCATGAAACTTTGAACTTTCTGTACATTTTGGACAATCAATTATTGGCTTATCATGAAAGTATCATTTGTAAAAATCACAACAGATTTTTTTTATTTGTACAAATACAGGGGCGAAAAAAAATCCCATGTATTTATTTTGTTTATTTAAAGCTCCTGTAAGGTCATTTGTGTTTGTGTTTGTTTTGGTGCCCCCTGTGGACAAAGCAGCCTCTCCACTCTTGTTCTCTACATTCCTATGTAGTGATTTTTGAAATCTTATCCTGTTGACTTTTGACGGTTACATGTATATAATTCATTGTGAATCATTTATGTAAGAATTTGTGAAAACAGGGGTGTGTCTGTAGCTAGCTAGCTAACACCAACCCCCTCACACCAGTTTGTTTATTCCAGCCCATTTCTTAATGTCAAACTTCTATCAGGGACTTTAACATGGACATACAGTAACATTGATCCCATACATGCGTTGAACTTAGTTAGAGTGACCATATTCTGAATCCCCAAAAAGAGGACATGACTACGCAGGCGCAGCGTCACAGAGTCGCGCATAGTAAATTTGAGAGTTTTTTGGGTCGGGATGTGGTCTAGTGTTTTTGTACACGCTTCTTACTCAATAAGTCCACCCAATACAAACTCCAAATTTCCATACAAAACCCAGACATTTGAAGGATTCTATAAACTCCCCCAGACAAAGCCGGACAAGGTCAGACAGCTTAATCCTAATGTTTAAGGTGTTAACTGCTTCTTTTCTCTTCCAGCCAGGATTTAAAACTTTTTTTAAACATTAAAGTTGTGTTGCTGATTTTAATTTGATTGGCCACATAAGGGGTGAGAAAAACAACTGAGATTTAAGCAAAAAATGTGTGATATTACAAGACTCAAATTAATGATAAGAAAAAAAGCCACGAGAAATAAAAAAAAAAAGTCTAATTTAACAAGTTTAAAGTCAACAAGAATAAAGATGCACATTGATGAGAGTATTGCCGTGATTTTAGGTTTTGTCTCACTTTTATTACAAGTGCCAAATCACATTTACTCCACGACATCAGCAAAGAATAAGACAACATATTTTGCTATCCCAGGCTTTATATTTGTCTTCTGGCATGCACATACATGTCCCAGTATCTTTATTTACCTCTGACACCAAACACACGTGTGTATTTACGTCCCGGATGTATGTTAGCTATCCATTCCTGACATCCAATTCACTGCTAATTATAAATGTGTGCTCTACTTGCAGGGATGTATGTCAGCTATGCAGAGTCACATCACACTACCTTTACATCCTCTCTGTACACGCTTTGGCTCCCTCCCCCTCTGGAGTTTCTCTCTCCCACACACACACACACACACATTCATCACTATACATAGTCTAAATCTTCCTAGTTCTTTACAGGCTAAATTCAGAAGCTTTGTGTCAGTCAGTGGCTTGACTTATAACCTCGCTGCTGCAGAGTGTTTAAAGGTTTTCTGTGTGTAATTTAGCAGTGTAGATTCCTTAGTGGATGCAGTTGAAAGACACATACTGAGCATTGTTTACAAAAAAGTTTTACAAATTCAGCTTATGGGACAAAAACTTAAGAATGTACTCTGAAGTTTTCTCTATCCTTCAAAGCTGCACTGTGAATCGTATACTTGGTGTTGACTGTGGCGCCTTGCAAGAAAAGATAACTTTTTGACTGTCCTCTGTCACAAAAACTCTCGCAAAAACAAACACAAAACTCCAACAGGGAAAAACAGGACATAATCAACCGAGCAAAGATGACAAAAATAAAAAGGCTCATAACCTCAGGACCAGTGGATCCTCCTGGACTGAACATAAAACCCCATTCACAGCCCAGGTCTTCACAAATACCTCTATTTGGTCAAAATCTAATGGATCTGACACTTATCCCCTCACAGCAGTTTAAAGGATTAATCAATACAAAGCGGTCAGTCCTGCTGCTAATGACATGGTATCACTTTTCAGAGCCAGTTAAAACTCCTCATGTGGACTTAAAAATTAATAAATTTTTTCAGGAAGACACTTAATTCTACCAAGGAAAGGTATTTCTACTGATTATAATTCCTGTTAAATGTTCTAATTTGCTCTAATACAAAGTTTCATAGACATGTCTCCAGAAAAGCCTTTTTTAGCTTTTATCAGTTTTGCTGCAGGAGGTAAAAGTCAGAGAAAATAATGAGTTCCCCAAAACATGGTCTGTATCGGAGCAGGTTTAGACTCATTTAGAGTCTTAGATCAGGTGGGCCAACTATGTCGTCTCCCCCACTTTACTGTTTCTATAGTTAAGGTAACATGAGTCTCAGAGCCAGCATAGCTGCTTAGTGTTTCCTTTATTACCGGGAGCTAACTCCAGCAGATATACCACACCAATATTAATACAGTTGAAACACAGAGAAGCCTATATTTGAATAACCAGTCGCTGATGAACCCATTTCTTTAGTCTCACTTTGCAACCATGTGAAGAAAAATTTTGTTTTGTACATTTGTTAAAAACATGCAGTATAGGCTCATTCAAATGTTGTATTTTTGAAGGTTCTTCCAAACTGTTTCATGTTTAATGAGGATTTCAGAGATTAAACAGCGAGCAATCACAGTGTGAGGAACAAGCAGTGATAAGATCAGAATCTTTCAGACCACATTACTCCACTTCACACAGATGCTTCTATGGTGGTCTGTCAACTCTTAAAGCTCTTACACACAGGGCTGTAGCCGGTGGCAAAGTTTACTGTGGGTGGGGGCCAAAGGGGGTTGCATGGAACCCAGTACAGCTGTCTCATGCCTCAAGCCAGAAGAGGCCCATTCAGATTTACCAATCATCAATCACAGTGGGGTTATTTTCATAAGTCATAAATAGAGGCATCATAAAGAGAGCGTTTCCCTCACTACATGGGAAAAGTTACAGCAGCACTGTTCCTATACATGGCCTCTCCTCTGCGGCGCCACTCAGTCCAGAGAGGAGCCTTCTTCTGGCCTGGCAGCTGGCTGTGAGCAGGAACAGACAGACAGACAGACGGTTGACTGAGTAGTAGTCTAGTCGTCTCTGTTTGGCTCCTACTCCTCTTCCTCTTCTGTAACTTTTCACAACTATTCCTGTATCTGTGTCAGCGTTACATTTTTAGAGTGGGCTTTCACTTCCGAAACCCTCCAACCCCGACTCACACATCAAGGGGATCAGTTAGCCTCAGAGGCCGACTGAACTATGCAGCTGTACACAGTGTGAAATGTATTCTTGTACATATCGATTATGTTGATATTACAAAAAAAATCATATTGTGTTTTTTTTTTATCTTATCATAGATGCATCGTATGGTATCCTGTTACATCATGTCTTATGGTAACATATTCTATTATGTCATGTGGCGTTGTGCTGTACTGTATCATATTTTAACGGACCACATCCTGTTATATAATAATATATTGAATCATAAGTTAGTCTCAGATTTCTGCCTCTAGTCTATTCAGCAAACTTGAGCGCCACACCACAACAGTTTGAACAGGAAAGGGTTAACTCCTCTTTGACAGGCTCGGTAGCTGTGTTTACATGGGCACAAATAATCGGAATAAATGCCCGATCGAAATAAAAATGCATCATGGAAACATGTCGATTGGAGGATTCTGATCCAGTTCGGCTCAATTGAAAAGAAATTGTATTCCGATCAAGAGGGGTGGTTTATGCTATTCATTATTCCAAAACGCATCCATGTAAACACTTATTCCGATCGTGACTCTCTTACCTGACTCGATCTTCACTCTCAATTTATTGAGACCAGTGCAGGAGGTTCCATTATTAACACAACCACAGGTGCCGTGTCTGCTCCTAACATAACAAGGTGTACATACTGTATAACGTAATGATGTCACATCTGCACGCACAGTGCGACCTTTGACAGAACAGTAAAATAAGTACGCAAGGGCGCCATCTAGTGACAATATATAACAGGGGGAAAACTCCTTAATTGGATGGAGTGAGCCACTACCACATTTGTTGGTTCATTAACAGCTCAGGCGTAAATACAACTTTTCTTCTTCTGCGGTTGTTTTAGCGAAATCAGACAACTCTGCACGTGTCCAAATGCTTCTAATCTGAGGTGCATGTATACGCACATGGATTCTGATTATCCAATCCCTCAAATTTTTTTATCAGGTCAAGAAATTTTGCCCATGTAAACATGGTTACTGATAAGTAAAAAATTTTTGTTTGTTTGTGCTGAATATTTACAGTTCAAGAAAAATTTCAGATTTTGTTAAAAATTTTTATAAGTGCTTCTCTTCATGAGTTAATGAAATGATTTTGACTAAGCTGCTTTTATTCACCAGCATTTTGATTAACTTAGTGATTTCAGAAATTAAACTTTTATAAATTATGATTATTCATGCTCTTTTTCTTATATGGAGGTTATTTTTTTTTTAAACATAGACTTGGGCTGAATGATTTTGTGCAGCTGCTGTGCTTGCATGCATTTGAACTTTACCTTATCATGTTTTCATGAATCTGGTCCAAAAGCAGGACTGTTTATTTCTCAGTTCCTGATTCATCTTATCTGAGATACTGAAAAACACTCCAGCTGCATCAAAGACATAGATAAGAGCTGAACCATTTTGTGTTTGTGTGTGTGTGTTGGGGGAAGGGGGGGTAATGCATCTGTGCCTGCATGTGCATGTCTGAATCTTGCACAGCCTGATCCTGGCCTGCCTGGCTGGTCACAGGTAATCTGCCCCGGAGCTCTGGCCTGAAAAAAAAAGAGCCCACACAAACACACATGCACACTGTGTTTGACTGTAGGTCCACACTGCACTTCTTATCTTTTCCTCCTGATGCTGTTCTATTTAGCACATGGAGTGCAGCGATAACATCAAGCCTCTGGCTCAGATTACTGCACAGAAACACACACATACACGCACTAACAGAAATAATATATGTATAGATGTACAGTACATACTTTATTTTTATGCACTTGTGTTTACATGCTGCTCATTTGCGTTTTGTTTGTCACGTCCCTTGATGACTGACTGGCAGTGCCGTCCAAACAGTTAAACGACAAGTTCTTGTTACCAGTTTTCAAACACAGCTGTTTAGTCATTAGCAGCTGCCACAAAATATACAATCTGAGGACAATTTTGACTTCAGTGTTTAACATGCAGAGCTTTTAATGTCCTGTTAGACTCCGGAAAGAAGCAGTCAAGACAGGAAAAAAAGCAACACTCAGATTCTTGAACAAAGCTGGTAAATATTTGTAGTTTTGCTACAACTAGACTTGGCCCAACTGGAAATGGTTCAAGAAGGTTTCGCTTCTTTGTGGGTCGGGATCTTCAGCTTTAATTAAGAAGAGTATCTAGAGAGGCAACACATCTTCAAGACCTTTAACCAAGTCTAGCTGCCCCATTTGGATTAAGACTCGTTTGACTTTGATCAATGAGAACCTTAGTTCTTAACAAGAACTAATGTAGGAACACAGTAACTTTCTGTATCTTTATGAAACTCTTATACATTAGAGTCTTATCATATTGTATCCCAACATATTTTACCACTCTTCACAACATCAGCGATCTTGAATTCCACCTCAAAACAAACTTTTGGATAGTGTGTACGGATATATTACAAAAGTGTCAACAGCTTTACATTCCTCACTGAAACGCTCATGATGTTTCTGCTACTCATGAGCATTCATGTGAAGTCTGATGCTCAGTGGCTCCAAGTACAGCTGTGTAGTTTTCTCCCAAGAGTTTTTGATCACTCGTCTTCCAGAAATAGTTTCAAATCTCTTGTCTGTGTCTAATTTACAGTGAAGAGGTCTTTCCAATAAAGAGTATCTGAGGTTATTTGCATGGGATAAAGATGACGCATCAACCGTGGTCAACAGAAACATCAGGGCTGTGTCAGGGCTTGGTGCTTCATGAAGATTTTTGTAAATAAAATGTAATTTCCTCTCGTCCTCTTGAGCACTGAAACTTTAAATCAAAGGAAATTAAGTCAGAGAAAAGTGTTTAATTTCACAGATATAAGTCTTTTGCGGGGTGTTTGTTGCATATGCGTGTGAGCGGAGGCAAAAATGTGTGTGTATGCGTGTGTGTTTGCATTTAAGCCTTCATGCGTGCATGTGCCCAGGGGCCCTACAAGTGTTTGATTGCTCTTCTGACCACACGTCAGATGGCTTTGACTCACAGCTCTAATTAAACCGAGGGCAGGTCTGAACTGGCAACACACACGTACACACACACGTACACACACACGCAGCCTCTGAAGCGGATCTGTTATTGCCATTTGGTTAGCTGCACGCTCAGAACCATTCATTAGGTCGAGTTTAAAGTGGTCCCACTCACTAATGTCCCCTCAGGGTCATCAGCAACAGAACTGAACGCAGGATATTGTCTTTTACAGCATTTTCCGTGTAAAGAAATAATCCACTGTTTTCATTATGAAGTCTATTAAAGATTTTAGATTCTTAAAAAGATAAAATCTCTTTTCACAATTGATCTTTTTTTCTTCTTCAAGTGTGTGGTTATGAAATACTTAGATGTGACTCAGAAAATACGTCGATAGAGCTGTCTCCGGTGTACAGGAAATGTGTCAGAAGGAAATGGGGTGGAGGGGAGAGGAAGAGGTACAGCAAGAGAGAGATGGAGGTCGAAAGATTATGTTAGAGGGAAAAAAAAAAAGCAGATAAAACGAGAGAAAATTAAAACTTTCAGAAGTGAAGAGGATTCAGAGCTCAGGGGAATATTCAGCAGTCTGATGTAAAAGAAAGTTTGATTAAAAGGTTGAGGAAAAATGAGTGATTAGAGGTGTCGTGCCTTAGGGGGACAGCAGTACTCAGAAAGCAAAAGCGGCGAAAGTTTCAGGAAAGGTTAATGACACTAATGGAGAAGCGTTCTGAAAAAGAGGCCGAGCAGTCAGCCGGTGTCTCAGGAGAAACAACAGGACCCAGCTGTTGCTCCGCGGGGCCGCCACACCCAGCTGAGAGAGACTCCATTTGTTGTTGTAGCTGGCCTTTACGACTTTGGGAGAAAACAGGGGAAAGGGGAGGCGGCGGAGTTTGACCGACTTAGAGCGGAGATAAGAAATATCAAGAAGAGGAGTGAGCGTGCTGCGTTTCATGAGGAAATGGGAAGAGCAGGAAAAAGGCGGATGCTGCATCACTTCCTAGTTTGTCGTCGGGTGTTATGAGCTTAACTTCCAAAGTTTGCTATCAGGGCCGAGTGTTGTGAGTGCCGGTGTTTTTGTTTGATTACCCCCAAGACTGAGGAGTTTATGAAAACACAGCCAGGGGACGTGACCTCAGCTGGGACCTGCACACTAACTCGTTTCCCACCAAAGCTCCCCTGAACCATCTCTCCTCTTTCATCCGCTGTAAGGCCACTTTCACCCACAGTAACCTCAGCTTCCACTTTACCTCCTGTGTCCACTGATCTTCAACCTTTTGAACCCTTTCAGCCTCATCCCCCTTTCATCTGCCACTCAACCTGATCTCCCTTTTTTTAACATGCCCTCCTAATTTTAAATGCTGTAACTTAAATCAATCAATAAATGACTATTTGAGTTTCATATGCAGCTGTGGCCTCTTATACCAAAACACCAGAATCTAACAACTGCTCCTGTGTTGTTTCTAATATTGACACCTGTGGCTATGAGCGGTGAATGCAGTGTCTGATTGAACCTCATATGATTTTCCAGTTCAGTTTAAATAACACTGTTAATCCCTCTAGGGGCAGTTAGTTTGGAGCAGCTTGTGCTCAAATGACATAAATAGACTCGGCAACATTTAGACAATAAATCATAGGGGACAGCTCAGTGGAAAAAAGCATCAGTGAATACTGATGTGAGGAAGACTAATGAACTGATAAACAGACTTTAATCCACCCAGCAAATAGTGGTTGAAAAGATGTTGAAAAGATGTTAAAACAATGTCTCCACCCTACATCCAAACATCGTCTAGATCAGGGGTTGGCAACCTTAAACACTCAAAGAGCCACTTGGACCAGTTTCCCACAGAAAAGAAAACACAGGGAGCCACAAAACCTCTTTGACATCTAAAATGAAGATAACATTGCATATATCTTTTTTTTTTAACCTTTATACAAAGTATATAAAAAACTGTAGCGAGTTGCATTTATGAAATAAATGAACTATTTCGGCGAGTGTCTGTCTTCTTCTGTAGTTAAACCGCAAGATATCAAAATCTACCCGGATACAGCAATGCTGCTTTTTGATTGGCTGTTCAGTAGATATACTTTATTTGATTGGCTTGTGCGTGGCACGCAGCTTCTGAACTCTCGGAGGAACTCAGTTGATTTCCCCCAGTTCCAAAGTTGAAGAAGTGCAACTTGGTGGACATCACTGTGTTCATTTAAATGCGTGAGAAATACAGTGTGTGGTGTGTGAGCGTGTGAACGAGTGGGAATGCGTGTGTCATACGCTGAATGCGTGAGACTTGAGAGCCCTGTGCTCACGCATCATCGATGTACTCCCGAGCTATGCAAAACGGTCTTTGCAAATGTTGCACTGAACGTCTTCCTTTTCAGTCTTGGTGAAGTTTTCCCACACCACTGATTTTTTAGGTCGGGATTTGGGTTGGGTTGTGTCCATGTTTTTCTCAGCCGCTGCCTCGGCCATGGCTGTTTCTTTTCTGTGCGTCCTGCTGATGTTTACACGCCGGTGTCCATGGACATATAAAGACCCGACGAATCGATTACAGAATTTGTTGGCAACGGATTTTTTCGTCACGATGAATCTACTTAATCGATTCGTTGTTGCAGCCTTAATAGTTTATTTAATGTTACAAGAGCATTATAATCTTTGAATTTAGAATTACAAAAAAAAAAATAATAATAATAAAATAAAATAAAATGCAATTAAGTATTTATTATTTATTTTCCAAATCCACTGGGAGCCGGAGCTTAGGGAAGAAAGAGCCGCATGCGGCTCCAGAGCCGCGGGTTGCCGACCCCTGGTCTAGATTCCCACTTTTCAATGTCTTTTTTTGGGCTAAATTAGGACAGAATCGGACTGTGTGAATGAAGCCCAGTTTTTGATGTCTTATTTTGGGCTATATGAGGACTGAATCGGACTGTCGAAATCAAGCCCACTTTTCAACGTCTTATTCGGACTAAAATTACTAGGAGTAGTGGTTTATTTGTCTCATAGTGAAATTGAGTTGCGGCAGATCACACATTTGGCATTTCATCTCGAACAGTACAGATAAAAAAGTAAAACAGCATGTAGACAACTAAAATTGGACCAAATCGGACCGTGTAAATGAAGCTCAGTTTTGAACGTCTTTTTCCAGGCTAAATTACGGCAATGACGGGCCAATGTGATTAAGCCTGTAAAAAGACGTTTGAATGATGTCGAGTGTAAAATGTAAAATGATCCATTTATTACACAGTAAAAGGATCAGACTTGGTAAATGAGGGGAAGAACAGATTAAAAAATGAGTAATTTTACTAGCAGGTAAAAATATCTACATTTTCATAGAGTAGTGATATCAAAGAAAAATCACAATTTAAGAGGACTTTTTGACTGGTTAAAAACAGATGGAAATGAAGAGTGATAGCTCTGGCCTACAAAAGCAAACAAGACCATCAGCGACCAGACTGACACTTTCTTTATTGTCATTTTGAAGTTTGACGTTTTCTTAGTCAGAAATTAGCGCTCATATTTATGTCAGACAAAACCAGCGAGAACAGGAGGTACTTTTTTGTCCACAGGGGGCACCAAAATCAACACAGACAGAAACTTCCTCACAGGAACTTAACGGCACTAGAAGAGGCTAACATCTTTTCTTGGCAAAATAAATTTAAATCCATTTATACTGGACAGTATTTGACTCTGTGAACTACTTACTTGCAATGCTAGCAGAAATCCCCCCTAAAATTTAGCATTGACACAAAACTAGCTGATGTTCTTTGTGGGTCATCTTTAAATCAAAACAGTGACTCAGCATTTATGTAACTGTGAATCAAGGCCTTTTTACAAGCAGAAGCGTATTTGTGATACCCTTTATGACCCTCGTGAAATCATAGTTCATGACTTCATATGGTAATTCACTCATTGTATGGGTCAGAGTTGCATCTAAAAGAACAGGACATGCTCTGCTGAGAGTGCAGGTTAGGTTAGTAGGTTTCCCTCCTCTTCCTGTGTCCACCCATCTCCTCTTCCTCTTCCTCTTCCTGTCCAAAATTTCAGTGAATAGAACATGTATACACACACATACACACACTACCACACACAGACGTGCACTGACCCACTCACAGTCATATCCAGCCTGTGGCCCTTTTTTTTCACTATGTTCCCCTCTTGAGACCTGCAGACCTGGAACAATGAGGACACCAGAGAGAACACAAAGGATTACTGCGGGAAATGGGAAAAGCACAAAATGATCATTTGAAACACAGTGGGGGAACAAAGCCATCCAAATCTGTGTGCTCTCAGTCCGCACACGCTCTGTGACCAGGTAGACATTTGATTTGGACAAAGTTTAGATTTAGCTTACTGATTTTTTATTATCCTGGTCAAAGCTGGCACAGAGTCACATGGCCTATTTCCATGTAAAGATATTGAGGCCTTGAGCTGCTTAATCAAGAAAGCAAAGATTTTTTATTCCAAAGTAGTGAGCGAGCTTGTAATTTAAATATAAATTGAATTTATTTACCAGGCAATGGGATTGGGATTGGTAATGGGATACCAATGGGATTTCTAAAGCTTTTGCTCTTTACGATCTGAGGTTTTATGCACTTCCACGTTGGCTTCATTTTCAACAGTCTAGATTGCCACTTGGATGTCTCTCAACCCTAACGTCATTGTCCTGGCTTTGTTAGCTGCTGGTCTAATTTCAATCAAATCAGTTCATGGAAAAAGAAGACTTAGCGCCATGTCAGGTGCAAACATGTGGGTCACTCCAGAAGTCATGAAAAGTTGGCTATCGGTCAACGGTTATCAGAAGGACCTACGATATGATTGAGGTTGAGTGATTTTGGGGTGTTGTGTTTTTACAAAGTCTGCTCCTGTCTGGGGAGATTTAAAAGGAGTTGCTGTGGCTTTAAACTCTTGCTGGAACCTTAAGTGTTTTTGTTCCTGGACAAACAGATTTAGTGTTGTCATGGGTTCGCCGTTGTTGCGGAGATTTCCCTGTAATCATACCGCGTGTGTATTTCCTCAGTGGTCAAAATTTCCCCTTTTCTGGCTGTCAAGTCTTTAAAATCTGTGTTTGTTGGTGGAAACTATTGTTATATGTGGGGCGTCTAGACTTTGTAGGTTTCAGCTCTTTTTCCCATTTTTTTTGGTGACACCCTCCCCATCAAAAAAAAACGACACACCTACTGTTCCCAATCTGGATCACACAGTCCCGACATTGTTTTATCCACAGAGGCATCTGGAACTATTTTATCAAACAAGTGATTTTACTGCCAAGCAATATTAACCAAAGCTCTGCTTACTGTGTGGAATCCTATAAGGTGCCTGGAGACATTACTTTATGAAACAGAGGGCATTAGAAGCTTTAGAGCTCTTCAGTCGTCGTATACTTTTACTGCAGGATCACTTTGGATAGCCTGAAGCGATAATCAGGCGAAGTTGAAGGTCTGAAAAGCACCATAAAAAGATTTGACCGCACATATAAAGCCTTTCTAGTCTTCAAACCACTCAAAGCGCTTTACACTACATGACACCCTCCCTCCCTCCCTCCCTCCCCCCCTGCCCCTTCTCACACATATTAATACACTGTTGGTGGAGGCTGCCTTTAAAGGTGCTGACATGCTCAGGATTTATTTTAACACTTATTCACACATTTCCCAAGCCTTCAGGAGCAGTTGTGGCTTTAGAGTTTCGCAAAGAGACACCGATGCATATACTAAAAGTCAGTGGATGACTTATTCTATACCTCACAAAAATATGACTGTGCTTTTTATATGAGTTTGAACCATAGGCTGTTTAGACTCTCACAATGACGCTACAGAGGCAAACATGTGATTCCCACAAGGTCAAAGGTGACATAAGAGTCTTTAAACATTGCCTTGTTGTGTTGTGGGTTGCTTGACTAGAAGGACTAATAGTAATGTCTCAAACTTAAGTTCTACCCTTTAACAGCTGCCAGTGTTCCTCAACGAAAACAAAGACAACTTTATTTAAACGCCACAAGATTCACAACAATTAATATGTCTGTTAGGGGTTTTGCACCAGCTAAGCCCCACCCACCAACATATGTCGTACTGTTTTCACCAATAAGGTAATGTGATTGTAACAGGAACGTAGTCTCAGTGAGCGTACAGATTTTTATTGGTTCTTAGGATCCGTTATAAAGGAAATGCTCACCTGTCTATCAATTTACCATGTCCCTAATTCACACCTAACTCATAGCCTTATTAGACGGATACTTCTGAAAATACTTCATCCCCTGTATGAGTTAGCGTAATTTGTACGAAAGAGGATTAGAGCCACATTAAGAGAAAAAAATAGTTACAGAAAGGAGATTAAAGTTTAAATTTTGAGATTAAAGTCAAAATTTCGGGATTAAAAATTTGAAATTTCAAGATAAAAGTCAAAGTTCCGACATTACAAAATGTCAATGTCGTGAATAATGTCGAAATTTTGAGATGAAAAAATAAAAATTTTGAGATTAAATTCGGAATTTCAACTTTATTCATGTAATTTCTTTTCTTTAATGTCAAAATTTCAACTTTGATGTCGAAATTTTGATTTTTTTTATTTCGACTTTTTAAAATTTCGACTTAAATCTCAAAATTTCGACGTTTATCTTGAAATGGAAATTTAGAAAACTCTTCTTGTGGCCCTCATCCTCTTGTATAAATAGAAACACAAGCCAGTGACGCTGACAAAATTCTCAGAACCTGGTTTCAAACATGTTTATTTCTGCCGTATTTAAGCATAATAGAAGTTCTTGAGCCTGAAGTAGACGCTTAAAAAGCTGCATTTTTCATCATATTTGCTCCATTTTCCTACGTTTTTCCCTCACCGTCTCCATCTCTTGCGAGTCTTAGACAGGTCTTACACTCTTATTTTCCTGACTGTTATGGATCTGACCTTTAAACTTTTCATCCTTCTTTGAAGCACTTTTCCACCAGTAAAAAAAGAAAAAAAAAACACCACATCAGTTTCCCACCACATTGCGCTGGAATGTTTGAGGCGAATTCAGGAATGCAGTTGGGCATGCAGCATGCTACAGCAGCAGTTTGAGTTACTCTGGGCTGCATGAGGTCATATTTTCTGCTTAGAGCGGCCTTGTGTGTGTCCTCATCAGCGCCTGTGTACATTTGAAACAGGTGCTCATGTGTGTGTGTGAGGAGGGGGAGAAGAGGGGGTGTTACTTTAATGTATTAGCAGACAGGAAGACCCAGACAAAATAAGGTTTAACGTATTTAAGAGACACAGATTGGATTAATGAGTAGATATATTCCCAGGTGTTAATGAATGCCCCAGCCAAATCTGAGAGGTATGTCAGTGTGAGTTTATCCATGATTTATTATCTTATCTATTATCTAGCTAATTATTATGAGCTTATCTATGATCTATTATCTATAATACAGGAGAAGAATATCAAATTAAAGTTTTATGACTTTTAATTTGAACTGAACATGCAAAGATCCTACTGAAATTAAAAAAGTCAGTAGGATTCATCCTTTGGGACCATGAATGACCATGCAAAGTTACAAGCAACCAGATAATTGTTCAGTGCTTGTTTTTTCTAATTTGACCCGGATTAAAGGGTTCAAGCTAAACCAGACAAAGGTTCCTCCCTAAACCGCCTCCCAGGTGATCGCAGACCCTATTTTGTACTTCAAAGTGCTGTCGTTTCACAGCCCACTACTCCTTCAGAACCGGAAACCAAATCCTCAGAAAGACTACACCCTGACTGCATTATTTATTGATCTGCCACCCTGAACCCACACTACGTTGTGTGTGTAGGTGGCGTTGTGCTCATCAGGAAGCCAGAGCGTGGGAGGTGATACTCATCTGTATCATGTGTCTTTGGTTGAGTGGTTTTGCAAATGTGGATGAGTGGAAATGTCATCAGTGGGTTTAAAAATCTATTTTGGCATCAGGAGGTTAATGTGTACATAATTCACAAACACCTGCTATTGTTTTTGTCAAGTTAGTTTAAAAGTATTTTGTCTTTGTGGTGAGTGGGCTGTGGTTAGTGTGGGCAGAGGAAGAGAGAAAAAAATGAATGAGAGCTCGATAAAAAAGGAAGCCGGAGATGAAAACATGAATGGAAAAATCATGTTTTTTGAACACTGTGTGTGTGTTTGTAGTGTGCGTTTTAATGGCACATACAGTAAGTCTGTGAGATCTGAAATAATAAAGAGTTTCACAGAAAAACTACTTCACTCGGTGCTATTGACTTTGGAACAAGTTCACCCCTCTTTGATTGTAGCCGTGTGGGTCCTTCTCCCCCTCCTTCATGCTAACCCTTCCCTCAGGGGAGGGGGGGTTATAAGAGGGGATGAAAGGGGAAGCATCCCCCCTAGTTAACATAAATCATCAAACACATCCTCCTGGCCAACAGATGTTCAATCAGTTGTTGGAGGAAACAAGAGTTTCTATGCTTGACACCTCTTTGTGAAGTCTGGTCTAATTACTCAGAGCTGATGTTTGACGGACTGATCAGGATATGAAAGGATGAAAGAACCGACACAGTTTTGGCATCTGTATGAGAGTTCTAATGTAGTTTTCATTGACAGGGATTTTAGATGTACATCGGTTGCAAACACCTAATATTTACGTTTAAGTATAAAAGTAATCAAATGTTAATGTGTCAATTTCCACCGGCTGCTTTCCATACCGTTGCAGATCGGCAAACTCCGCAGCTGATTGCTAGAGTTCTATTTTTTTTTTGGACGCCGGAGCATGCCAGAAAAATTCAGCACAGATCAACCCGTGCTGGAAAGGAAGTCGGGCACAGACACAGAATAAAACATCTGACTTCTTTTCAAAATAAAACACTCAGTGTTTCAGGCGGATTGTATTTCACACCATGCAAACAGGTGGAGACAAAGTGGCAAGCGAATGGTTCTTAGTATTTCACCCCGATGACACCACGGATGAGGAGATGCTGATTTTAGAAGTCTAGAGGTGGATTTCCTCCTCTGGAAGGACTAGGTCTACTTCTTTTATGGTTGGCCCCTGTGGCCGTCTTTATAGACTCAACTCATTATCGTGCGATTGCATGTGAATCTGCGGGTTCTTGTGAGTTCTCGCGATTACCGCTGTCCGTAATTCACCACGAAATTCGCCTCACCATCAGATCCGGTAGGAATTGGTGTACGGCGAAAATCGCCGCCATTACGGATCAAGGCCGTTCTGGATGCAGTGAAAATTGGGGGTTAGCCGGTTAGTCTAAACTTGGTCTACATTAAGACATCTAAAATTTTTCATTTTTAGACCAGTCACCTAGGCTACATTTAGACATTTATTAGACCTCTTTTAGACCAAAAAATACTCAGTAGGTTATATGTGGGGTAAACTGGCACCACTTACCTGTAGAGCATGTGTACATGACTAAGCACTCACAACTACAGTGTCAGAGGGATGAAAGATGGAGAGACACAGTGATTGTCCGGAGCAAAGTGACTCAAAAAAGACGGACAGCCAAGTCAAGCAACAACTGTGGCGATGTTTATGACGCCATTTTTCAGATAATGCTTGTAAATGCAAACAACCAGAAAATACACAAAGGATATGTGTCACAGAGCGTGATGTCATAAGACGGCGAGCCCAGATAGACCATCCAAGAAAGATCCACGGTCTTTGAGGCGGACACCTTTGAGAGATGTTATTGAAAGTGGTAGACACATTACCAGAGCTGGGCTTGGAGATCTCTATATAGGGCTACATTGACATCCTTATAACTCATCATCTTCAGGTTACTGTCATTATTAAGGTATTGATGGTAAATATTTAAATTGAATGAAACACTTGAACTTAAAAGACATTTAAAAATACAATTTGAGGTCTGTGTGCTGGCCCCATACATGGAGGTCCTGCATCAGGTGGTCGGTCTGAGTTGGTTCCAGCCTGTGGCTCTTTTCCTGCTCTCTCTCCCTGTTTCCTACCCTGCATACTGTCCCGCCCTCTCTAAATAAAGGCCACAAAATCCAGTAAATACAATATTGAGAAAAGCAGAACTTTGTATGAAACTAGTATCATCTCCAGGTATCATGACTCAGTCCAAACAGTGTCAGTTAAAGCCTGTACTCCTGTGTAAATCACTTAAGTGCTGAATAAATCTGTTCTCCAGACATGCCTTTTCATTATATACCATAAATATAATTACAATTTTCCTCATTCATTTCACATCTCATTAAACCCGTTCACTTTCAAGTCACAGTAATTCACATCTGATGATTCTGTAACATTTTCAAAGAGGCACTAGCCTTAATTGAATAGTACCAGTTTACTGTAAAGGCCTCTGACGTTCAAGCAAAACAAACTGGCACAGAAAAACAGACATTAGCCAAATTTATACTGCGGTGGAGATTTTTCTTTTTCCTCTAGTTCTGGGTAAAAGTAAACCACACAATAAATCCTACAGGACACTTTCTTTTCATCTCTATTTTCATTCATGGCATCCTTTTGGACAAACTGTATATGACAAATGGCAAAGTCAAAGTCTGCATGGTTTTCAAAGCTCATGTTTAACATCAGAAGAATGAAACAGGAATTTAGTCGGACTAGAATTGAAGCTTCGCTCCCCTCCGCGAGCAGCACGCAGTCACTGCTGCATCCAGCGGCCATAAACCACGTCACTCTGTGTGGTCCTCTAATTGCATATCAGATGGAGCCAGTCTGCATGATGAAAGCTTGACTTTGCGCTTTGTGCTTTGGTGTCAGTTCTAATATGTAAAGCAGATGTGTGTTTTAATATCAAAGCCCCATCAGTGGTTGTGTAGAGCTGCTAGTTAAATGGCTTTAGAGGTTGGATCCCCACTGGGGCCACACACACTAAGGATGTATTCCTGTAAGGAGGCTCTGCTTTTCGTTCCGCACACTACAGGAAGAAAAAAAAACTAGGGCCCCGTTGGGGCACTGGCGGGCCCGAGCTGTGTCGCCCCCCCCCCCCCCCCCCCAACGCGCTGCCTCCCCGTCCCATTCGCGTCCTCTGGCCATCGTCCTCTCTGGTAACGCCCATCACTGCAAAGACCCTTTTCCTTCATCGGCGTTTGCTGTTCTTCCTGCCAGTGCGTGTTGCTTTCACTTACACTTGCCACAGCCAGCCTTGTGAGTGCCTAGCCTATTGGATATCACTGTCACCTACACAGGACAGTCATTACCTTTCTATTAATACTTTGTTTTTTAATTTCACATTAATTTCCATATTGTATAAACGACTGGAAAAAACTTGAGCCCCTGCCCCCGTATAATCATGTGCACGTCCCTGTTCTCGCTCCAAGGTGAATCTTCACTGCTCATGTTCTCCTCAGAAGCAGTCACCTCACTCCCCTCAGGTTACTGTACACATGCACCAACTGCCTGCTTCAGGTTTGGATGGAGCTTCATGGTTGTCTTTTGGAGAAATGAGCAGTCAAGTTGTGTTAGAAATTTGATTTTTTTCAGGGGCAAAAGGAAGCCTCTGCATTGTTGTCAAATATGTAAATAGCATGTTTTTGCAGGTGCTAAAAACCAGACTCTGAGTGTGTGTGTGTGTGTGTGTGTGTGTGTGTGTGTGTGTGTGTCTGTGTGTGTGTGTGTCTGTGTGTGTGTATCCTGCAGTACTCTGTACTCCTGCAGTGGCCAAAACGACTTTTAAGAATGTGGATATTTGGGTCATCTTTGGCGCCCCCTAGAACGTAAACCATGGGGTGCAGCGGCATGATTTTTACAACTTTGAATGGCCATGGGGTGTAGATTGGCCTGAGCAAATTTGGTGTCAGTGGGACGAAAGCCTTAGGAGGAGTTAGCCACATTCCAATGTGTGCGAATCGGCAAAAAATGCAAAATAGCCCTTTAGCCGTACATTTTACAGATACGCGCCCATTGACTTTTTCGTAGATCTTATTGAGATACACGTGTGTGTCAAATTTTTTGTCAATACGACAAAGCGTAAAGGCGTGACACTCAACAATGTGTATTTTCACCTTAGGGGACAAGAAAAAATGGACTTTTTATTCCTGCCATGGGGGGGCGCTCTTTTGGGGAGTAAAAATTCCTTCACAAATGTGTTGATGGCTGGACATTGCATCATCCTAGAAAACTTGGAGGCCAGTGAGGACAAAAAAAAAAATTTATAAAACTTTTAAGAATGTGGATTTTTGGGTTATTTTTGGCGCCCCCTAGAACCTAAACCATGGGGTGCAGCATTATGATTTGTACAACTTTGAATGGCCATGGAGTGTAGATTGGCCTGAGCAAATGTGGTGCCGGTGGAACGAAAGCCTTCGGAGGAGTTAGCGAAATTCCAATGTGTGCGGATCTGCAAAAAATGCAAAATAACCCTTTAACCGTACATTTGACAGATACGCCCGCACTGACTTTTTTGTAGATCTTATTGAGATACATGTGTGTGTCAATTTTTGTGTCAATATGACAAAGCGTACAGGCGTGACAGTCAATAGTGTGAATTTTCACCTTAGGGGGCGCTATGGAGCCATTTTGCATTTTCTTGTTTGGGCGACTTCAGAATATCGAATTTTTCACCAGGCCCGGTCGTCCTGCCAAATTTCATGAGTTTTCGCCAGTGGGAAGTGGGCCATTTTCCAGTTTAAAGCGGAGGAAAAATAATAACTAGGGCCCCGTTGGGGCACTGGCGGGCCCGAGCCGTGTCGCAACCCCCCCCCCCCCAACGCGCTGCCTCCCCGTCCCATTCGTGTCCTCTGGCCATCGCCCTCTCTGGTAACGCCCATCACTGCAAAGACCCTTTTCCTTCATCGGCGTTTGCTGTTCTTCCTGCCAGTGCGTGTTGCTTTCACTTACACTTGCCACAGCCAGCCTCGTGAGTGCCTAGCCTATTGGATATCACTGTCACCTACACAGGACAGTCATACTTTGTTTTTTAATTTCACATTAATTTCCATATTGTATAAACGACTGGAAAAAACTTGAGCCCCTGCCCCTGTATTATCATGTGCACGTCCCTGTTCTAGCTCCAAGGTGAATCTTCACTGCTCATGTTCTCCTCAGAAGCAGTCACCTCACTCCCCTCAGGTTACTGTACACATGCACCAACTGCCTGCTTCAGGTTTGGATGGAGCTTCATGGTTGTCTTTTGGAGAAATGAGCAGTCAAGTTGTGTTTGAAATTTCATTTTTTTCAGGGGCAAAAGGAAGCCTCTGCATTCTTGTCAAATATGTAAATAGCATGTTTTTGCAGGTGCTAAAAAACAGACTCTGAGTGTGTGTATGTGTGTGTGTGTGTGTGTGTGTGTGTGTGTGTGTGTCTGTGTGTGTGTGTGTGTGTATCCTGCAGTACTCTGAGAAGAATAATAAGCATATTTCTGAGGTGAATTTTGAAGATTCATCTGAGAGTTAGGTTTGATTCGATTCGATTGACGCTCCCCAGCGTTCAAGTCACATGACATATTTAACCGGATGTAGCTGCAAGACGGAGCCTCGTAAACTCTCCGTTTCAACTTATCTCAAAAGTGAGGACCTCAACCTATATACCAGTTTTTAAATTGTGTTGATAGGCCAAATAAAACCAGAGTTATGATAAATTATGTCCGCGATACTTTTTTTCTGCTTATTTTGATCACGTTCGGCGCTCGATCGCGCTGTATGAGACAGGAAAACATAGCATGCACACATTAGCGACAGGTCTTACAGGCGGAAAAGGCTTGCCAAAAGAAAAAGAAAACACACCACAACATCTCTCCTATTGGTGGAAAACTTCACCACAACAACCAATCCAAAATTATATGGTGACTGATTGACAAGGGGCGGGCGCTTACGTTCTTCCTGCAACATGAGAAGGGAGGGAGGGACTCTCAGCAGGGTTGCAGTCTGGGACACGTAGTTGCAAACCTAGCAACTTTGTTGTTAGATTCAATTACTTTTCAGACCCCCTAACGACTTTTTTTAGAAAGAAAGGGACTTTTATCGACTTCTTCTGGAGTTTAGAGACTCTGACATGAAGCAGGCTTTCCTTACTGAGGAGTTAGCAACGCTGCTAAGGGTGCAGAGCCACACATGCGCTCAGAGCTCTGCATGGGAGACTGAAGCTGACAGAGCTGCAGCAGTTAGCAGGTTTCACCCTCAGAGACCACCAGGGGTTCATGTTGAGGCATTTTCAGTTTTTGTTTTTTTTGCCATAGACTGTCAGCACAATCTGCAGTTACACTAACAAAAATGCTGCAAAAAACAAAGAATTATGGAAAAATTACACATGGACTGACATAGAGGAGGATCTACACAAGTTTTTTACATCATGTTTTACATCATGCATCATTTACATCATGTTTTTTTGTAGTGGCATAAATAAAAAGTGACATTTGTGAGACTATACAGTGTTTTGTAAATAATTTTACAAAGAACGCCTGGGCCATTGCCTGCATTTTGATGTAAATAGAGGTAAATCACTATGTTCTTTGTTAAAAATTTGCATATGTTTTGAAGTTTACAATTTTTATTTGAAGTTTAAGTTTTAAAAACAGTTCATCACACATATTTGTGTTTTAATTTCACATTAATTTCCATATTGTATAAATGACTGGAAAAAACTTGAGCCCCTGCCCCTGTATAATCATGTGCACGTCCCTGTTCTAGCTCCAAGGTGAATCTTCACTGCTCATGTTCTCCTCAGAAATAGTCACCTCACTCCCCTCAGGTTACTGTACACATGCACCAACTATCTGCTTCAGGTTTGGATGGAGCTTCATGGTTGTCTTTTGGAGAAATGAACAGTCAAGTTGTGTTTGAAATCTGATTTTTTTCAGGGGCAAAAGGAAGCCTCTGCATTATTGTCAAATATGTAAACAGCATGTTTTTGCAGGTGCTAAAAAACAGACTCTGAGTGTGTGTGTGTGTGTGTGTGTGTGTGTGTGTGTGTGTGTGTGTGTGTGTATATGTGTGTGTATCCTGCAGTACTCTGTACTCCTGCAGTGGCCAAAAAGACTTTTAAGAATGTGGATTTTTGGGTCATCTTTGGCGCCCCCTAGAACTGCAGTACTCTGTACTCCTGCAGTGGCCAAAATGACTTTTAAGAATGTGGATTTTTGGGTCATCTTTGGTGCCCCCTAGAACGTAAACCGTGGGGTGCAGCGTCATGATTTTTACAACTTTGAATGGGCATGGGGTGTAGATTGCCCTGAGCAAATTTGGTATCGGTGGGACGAAAGCCTTAGGAGGAGATAGCCACATTCCAATGTGTGCGAATCGGCAAAAAATGCGAAATAGCCCTTTAACCGTACATTATACAGATACGCGCTTTTTGACTTTTTCGTAGATCTAATTGAGATACACGTGATTGTCAATTTTTGTGTCAATATGACAAAGCGTTCAGGCATGACACTCAACAATGTGTATTTTCATGTAAGGGGACAAGAAAAAATTGACTTTTTTCTCCTGCCATGGGGGGGCGCTCTTTTGGGGAGTAAAAATTCCTTCACAAATGTGTTGATGGCTGGACATTGCATCATCCTAGAAAACTTGGAGGGCAGTGAGGACAAAAATAAAAAGTTATAAGACTTTTAAGAATGTGGATTTTGGGTTATCTTTGGCGCCCCCTAGAACGTAAACCGTGGGGTGCAGCGTCATGATTTGTACAACTTTTAATGGCCATGGGGGGTAGATTGGCCTGCGCAAATGTGGTGCCGGTCGAACGAAAGCCTTCGGAGGAGTTAGCGAAATTCCAATGTGTGCAGATCTGCAAAAAATGCAAAATAACCCATTAACCGTACATTTGACAGATACGCCCGCACTGACTTTTTTGTAGATCTTATTGAGATACATGTGTGTGTCAATTTTTGTGTCAATATGACAAAGCGTACAGCCGTCATGTGAATTTTCACCTTAGGGGGCGCTATGGAGCCATTTTGCATTTTATTGTTTGGGCGACTTCAGAATATCGAATTTTTCACCAGGCCCGGTCGTCCTGCCAAATTTCCTGAGTTTTCGCCAGTGGGAAGTGGGCCATTTTCCAGTTTAAAGCGGAGGAAAAATAATAACGAAAGAAGGAAACATGCAGGAACAAGAGGGCTCTCGCAGCTGCTTAGCAGCTACGCTCGGGCCCTAATAATAACAAAAGAAGAATCCATCAGGAACAAGAGGGCTCTCGCAGCTGCTTAGCAGCTACGCTCGGGCCCTAAAAAAGAGTTCGAGGGTTGCTTCTCCAAACTCTATAATGCAAGACAGCAGTTTTATGTCAATGCTGGTGTTCTCTTTCAAAAGCAGTGTCTGCAAACTCATGTCTGCAGAGTGTTAAATGTTGTTGAAGACCCTGGTGTTGATTCCTGTCTTGTATTTGTGGGGGAACGATAATCAGCACCAGCAGAGTGTTGGCTGTGAATGCACCGGCCTCGGCTCCCAGCTAAAACCTCTATCTGATCAGATTCCGGCCTTGTTTCAACTATGCCCCCTGGATTATAGTTGTCATGTCAGCCGCAGCCCAACTGATTACAGACACAAACACATTCACACAATGATTACATGCAGCTTACTGTAGGACTCTATAAAACATCCAGAAATCCTTTTTTTTTAACCCCGCAGTGACTCAAGGTCCTGAAGTGATAAGGCTGCTTCAAAGTGAAAGACGTGTCCACGATTGTGTGACTGCCAATCCTTTTGAGATGCTGTCATGGTGTGTGTGTGTGTGTGTGTGTGTGGTTGGGTAAGTGTGTGGGGTGCACATGTCGGCCACTTTAGATTGAAGCTTAGGCTGCAACTAAGTTTTATAGCTGCTTTATCATATAGTGTCTAATTTTCTCTTTTGTAAGTTGATAATCAGAGGTAGCTGGAGCTCAAAGCAGTATTTGCAAATTAGTTATCTAAGCTCCGCCCCCTTAATTACCCTAACTTAGGGTGACTATATTCTGAATCCCCAAAAAGAGGACACGACTACGCAGGAGCGGAGTCACAAAGTTGCGCGTAGTTAATTTTCAGAGTTTTTCGGGTCTGATCAAGTGTTTTTTACATGTTTCTAACTCAGTTAGTCCAAGTGATACAAACTCAAAACTTCCATACAAACCCCGCACAGGTGTAGGATTTTATAAACTCCCCCAGACAAAGCCGGACAAGGCTGGACAGCCCCCCAAAAAAGAGGACATGACCGAGTAAAAAAGCAGCTTTGAGTTTACTGTTGAAAATCCTTCATAGATAGCACCTCAAATATGTGCAGTGTGCACTTATACCTGGTGGAAAAGTTGCCATTTGTCTTGATTATGGAGGACACAACAAGAGCATTTCCTATCAGCCGATAAGTGAATGAATAAATGAATGAATGAATGAAATGACAGCTGTTACCAGAGATTTTCATCAGCAGTTTCATGGTTTGCTTATCAAAACATGTGAGAAGGTTGCTAATGCTTCCTCTTGTATTTCGAGCTCACTGAATGTCTTGCAAACATGTTCTCATCACAGATACACCCATTATTTCAACTGTTGGGGGCGCTATCGGACACTCGGCCAATAATCTGTATCGGTGTATTATTTAACTGTTGATAAAATTGATTATTCAAAAAGTGTGCTACTTTTACTTCACTGTTGGTGTGCCTTCTTGTCTGCGTCTGTTTTCAATCACCCCTGCCATCACCGTATGCTCCGCCCACAACACCATCTGATTGGCTAGACATCCCATGACTGACATAACAGTGCTACAATTGTTACTGATTGATGGATACACCTGTTAATGATGCTCAAAGTTTTAAAAGCATTTAGATAAAGTATTTTGGGGGAGTTTGTGATATTCAGAAACATAAATTTGGACAGAAAAATGATCATTTGCGCTGTAAATATGTATTCGTTAAAAATATTAACACTTGTTACGCTCCACGCCCTAAATGTAGCCTAGCCTGGTCTTAATTCAGGCTACCCCAGGTCTTAAAATTAACGGTTTTTTAGACGTCTGTATTCAGACTAAGTTTAGACTAATTCCAAATCCAGGCTATATCTATACTACACTGTATATTGCTCAATGGCTATCATAATTATTTTGGTTAATTATATGGAAGGCAGCCCTATGGGGCTAACAACTATCCTTACCTTTTGACCCACTGAATTAACACACTGATTAACTTACAACGATCAGTATCAGTGTCAGCCCTGAAAAACTAGAGTCAGTTGACCCCCAGTTCTTAGACAGGCAGTTGGTTTTGAGATGCGTTTAGTTTTGTTTTTGTATTAGTTTCTTTCTTCTATTTAATTCCAACATTTCACAAGTGAGCTCACCTAGCTTACCTTTTTGTAGGCTTTATTTCGAGACAGAACATCTTCCTCTTCAGCATCACAACAGGACAGCTCACCAAGGATAGAAATACACAATTTATGGCAATTGAATATGGAATAACTCTAGTTTTACCCAAATCCTCACAGAGGTGTTACAGAACTTAAAACATTAGAAATAATCACAGCAGGAAAATTAGTAAAGGACTTTAAGATAAATTATCAACAGTTGTGTCACAGTTTTTCATGGAATAAAAGACGTTGGAGAATCTGATAATCTCCCTGATTGGACCGAAGTCTGAAAAAGTTTTGATCTCAGCTTTACAGAAATCTGCTTATTTATTGCGGCACCGAGGTAAAAGGTTGAAAAACATCCCTGGTACTCAGTCGTGCTTGAAAGGGAGTAGTAAAGTTGTTGGCTTCGGTTTGTCTGAGCTTTTTACATTACATAAGGCCTCTCCCCCTTCCCCCTTCTTTCATTTCGCACAAAAGATTTCTCAAAACACACACACAGACACACACTCACACACACGCCATCAGTGCGGCATGGCAGCCGTCCAGAGAGGGGCTCCAGTGTCGCTGGGTTTCAAAGGCTTCTTTGCTTGTTGTCCTTTTGATGCTCGCTCCCCAGCAGCAGTGGAGCAGAAATGCCGAACGTCCAGCTTTGATATGAATTTGTTCCTCATTCTACGCACTGCTGAGCAACTCTTAGTCTACACTTCTGAAAACCAGTTTCTTCGTTTTATCAACACGAATTCAACCTAAACTGGGACCAAAGTTATAGATTCCAAGTGTTGACTTAAATCCCAACAAAACCAGAACTAAAGAAACACATTTAGAGAATCTTCAAAAACAAGACTCTAACTGGGAAATATTAGAAATCCAATAAAGATCGATTCTGCTGTGCCTTGTTATAGTAATTTGAGTCTAGGGCTGCAACAATTAATCGACGTCAACAAAAATTGATGATGAAAAAAGTCAACAATAAATTCTATTATTGACTGTAGTCAATTATCGACCAGTAGAGTGAAGAATCTTACTTCATTACGATCTCTGCCCAGAGCAGGGGTGGGCAGTTCATTTTTACATGGGGCCACATGAGAAACCTGAACTGTGTTGGAGGGCCGAACCAACAATAACTTCAACTTCAAATCAGGGGGGTTCACACATACAGAAAAACAAGTCCAAATAGGCAACTACTAGTTAAAAACAAGCTCAAAAGAAGTGCAACTGCGTCTGAAGTCGTTTATAATAAGCGTACTTGGCAACTATAAGGCGTCTACGTATATTTTGCAGATGTTTAAACTTGTCTCTGTTCACGAATGCAGATCTAGAATGTACACACGTGCGTCCAAACGGAAATAAAACTGTGTCTAGGTTTTCAAAATAAAAGCAACACACTTGCATGTTGATGATTTGCTTGACGGACCTCACAAAGGGCCGGATGTGGCCCTCAGGCCGTAAAATGCCCAGGTCTGGCCTAGAGTCACATATACGCAATAGCGTCTCCACCAAACGGTAGGGTATTCAAACATGGAAATGCCTGCGTCTCATACAGCAGCTACGAGTACGCACTTAAAAACCTCCAAAGATTGGGAGCACTTTAGCCTAGATAAGTTCATAATTAGCGTAATAAAGATACATTTATAATTGTCCGACTCGTCGACTAATCGTTTCAATAGTCGGTGACAAGTCAACTATCAAAATAGTCGTTAGTTGCAGCCCTACTTGAGTCATTTCTGAAACCATCTGCTGGCTTTTATACATTGGAAAGCATTCCTGTGTTGGCATCACTGATAGAAAAACCTCTTCAATAGGTGTTGACCTGTGGCATCCCTCAGGGCTCACTGCTTGGTCCTCTGTTTTTTTTCATTCACATGCTCTCTCATGACATTTATTGGCTTCATGATAACTCAATAAATCGATTAAGTATTATGTATATGGCCTGATAAAAATAGAAATAAAATATCAGTTTTTATTAGATGCTTAGATGAATTATTCAGTAATTAAGACCTGAAAGAAAAATTCGTCTCTTTGTTTTGCTAAGATTTCACAAATCCCTAAGAATTACATTCTGAACACTCCTAAAATATCAATTCAGCCTGTGTTTGCAAAGTGCTTTTGTGTTGTAGGGGATATCTCCTGTTAGTACCCAAGCTTAAGGTTTAATACATTTCATTCATTCTCTCTGGGTCCCTGGAATTCACAGTTCAGCTCTTTGAGTCGTGCCACTTCAAAGGAATGCAGCATTTGTGTGTGAAAACTGTACGTGTGTGAGTCTGTGCGCACTCTGAGCCATGTGTGTGCTACATTCCAGACAGTGTTAGAGGTATGTGAATTACGTCTTACAGAGAGAGAATGTGAAGAATCTGCTGCCATGAGAAGGCCACTGTTGTTTACTGACACAGTAGTGAAAAAGGAGGTTCCTGTGTGTGTGTCTGTGTGCGTCTGTGTGCTTGTGTGTGCGGGACTGAGAGTTAGCCACGTTTTCATCACTTCCTAGTAAGAAACTTGAAAGCCGTGGCACCATTTCTGAAGCTTTTGATGCATGCAGCTGAAGAAGAAGAGCCGCTGGGGTGTCTTTTGAGTCAATTAACACTTTAAATTCACTTTTTGAAGGGTTGTTTTATTCTGATGTGCTGAGAATTAAAGATGAAACACATTTCCCTTCTGTTTGCTCATATGAAGACTCAGCCTCAAAGCAACTTACTGAACGCACACATTAGAGCAGTGGTTCTCAACTGGTGGGTCCCAACCCAAAAGTGGGTCGCGGACACTTTCTGGATGGGTCACGAACAGCAGGTCAAAAAAGTAAAAGTTTAATGCGCATCTGATGTTTGACATGCCTTTTATTTTGAAAAATGGCTTATTTTGAAAGGCACGTGTTGTGTTGTGGTTCTCCTGTGTTTCATATTGATGTGGCCTGAATGCAGTGAAAATACATGGTTTTTTTTTGGTCTTTATTTTGTGCAATTTTATATTTATTCACTTTTGTCCACGGTGTTGCATGTGCTCTGAATGCAGAGATGTATAAAAGTCAAATTTTTCATTTTTCTGGTCTCCATTTTGTGCAATTTGATGTTTTCTGTATATACAACTTCAGTAGTTGTCGTCCTCAGTTCATGTGCTCTGAAATGCACTTTCCTCAATACAATGGGTGTATTTATGTTTAGGATTTGAGTCTTTAAAAGGTTTTTTTATTTAAAAAAAAAAAAAAATTGCTTGGTTTGAATTTTATAAAAGTGGGTCGCGACTTAAGGACCATTGGAAAATGTGGGTCCCAGAGTGCACTAGAGGTTGTAAAGAGCAGCTGGAAACCTCATGGAAGAACATGTTTACAGGAATGATTAAAAGCTTGGGGGATAAATTGATTGCGTCTTTGTTGTTCTTTGTGTAATTAATTACCAAATTGTGCTTTTTCCCTCACAGATTTGGGATATGAGCGACGACGAGAGCATCTGAAGGACGAGAACAACAAACCCTGAACCTCTGAGGGTCTCAACTCCAGTCAATGTTTCTGTCTTTTTTTGTTTTGTTTTCTAAAGGAATATCACTCTTTTAGTGGGCATAAGTAGGGGATGAAGGCTTTGAGGATGCGAGTATGCCCACTGATAAAACTGAAGTAATCTAAATCAAACAAATTTCAAAACCCTCTCTGGAAAAGTATCTGAAAAGCTTTAAATTTACAATTAGTTTTCATTAAGATTTAATAGAAATTCAACCAAAGGCTTGGACTTCCATTTATGAGCAGAAATATGTTGAAACACCTACTTTTTTATTGTTTTGATTTTTCATATATTGTTACGTTACAAGAATCATTAGGATTAGTACATTTTACACTTTTCATGTCTGTATGCCTTGGTTTTGTCTGTATAAAGAATGTACCTGTTCATATTACGCTATTGTCTAATCAGTCATGCTTGTAATCTAAAGTCAGCGCTTGTTTGGTCTGAGAGTTTTCTTTTTCTCTTCTTTCTTTTTTCCCTCAAAGCATCACCAAATGTTTACATATCAACACTTGTAGGTTTTACTCGTTTCCATTAGCATGAAATCCATCTCTCTGTCTGTGATAAGGTTACACTTAAACCAGCGTTGTTCTTTGGAAAGGTCACAAACCAGCAAACAAATTCTTCTGATATGGACACCATTTCCATTTAAGTCAAGGTCACACTAAAATCAAAGAGAGCCTATGAATAAAGTGATGCTTTTTTTTAAGAATTGATGCATGCCTGTTTTTGTCTGTACTGTTGACACTGCTTCTCTGCCGTGTCATAGTCGTCTGATATACTGAGGCACACTGCTTTTGGTGCAACTGTCTTAACTTAACCATGATACATTAGGAGGAGACACTGAATTTAAAGGTGCACTGTAGAGTTTGTGACCTCTGTCGTGTTTTTAAGAATGGATCCATGTCATGGTTTTATCTGGTCGTGATTTTTACATTCCTGAAATCATTTTTTGACACTTTTCCTCATCTGTATTTTTGTTTAAGTTACTAGGAGGTGATTGTTTTGTTTTTTTTTTACACCAAAGAAGGCAAGGAAGAAGGAAAATACAAGCGTAGGATAAACTGCACATTTTGAATGGTTGAAAACCAGGCTTGCTGAATTTTTCTTAAAATGTAAACGTTTGTTTGGAAGAAAACTCTGCAGGGCACCTTTAAAGGCAGAACTGTGTGAAAATGCATAAACTAAACCTCAGAATTCAGATGTTTCCTCAGATTTTAATCAGATTAAACTCTGGATTCTGACTTTGTTTCATAATTCTGATCACTCTCAGCACAAGTTGTCGAAAAGTTTTGTTTCAGTAAGTGTTTCACCATATATTGGAATTAAAGTTTCTTAGTATTTCATCACTTGTGTCTTGTTTATCAAAGTGAAAAATGAGAAATCTCATCTCAGGTGTGTATCCATGTTCTCATGCATTCAGTTATCTACAAGCACTAGATACAACAGCTGGGTCTTTGGCACCACACAAAGAAAAATCAGAGGCTTAGACAGTGAGGTTGTAGTTTAAAAGCATTTTATTGTTCATCAAGGCTACTTTACGTACAAAAAAGGTGGCCTGCCAAAACCTTTTTAGTAGGAGACACAGAGCCACAAATTTTTCTTGATACAATTGTTTTGTTTTACAGTTCAGAGTATTACTACCACTAAGTACATGCTACTTCCACTCCAACAAGGACATGGGAAACGTGGTACAGTCAGAGAACAGACCAACTCCTTTTTGATTTATCGGCACAATTTCCACGTTCGCTTGATTACAGATTGAAAACGGCCTCCACAGATGGGAACGTCGGCATCAGATAAGGGAGCGATAACCCCAAAGCTCATTTTCTGAGCAGAACACCTCAGCCTGGCTGACTGGAAATGAAGCAGATGATTGTGAACGAAAATATATTTACCAAAATACTGACAGGTTTTCATCAGTTTTAGTCTTTTAATCTCGTCGACTTGAACCACACCGACAAAAGTTTGACATCTGAAATGGTTTTACTTGTTCAGTTCCCATCTGTGGACCTCAAACATGATCAAAAGACCTCTGAACCTCGAGGTGGAAATTTTCGCCCATGTCTACTGTTGACGTTCATTTAATTTTTGTTAGTTTGACGGGAAATTTTTCTCAGCTGGCGAGAATCACGACTGCGATTACCGCGAAACGAACAACCTGCTCTTGCTCACGAATTAAACTTCACTTTAGACGTCACACAAATTAGAGCACAAATCTAATACCCACAGAACATCAGGGATCAATGGAAGTAGCGATTGTCACCGACACACTGGTGGCATATCGTGGTTTCATACGTTTACTGTGTTCCTGCACTTGAACCTTTACTCTAACACAACAAACTCTATAAACAAAAAAGATCAACTTTTTTCACAAAAAAAAAGAAAAATGCAATGATTACAATATAAGGACAGGGAAAACCAACAATTAAATAGCTACATATCATTAACAAATTAATTGTTCCTCAAAAAATACCTACGATTTTTTTCTCTGTACATTCGTTACGCACAGCGTAATGATGGTCTTATAGTTACCTATTATAAAAAAGTATTTTATTAAGTGATTTTCCTACAGTGTGTAGGGAGTGTGTGCCGAAGCAGAAAGAGAGCCTCCTACCTACAGGGTGGTAGTGAAATGATAATGAGAAAGAATAATAATAGAAAAACAAACTCCTCTGGACACTGAGCCCCTTTTCCCTCCTGTTTTCTAGCATGTTGCTAACAACATCCAAACTTAAATCAGGGTCAAGTGAATGTGAGAAGAGGGGGAGGCAGCGCTGTGAGACCTGAAAAAAGACTTTCATCGGAGGCAGCTGAGTGTCTCCTGGCTCACAAGGTGTGCTTACAGAAGCTCAGCTCCTGAAGCTGTGCCCCTCCCAAAAAAACTCCTCACCCAGACCGCTCTGAACCCGCCACTGAGAGCACTTTTGATCAGTGAGCACTCCGTTCACTGGTCAGCTCTGCTTCTGGTTCTGTCACATCTGTTCTGATTGTTGATCATGGAATGTGTGGACAAACCTCAGCTTACTTTTGCTACTTTTCGCACTGCCCACTGTGGAAGCATCTAGTTCTCTGAACTATCTGCTCTGAATGTCCTCAAAAATGTCAAAGCCTTAACTCCTCTCTGCTCCTTTCTCTTCTGGGACTGATTTATGGCTAATTTTCTTGTAGTAACGCGGCATTCGGGTTACCTCGGAAGTCAGATTTCGTAGCTGGAAATGACATCACACGCGAGTTACCAGCCTTTCAGTTACCAAGTCGAAAAAAAGCAAAATCAGAGTCTGAAACAAGATAGCTACATCTATGAAAGTTATTTCAGCGCTTGCCTTATATTCGGACAAGTTTACGCCTCCGATTTTACTTTTTTCTGACTTGGTAACTCAAACGCTGGTAACTCCGGTGTGACACCTTTTTTAGCTTGGACGTCTGACTTCCGAGGTAACTCAAACGCAACATAACATTTCGCATTTCCGATTCAGACACAAAGCTCTGTTTGTTCATTCCGTCTAGCTCTATGGAGATCGCGAGTGTGTATGAGGCCTTTGCAAAGTTCCCTATTGGAGGAATGTATGCCACCTTGGCGCAGGCTCCTCTCCTTATCTCCGACTGCAGCAGGCTAGCTTAACTGCAGCCCCGACATCGTGTTGTTCAGAGCAAAAAAAAAAAATATGACGTACAAAAATAAGTCAGGACACCAAGACAGGACACAAAGAAGTCATGGACCGCAATGAAAAACCCAATCATATCTCTAGACCAGCATGAAGCGGTAATTTTTTAAATCTAATTTCATCTTTCGAGGCCCTGTTGACTCATTTGTGCCTGTTTGGCGTCTCCGCTCAGTCACGCTGAAGGTTGTAGCATCCTGTACCACCGATGGATCAACATCTTAAAAACCTTTACAGGCTGCGTGTCCGAAACGACCTCAGCATAGCGAGCGATCGGCCGCAGGAACGAGCCGATCACTCGCCTTGCTGAGGAGGTGTTAGGAAACGCAGCTCTCATCGTTTAACAGAGCCTGTCCCGAGGCTGTCCCGCTATAGATGTTTGTTACCATACTGATATTAATGGAAAACAACAATACAAAACTGTAATATAACAATAACAATAATAACATGGAGTACAACTGACCCAGCAGTGAGTGTATAGTGTCTATGTCTGTTACCGACGATGACAGAAGTAACATCTAACGTCTGAATGAAAAGGCTAATAGTAGTTAAGATTGAAATGCTTAAAAACATTAATAGATACCAGCTATTAAAAAAAACAAAAAAACAAAACAGAAAATAAAAACAAAACATGCATGTGTAAAAGCATTAGTTTACCCTTCAAACCTTGAAGAAAATCTACCAAACCACAGAGTGAGGGAGAGGGAGGGACAGCAGGGAGGAAGCCAAACATAATTACAACACCTGCGTTCAAAGAGTCACACAATCAAAGGTATGTTTGAAGAGATCCGAATAATCTTCTCTCCCCCGGTCGAGAAACCAGACGTGTTTTTTTTGTTGTTTTTTTTTCCCCAACCACAAAGTGACGTGCGGCGTCATTTCAGCCCCTCATCAGTGTCAGCAGGTAAGGCTGTGAAACACATCAAAGCTCTTTGTTCTTATGAAACCGTCTCTGATTTTTGCTTCAGGTCTGCTCGTCCTTGGTGTCTTTAGATGACGGCTGAGACGCCCATCAACACCTCGTTTAGCTGGCTCAGTGAGCTGACTGTGTTTACGGGATGAAATGTATGAGTTTGGCACCGTATGAGTGGGATGACTGTGATGTTTCTCTGGAAAACCTTCTACGCATCCATGCTGATACTAATCAACAGCACTTTATCGACACATTTCACCCACTCGTCAGGAGAGTAGGCGGAGCTATATGGAAGAAGTGCCTTTTAGTAAACCCAAATCAAGCACTTTCTGACCAGTTTGTCACTTTTTAACACAAAGACGGATAATAACCTAAATTAGGGGTGTCCCGACACAACTTTTTTACTTCCGATACGATACAGATATTGTAGCCTTAAGTATTGGTCAATACCGATATTAATCCGATACTGGTACAAACTTGTGCATGACAAGTTTTGCACTCAGCTGCAACGTCTTTCTCGGACTTTAACGAAAAATACTATCCCTCGGTCGACATCACTCCTACTCCTTGCTACTTTGTTTGTACCTAAGTACACACTGTTGTTGTGATCTCGTGGGCTATGTATGCTGGATCAGGGTGCTGCTAGCTAGAGATGCCGGAGTGGAGTCTGTAATGGACTGCTTGTATCAGAATGCTGATATTGGAGAATTTAGACGCAGGCCGATATTTGTTTTTTGGCTGATATCACACCCATATCCGTATCGGGACATCCCTAACCTAAATACATGCTGATGGATGTTGGATCTGTCTGTTTATTCTCTTACTGAATATCCAAGTCTGTTCCTGTCAACTTGCGATAATGTGATTAATTATCTTCATATTTGAACGTACTGAATCTAAATCTGTACCCTCGCTAACACTTCCCTCTGCCCAGCTCTACTGTTTCTTTTCTTTTTAATACATTAATAATTAAGGCATTGTAACGTGGGGTTGTATTTTTCCTGTCAGGGTCAAATCGTGGTTAAACTCACATAGATTTTAGACCAAAGCTGGATTTTATCAGATTAGGTCAAAATGAGCTTTTTCAGTCCCAGTGTGCGGTGCCAGATTTTCACTCTGACACTCTCTACAGCAGTAGTGCAAATCAGACCGAGTCAATCACCCAAGTGTGCACATGCAGTAACAAAGCCACCAGAGCACACGGGCTTTAAAAAGGAGAGAGGGGGTTGAGAGAGTGAAAGATGGTAAAAAACAGAGCACGGAGATGACATGATGGCTGGTTGTCGTTCTGTTTCTTTCTCAGTTTGTGTTGGTAAACATCAGTGTCGGAGGTTTCTTTGGTAGCGCAGTCAGGTGGTTCGTGATCATCTATCCAAAGTGTTTCTCGCTTCTCTTTTCTTTCAATTGTCGGGCATCTCATAACGTAAAAAGCAGTACACAAACTACTGTTAAAGAAACAAAGAAAACAACAAAAACTGAAGAAAAATTAATAATTAAAACAACTCCTTTCGTTCCTCTCTGTATGTACATATAACTACAGACACTTGCTCGGCTCCAAGCTTGACACGCAAGGGATGATGGATGATTGGAAGGAGCAGCTCGATGCTCCAGTCAAGTCCCAAAGTCAAAGTCACCCTCGACGCTCATCACTGATAACTGTCCGGTTTAAACAAACCAGGGCACAAGAGGGGGGAAAAACAACCGTGTTGTTGTTATTGCTTTATTGATCCTCTATGAGTGCATAGAAAGAGTGCAGGGCTGAAGGGTTCGGGGTGTTTTTAGCAGACCAGCAGGCAGGCGTTCCCTCAGGGATGCTGGTGAGAGAACATTTGACAGGGTATGGGCGTTAAAGCGGGGCTGATTTGGAGGGCTGGGGATGGAGGAGGCGACCGCCCCTCTAAAACCCGTCCTCATTCAGGACACCACAGAGGGGGAGTGGTTGTGATTGACCATACGACTGTCGGGGGAGGAGTTTGGGCTGCTGCCGGACGAAGAGGGACTCCCCTTGTTTTTGATCTGAAGCCAGGTCTCGCCCAAGGCCTTGGCGAAGTGGTCATCCACTGACCCCGTGATGGACACCGAGTTGGTGGCGGTGGGCTCGGGCTCTTTGTAGTTCTTCCCGAGACTGCGGCGGAAATGCTCCTCGATGACGGGATCACAGGCTGTGTTGGCTGGAACAGACAGGAGAGGGGAAAGAGTTCAGTTCCCATAATGAAAAGAGAAACGTCTCGAGGACTCTCTTGTGTAACGGTCCGTGGGTATTTTACTGCCTAGCATTGGTTTAAACATCGGTAATGTGCATTTTAGGTCAGTGGAAAAACATCGACTCGACTTTGTCATTGCAGTTTTTTTTTGTATTAAATCACCGTTTTAAATTTCACAGCTAACCTCGATGAGATCATGGGGATTTTACTGGGATCATAAAAAAGGCCACAGCAAAGTTATCATCCCACAGAAAAACATGACAGACACTCTCAGACAGGAGGAATAAAACAGGCATCTGTTTGGCTGAGGCGCGGAGATCACAGATAAATCAGTAAATAAAACGCGCTTAAGCTCATTTTCTATTTATGTGGAAATAAAAGACAACTCAGAGACCCTGACTAATCTGGATTGTCCCAAATAAGGATCATATAATCAGGTTTTTCTCTGATGGTGTAAATGCAATTGAAGGAAGATTTTCAGAACTTTAAAGTAAATCAGTTCCCAAAATGATTTAACGTCTTTTAGGACTAATAAAAAGTTCCTGGCTTACAAAACCATGTTGACTTTAAATACTGCACTATCTCCTATAAACATAAGAAGTACATTTGAAAGATCCTGCTACAAGCTGAAGTAGAGAGAAATCCGATTGACTCACTGTTGATTCTCCTGTAGTTGTTGGTGAGACTTGAGCAGCCGTTGTGGGAAACTGGACAGTGAGACAGGTTGCAGTTGCGGTTGTTGGCTGGAGCGCAGGTAATCACCGAAGGACGATTCTGAAAGACACAAATTCAACCAAAGAGCTGTAACGCTGGAAAAACAGTCCCGCTAAGATGACAGACCAAAGAGGAGACTGGCGATGATTCAGTGACCACCAGAGTTGAAAAACATTTTTGGCTAACAAGTCAAATAGGAAATTTCTTCTCTCCACCAGCCAAGGAGCCCGGCTAATGGAAGCGCAGAAGTCCCAGAGTTGAGGTTTCCACCGGCGTTTTGAAATACATGAAGTCAGAATGTTCAAGAACCAAAGAAACAGGAAACGGATGTTACCTGCTGGCGCTCCACGGCGCTGACTGTGTGCGGCACCGTGCCCATCACTGCCGTGCTGCCGCGTGCCGACTCGACCACCATGCTGTTTTTAGTGAGCGCCAGAGGCTGGTCCATGCTGGCTAAGCTGGCCAGGTGGTGATGGTGGTGGTGGGCGTGGCTGTACAGGTGGTTGGCGTGGACTCCCAGAGCGCTGGGCACCACCACGCGCTCGATGGGGCTTCGGCTGCGGTCCTTGGAGAGGGGGGAGCTGCGGTAGTCGCCATTAGGTTTCCTGGGAAGCAGAAGGAAAGACACACTGAATATATTTATTTCTGGATCAGGGTTTGATATCATCTTACTGAGTCCAAATCTAGTGACAAGACTGAATGAAAATACTCATTATACTTAGGCATCTATTTTAGTGAAGCTTCCTAGAGTCCTATTAACGAAAAACTGAAGATACATGTAAAAAAAATAGGACAAAATGGTGACAGATGGAGTTCAAAAGCAGACAAAGATGCGGATCATGAAGCCTTTTAGTGGTGCAGATTAAAAAAAAAAAGGGGGCACACAAGGGGGAGACAGAATGAGACGAGGGAAAAAGAGGTAAACAGAGATAAACAGTAGGACTATTGTAAATGGGGTTCTGTGTCAAACACTGCAGCGACCAGCAGGAGCTATTAATACTGACCCACACTCTGTGAGCTCTCAGATTGCCAGAGGGTTTGATACGTCTATTTGGAACGAGCACAAACTCTCATCGCTTTTAAGTCAAGAAGAAAGAAAGAAAAAAGGAAAACTCAATTTCATTCAAGCACAGAGGGGGGACCGAGGCACTAAGTTTCAACTTATAAGTGGGTTTCATTAGCGCAGGAAATCAGCTTGATCTCCTGAGTAGTTGGAGTCAGCTGCACCCCGCAGAGCAAGTGTAGCACAGACATAATGAGGGGCAAGATTTTAGCAGTGTTCATTTTCAAACATTTTTTTACTTTCCACACTCACAGACCTGAGCAGGAGAACCACCTCAGCCCTCAGTCCTCTCCAAACTATGAGCTCACTCTAATCATCAAACAAGAAGAGATAAGGATAAGACCGTCGAGCAACGACAATCACATACGACACAGATTTTAGACTTTTTTTTTATTGCAGAGCTCATGATTATAAATGTTTGATATGTAATGACATGGTGCCTGATACTGTGTGCACTTGCTTGCAATTTAACAGGTAGCAATTATTTTTGCTCTGTACGTCAAATGTGGTCTGCGTTTCTGTGTGTGTGTGTGTGTGTGTCAGTGCGTGTTCACTCTACAGTGTATTACACCCTTCCTGCAGCTCCGTTCACCACCTACAATTTGAGGCCCCGTAACAGGGAGCAAGATCTACTGCACTCTCCACTATCTCATCCGTTTTCTCCCTCCAAAATGCAAACATGAATCCATTCAGAAATCAACACACACACACACACACACACACACACACACACACACACACACACACACACACACACACACACACACACACACAATGTAAAATACACTGTCAGGGTTTCTGCAGGTTTCAACAATTCAAATTTAAGACTTTTTTAAAACTATAATGGATAAAAATTAAGATATATTTTACATCCATACTGGCAAAAAAGTACAGAAGACATTAAGAGAAATCGGAACATTTTAAACTAACTTCAAATCTATCTTTATTTGTAAGTAACATCGATACATTCTTAAGGACCTTTGTATTAAGGAATTTGTATTCAAGACATTTTATGAAGTTTTAAGAGAATTTTAAGGCCTTAAATCTATAGTGCGTAACTTCTATTGCCCCCTAGAGGATTTCTGCGGTATCACAACAATACGACCTGCACCTCAATATGACGAATGGCCCGGCGTAACACATAATCAAAGTAACACTCATGACTCACCGCATACTGCTCATCATGGTACAAAGACGATAACTGTCTACGCAACATGTAGGCTACTAAGGTTACTCGTCACAGCACAGAGACTCCCCGCAGTAGGTTACATGCAGCAAAACAGGCTACACACCTTGTAACTTACTGCTACACAATGTGGCAAACGCCAGGCTGCTAACAATACATTACATTTATAGCACCAGATAAAACCGAGTAGAATGTGTCATCTCCTATGTGCCAGCGTGGGTGTTACGAATATATGTGTTATTATTTACTATTATCATCTTCAGTTTTGTGAGGATTGTTTTATCTTTGTGGTAGCGCTGACCAAAGTTTCGTTATCAAAGTACTTGATTTATAGCATATTCTTGCCATTCTCTTTTTATTTCCACCCTTTACCTGTTTTTTCAATTACTATTTCTGTTAGTCCTGAGTACCCCTAACCTATCAGGACGTAACAGTGGGAATGTCGCCCCTCAACACCAAATACAAAAAGAGCAAATAATGAAAAATACCACAAGGTGTTCGAGAAACAGAATGGTTTAATTGGCATTGTATCATCTCTTCTTGTAGTGGCTTGGGTGAAACGGATATTTACAGACACGTAGAAGTTACCCACTATAGCTTTAAATTCAAATGATTGGATTTTAGATGTTTTGAGACGTTTAAAGACCCAGCAGAAACCATGACTATGCAAGCAATCTTAACAGGAAAGCAAGCTGCACTTAGTCGACTGTTGGCAGAGTACATTAAATTCCCTCTTTTTCATTCTACACTGGTTCCTGTGTGGAGGCATTTTCTCCCCCATGTGAAAAAGTCCGAGGGAAGAATTAGAATGAAAATACACAACAGGCCCGAGAGTGAAAAAGCTGCAGCAGTCCTTTAAAGGTTTGTTTGAATGCACAACAACAAGTTCAGGCAAACAGTTGTAGATCCATGTGACCAGGCAACCTGACTGCTGGGTCAAGCATCTGGAGCCCACAGCACCGTCCTGCACAAATAAACAGTGTCTACAGAATACAGAAGGGGGGAGAGAGGAAGAGCCGAGGAGAGGTGGGGAAGGAGAGGGGGGTCTGGATGTGAATGGTCCAGACCTCTACTATGAGAAAGAGTAAGGTCGCTGGTTTCCTTCGTTTGTGCCGAGAGCTTACATTAGCAGGGGACCCCCCTTCTTTTTCTTTTTTTCCCCTCTCTTTGTCTTTCTTTCTCTCTTTCCCCCCCTTACAATCAGCAGCAAACTTCCTGAGGGTCGAGGAGGGAGAGACTTGGCAGCGCTTTTAGAAAACCTAGCCGACAGCTCACTGACAAGCTTCGGTGTTTACCCTTCTGTTTTTCAGCTCCATTCTTCATCAAATATAATAACCTAACTACATTTTAGATTATTCTCCAAAACTCTGATCATAATAATCCCAGAAGTGCTCAAAAGTTCATGTATTGTTTCAAAAATTCCTGTAGGCAAAGTTGACTTTTAATCAAACTCTACCAACTAAAGCCTTCCTGTATAACGTTGTTATCTTCAAATATCAACAATCCCTTAATTAGCTGAGAGGCAAACAGATAAAACAGCTCTGTCTCCCCCTCTCGCTCCCTGTCCCAGCAGCTGGGTCTTGAGTTGGGTTGTGGAAGTTGTTCCAAACTTTAATCATTGCCAAAGGGCAGGCATGCCCACATCCTCACACAAGAGGGGCCGTCGCAGGAGCCAGTGAACGGGATCAACAAACCCGACCAATGAATAGCGTAGCTGTTGAATTCACCGCCGCCCCCGCCTTCCCCTCGCCTGATTGCCCACCAAACCCCGGACCACATTTCATGCCAGGGATCAGGCATTGAAAACCCAACCCTGTGTCTTTGTCTCTCTCTTACTCACCTCTCAATTATTGTTGGGGTCACAGCTGGGGAGAGAGGGAGAGGATGCAAAGGGCGGACGGTGAGGGCTACACATGAGTCGAGGGCATGGGGAGGGATAACAAGGACTAGAGCTGAAGAGAGAGGGTTGCCAGGTCTGAGGCTAGAGGAGAAGATGAGAGCTAAAAGTGGGAGAGGAAAGGGGAGGGAGAGGGAGACAGCCATTGAAAGCAGAGAACTCCTGGCACTCACAGGGGGTAATGGGGGACAAACTGAATTGGAGGCAAAAAAGGAGTGGACTGTGCTAAAAAGACAGTGGAAGAGGTTGGGGACGCAGCTTAATCTTATTTCACAATAAATGTTCACTGGGTTACTAATCACTCTTGGACCAGGCTTCAGTGTGGAGTAAACAGCACACAGCAGAGCAGAGGTTCACACTGAAGAGGGGTTTGACAGAGAAGAGCTAATAACGCACGGACGACTGCGGTGGCTGCTGATTAAAAAACAGAGGCCTGCTGACCGTGATGCTATTTCACACCGGCTGGCTTCTTACCAACTGTGGCTTTAACAAGTTTGATGAATCAGGTAGACTAACACTCCTGATAAGGCCTAAACTAAATAAACAGCAGAGAGTGAATGAACCCTAGTCTGACCGTGACAATGAGCACTGCGCAACAAAGGGAATGTATATAGTTTTAAAAGTTTCCTTATAGGGACAGAGACAGATATCAAATAATCAGAACTTTCTGTTGTCTGCACTCACAAGGTCCCTTAAAATAATAGTAAAAAATAATATAATAGTCTTCCTGATGTCAAGTAATGTTGTCCCTGTAAATGACAGCGTATGACATCTAAAAGTGAATTGTTATGATGTAAATAATGATGCAGTTTATTTCCAAGACATGGTTGATCTTGATGTGTTATTGTGCTGCGTTCGAGTGACCTCGGAAGTCAGAAGTCCACACTGAAAAGGACGTCACACCCGAGTTTCCAACGTTTCAGTTACCAAGTCGTAAAAAAGCAAAATCGGAGGTGGAAACAAGATGGCTACATCTACGAAGGTTATTTTAGCACTTGCCTTGTCCAAATATAAGGTAAGCGCTAAAATAACTTTCATAGATGTATCCATCTTGTTTCAGGCCTCCGATTTTGCTTTTTTCTGACTTGGTAACTAAAACGTTGGGAACTCTGGTGTGACGTCATTTTCAGCTCTGATATCTGACTTCCGAGGTCACTCGAACGCAGCACAATAACACATCAAGATCAGCCATGTTCTGGAAATCTACATCAAAGCCTGATGTATTTTTCTTTTTTTGTGATTTCATTTAAAATCCATCTAAAACATTTTTGGCTGAGATCAACATGAATATTAGACTTTAGTGTCCTAAGAGTGTCCATGACTTCAAAGTCTGTAAAATTTGAAATCTGGCAATTAATCTAATTAATCAGAGGCTTTGTAATTAATTAATCACAATTAATCACATATAAATATTTGACCTGAGAACAGTGAGAATCATTTTTTTTAAATGGTAGAGGAGTAAATCAATAATAGCAAACTGAATGAATACATAAACTTAAGCAAACAACAACCAAAAGTTTGTTTAAAAATATCAATCATGTCAAGCTAAACTGACATGCATGGAAGAACAACTTTGTGTAGCACTTCTATGTTGTATGCTATCACAGGTACAAAGACCGTGACACACTATCTCAGGATCCTTTTTTTTTCTTCCTTTTCTTGACTTGTTTTGAAACCAAGAACCATGTGACTGACATCCTGAGCGGACAGCTTGACACAGTAAAATAGGGCGCAGATATTTATTTGATTGTATCCTGCAAGATTCCGGCTTATGCACAGCCTGGTATTAGTGGTAACCTCGGTGGTTGAGCTCCCATTGAATGATCCCTTAATTTAAAACCCAGGAAGTCCAACCCATGATACATAAATGATACAGTCATGTATCTTGAACCCTATTACAATACTGGGATCTGTCATTAAGTACAGGCTTTTAAGTAACCATTCACATGACACCCTATCTTGAAGTTAACCTCAAGTTTAAGATCACATCTACAGCTGTTGGAATGATTAAAAGAGAGAAAATAGAAGTTGCGGGAACAGATTTCTATAAAATTGTTTAACTTATTTGTTCCTGCCTGCTTCATAAGCAGCTTTGCATCAGCTGAGTCGTCTATCTGGCACAGCAGAGTAAAATAAATCTGAACAATCTGATCAAGGACTCTAAAAATATGCTAAGTTTTCAATAGGGTGCCAAGTTTAGCTCTATATTAGACGGCCAATTCGATGAGTCTATTCAACTTTGAAGCGAAGAGACAGTCAGAGCTATAAAGGGCTGCTCCCTATTCTCAAAATTGTGCTTCTAAGCCTTCAGAGAAAACCTCACTACAAATCTTTGGTCGGGAAGGGGTTCATATCCTACTTCTTTGAGAAATAAATAAAGACCTAGAGGAGAAGAAGAGAAAAGAGAGAGAGACAGAGAGAGAGAGAGAGAGATACACACAGGAAACATCTGGGAAGAATCAGGGGGTAGAGAGGAGAAGATGACAAAAAAGAAAAAAGGCAGAGGAGGATGAAGGCTCGACCACAGGTTACAACCAGGCCCGGGTCTGCGAGGTCTGCAGAAAGCCACAAAATATATATTTACACAAACACACACACTCTCACACACACACAGACATACTCACACAGTGCGTAGCCTACCCAGGCTATGTATATAGAGTACACAAACATCCCCACACAGTTTGCTCTGCTCAGTCAAAGTTTGAGTAGCTGGACCATACGGAAGTTAGCAACAATATTTGCACCCTTTAAATAAGAACAGTCAAAACCAGGAGGAAACACACCACCACAGATGTCACTCACACAGAGTCGTTTTTGAATATATCAAGTATTCGTCTTTATCTTCAAACACTTGACAGAAGATGAACCAAATTTTGCAAAATCCAGTTCAATGCTTCACATCTAAACCAGGCAAAAAAATTTTCCAAACAGCTCTTGGCACAGCCCGCCTATCAAATTTTCACTCCTGTGGTAGAAATCCTGACACAAATCAAGCACACATTACACAGCTAACTGACTGCAAGGAGGAGGACTTGGAGAAAATCTTGTTATCAAAGCTGGGACCGATCGGATATGGGAACAACCACAACAAGAAGGCAAAGAAAACAACATGTGAACACACAAACACACAATGAGAAAGAAGAAAAAAAACACTCCCACATACTCTCCCTCCTTTCCCCACATGCTCACACACACACTATATAAATAGGCCTATGTAAAACAAGAGGGTAACAATGACTTCAGCAGGCCTGGCCACGTTCTCACACACACACACACAGACTCCTCTTGCTCTTATTTTCTTCCCATTTGGCCCATGAAGAAACTTCCATGAGAACAACTTAGTGTTGAAGTTCCCAGTAGAAAGCAGCTGCACTGTCTGTGTTCTCCTGTACTTACTGTATCAAACTGACTGGACTGGATTTGACTTTTAGCTCCTGTTTCTTCAGAATCACAACAGCAGGAATATGAAATATAGATTATGTACTGTTATGAAAAGCATGTAGCTGGATTTAAAACCTCTGAGTGACTCTGCATCAGTTCAGAAAGTTGAAGAAAACATGAAATAGGACCGTGACATTGTTGAGTAAATTCCTTGTTTTGATATACAGCCTCTCATGGAAGCCAAAGCTGAGACAGGGGTTGCAAATAAGCCATGGCTAAAAAACCTGTATGTATGACATACTTTGTACACCCTATAAAGTTATCTCTGCATTAGTCCTTGTCAAATAAACAAGTAATTAGACTATCAACAACCCTGTAGAGTCACATGTGGCCCCCGCTGGTGCAAAAGATAAATCAGCAGTGGTTGTCTTTGTGGCTTGTTCTTATGACTTATTCTTAAGCAAGGGATGAAACAGCTGAGCAAGAAGACTTTTTTATTCTGGCAGGTCTACAACTGCAGAGTGGCGGGCAGGCGGGCAGGCAGCAACAAGCTTCCAGCCCGCAGGCTCCAGCAGACAGGATAAGGCTTCTTTGTTCGAGACTCCTCCTACTCCTCAGAGAAAATGAGAAAGTAGCCCCTGCAGCCTGACAAGGAGCCCACTCAGCATGCACATACACACACACACACACACACACACACACACACACACACACACACACACACACACACACACACACACACACACACACACACACACACACACACAAACAGATGATCACTGATGGGAAAGCACACATGCATGTACGGTCAGTACACACGACCCTTCTGCATACCTGCACAGACACATGCAGACTCAGAATTTGAAGCCCCAGTAGGATACACCCTGGTATGATACTGGCTTTTGACTTTTGACTTCTAATTTTTCATGTTGTTATTGTCCCAGATTTGAAAAAAAAAGCTTGCCTTGGTTCAGAAAGTTCTCTCTCTCTCACCCTGCCTGAGCCTCCCCCCTGACTCGAGCTTGCTGTGATTGGATAACATTGGAAACCTGAGCTTCCTCCTTCATAACCCCACCTTCAGTCTGAGGTGTCAGGTGTCTGTCTGTATCAACACTCTCTGAAAACATGACTGAACTTACAAAGGAACAAAAAAAACCACTTTATCTGGAAGCTGATGTAGTCAGAAGCACACAGGAAAACTCTCTTTCAAGCGGAGAGGAAGAAGATCCCCTACATGAGATCGAGCACAAACACTTCTAAACATGCAGGAACAGTTAAGCAGAGCAATCAGTGCAGACGAAAAAAAATAAAAAAGCTGCACATACAGAGGCAGCCAGCACATCCAAATGCTAGAACGGTGTCAGATAACCATCTCTGGACACACGGACTGTGAGGGCATGTGTTTGTGTGAGTAAAACGGGGGGGTTCAGGGGTTCATTTTCTGCTTTTCAAACAAGCTTTTCCCCAAAAAAGCTAAATCCATCGTTTTTAAATTAAACCTAATCACTGCTCCTAATCTGCTCCTATAATTGACAGATGGTTCAAATGAAGCAGAAAAGCTCTCCTGTTGAATAGAGACGAGTTTGCCTAACAATATCTCACAGTGTTTTCTCTTGAGCCTGTTTTCACTCTCTATTTTTAACTTTTTTTTTCTGCAAAGACAACCAATAATTCTCCACTTTAGTGTAATCGCCGTGCTTTTGGACAAGCATGACAGTTCAAACACGGAGGAAAACTTTGAGAGGCTGCCTCGGACTGCGTGTTTCAACATGTCACTCAGCAGTTACCTTTGCCAGAGAAAGAGTACCCTCAGAGGAAAAACCTCAAACGAAATGACTGAAAATGAGACATTTAGGATGGCCCAGAGGACAATTAGGGTTTCAGAAGACAAAAATAAGCCCTGTGTCTAAATTCAAGTTGTAGCATGTTAATTTGCAATTGACTTTTCCAGGGTAGAGATTAACCTGAGCCAAATTACTTAAGGGTCATAACTGAAATGAAGATTAAATAAAGGGATTACGGCTTATCACGGGGTACCTCTAGGAAGTGACTATGGTACAATGAACGATTTGAAGTCTTTAACATCAGAGGCTTTTTAGATGTGTTTATTTTTTATGAAACCCCTTTTTAAATGAACAAAAGGCTGCATTTAGAAGCCGTGGAAAAAGTTGCAACACCAGCGGAAAGTTGATATCACAATAAGACTCATTGTGCTGCAGCAGTCGGACTAACAAAACCCTCAAATCATGATATACGAGTAGGAGAAGTTGCCTATCAGTGTACGCAGACGTTAACCACAATGTGCATCAAGAATACCCCACAAAGAGAAAGAAACAACTGAGGCGACAAAAAATACAACACCGTGTGGGCTGCCGGATTTACCGCCGTGCTTGATGTTAATTCTCCCACCACTGACACATCCATAACGGAAAGCGAGATGACTCTGCACAAATGTCAAGACACACAAGCTAATCCTTTGTTATGTGAGCCCAGGCGGTCACAAGATGAAGGAACAAAGACCCTCCCCCCTAAAGCCACGAGAACAACTTGATTCAAAAGTCAAGGATTTGTACCTGTAACACAAGCCCTGCGCTGTCATGTCATGGGCTCATGAATACATCCAACCTTTTCAGTTACTGTAGTTATTGGTAAGCAAGACAGGGAAAATCTTTCAATGCATTCATTTTTTTTGAGTGTTAATGAAAGTTTTGTTTTGTCTTGTCAGGGTCAAACTCCATTAGTGTGATATTTGCCTCCAAGGGTGTCCCGAAGCAACTTTTTTACTTCCGATACGCTACCTGACTCAGTGAGCTGACTGTGTATGAAATGTATGAGTTTGGCACTACTGTGATGTTTCTCTGGGAAACCTAATATTCATCTGAGCTGATACCAATCAACAGCACTTTATAGACACATTTCACCAACTCGTCAGGAGTGTAGGTGGAGCAATATGATCTTTTTGCAATTTGTTCTAAATATGGAAGAAGCACCTTTTAGTAAATCCAACTCAAACACTTTCTGACCAGTTTGTCACTTTTTAACACAAAGTAAAACTGACAACAACCTAAATTAGGAGTGTCTCGATACAACTTTTTTGTACTTCCGATATGATACCGATATTGTAGCCTTCAGTATTAATCTGATACTGGCACAAACTTGTGCATGACAAGTTTTGCACTCAGCTGCAATGTCTTTTTCTGTCTAGGACGGACTGCTTGTATCAGATATAATCCGATAGGCCGATATAATCCAATGTTAGTTTTTTGGCTGATATCAGACTGATATCCGATATCAATATCATATCAGGACAGCCCTATTTGCATTAGGGCTGAAACGATTCCTCGAATACCTCGAGTACCTCGTTAACAAATAATGATCGAGGAATAATGATCGAGGGGCATGATGAAAGTTAATATAATAATTAGCTGTCTTATGAGCATTGCAATCCGCTAACGCACGCGCTTGTTCCGCGATTGTCCTCTATTTCTCAGAGTCTGGCCTTCATTGCGGGGCTATAAGAAATCTAACTCTATGTGAGTCTGCCGTTTGGGTCCAATTACTCGAGTAATCGATAGAATATTTGGTAGAATACTCGATTACTAAAATATTCGACAGCTGCAGCTCTAATTTCCATCTACTGCATCTTAAAGCATTTTCATATCTATAAATACGAGCTGACTGGAGATGCAAACTATCGACGGTCGCCTTAACAATATGTCATGTATGTTCATCCCGACATGCATCTGGTGTTTACACATGCTGTAGCACATAACACTGTCAGTAAACGTGCTCTTCTCTTAATCCACAGCGACCAGTAAACCGAGTGTTTTATTGTATCATCTCACAGCCATGATGACTGACAACACATGCTGCTGTGAAGACATAAAAACAACAGCTCTCATTAATTTATAGTATTTCTATTTTCAGCAACACCGATGTCTGCTGAGAATTAGCATGCATGCAGAACTGCGCAGATCTACCTAACACCTCCTTGGCTGTCTCTGCAATAAATAGCAATGGCTGGAGTCCCATGACTGACTCAGTAAAACCAAGACGGGGGTGGGGGGCTGGAGGTTCCGACTCCACTTCCACCGGCCCTAGCATACCTTCCCGCCAATCAGCGCTCCAGAATCTCTGGAATCTCAGTAAGTGGGAATGTGGAGACTTTAGAGATGTGAGTAATCTTTCTGTTGTGCGGTCCCTGTTTCCAGGCTTCCAGAGTTCTGGAGCTATAAGGAGAACAAGAGTGGAGCCGGCTCAAGCTGGTGAAGCACCCTGGAGTCCAAAGTGGGACTTCTGAGAAGGCAATGTTCTGCAGGAAGCTGTGCTCTGACAGGCCAACAGAAAAACACTCATTCAAGACGGATTAAGGTGGCTTCTGAGGGTGCAAAAAAGTGTGTTTATTTGGAAGAGCGAATGACAGAAGAGAGATAAGTGCAAATGATAGAAAATTAGAGATATTTTACCAGCAGCTCAGGAAATGAGCATGTACAAAACAACCCTCGTTTCTTTTTCTGGTTTTTCCAAGAAATTCTGTAAGCGCCTGTTCACTCATTCAACAGAAATGACTTTCTTCGTGTGTGTGTGTGTGTGTGTACTCACAACTGTGCAGCAAACAGCCGGCTCATCTTCGCCACGTGTTCGTTGTCATCCATGTCGCTGTCCCCCTGGTCCCCGCTCAGCTTCCTCTTGGTGGGGCTGATGGGAGGAGGACCCGTCCTGTGGCTGCAAATGGAGGAGGATGATGAAGAGGATGACGACGAGGAGGAGGATGAGGAAGAGGAGGACGAGGACAGGGACAGGGACTGGAGCCTTGGGTCGCCCCTCAAAGCTGCTTCACCTGAGGAAAAAAAACAGAAGGGGAGATATAAGATGAAGCAGGAATAAAACTCCACCTCTACATGAGAGCTGAAAGGGAAAGAGATGATCACATGAAGAAAGAACATGTTATTGTAGCGTGTGAATATACTCCCAACTCACGTGTGCAAACTTTCAGCAAGGAGCTTTGCCACGGATGTAAATGATGGTAATTACTCAAAATGATGTTATATTTAAGTAGAGGGTGACGGCTTTATTGCCACTTTTAACAAGTTGACCACAAAAACTGCTTCATGACAGTGTGACTGTACGGGCTGTACTCCAGCTCCGCTCAAACTTTGGATTTTGTTGACTTATACAGTTTGCTGAGTGAGGCACAAACCTCTGGCATAAGCAGAGGAGTATCTGGTTAGGAATGTTTTGGAAGAAATAGTTGCGGATGGGTTCTGCATATGTGTATGCGTGTGGTGTGAATTATTTTCTCTTTGGATGTCGGACTCTCTGTGCTTTCCTCCAGTTTGTCCTGGTACAGAAGGCCTTCAGAGCCGTCAGTGAGTGGGAGTAAGAGAAAGAGAGAATCAGGAAAACTACCGCTGGCTCGGCCTCAGCACTGGGACTTTCCACTGCTTCGCCGGCCTCGTGTAGTAGTCTGACTTCTCCCAAACAAGACACGAAGGCTAAGGCTAGAACTCATGTAGTTTTCTTCAAAACGGCTCCTAAATTTTGAGAAAGAAGGTCACTTACTAAAACTTTAACTTGCAATGTAACACCCAACTTTTGCCCTCAGCCTCAGCAATTTGTTTTATGCATTTCAAACATGCAGTTGTTTATTTTGGAGCTGCTTCATCTGCAATGCTTCCATGAATAAATAAGATACTAACCTTTTAAATACGCAGTCAACTATACAGGGACAAAACTGAAATGAATGCAGTTTATATCCAGGGCTACTTTTACATTAAACTTTAACTGGACTTGAAACTAGGGCTGGACGATAAACCGAATATTTACCGAAATTTACGACAAAAACCATCATTTTGCCCATGTCAATATATTCGGTGTCAAAAGATAAAGAAATAAAAGTTGGTTTTGGATGTGTGTAGGTAGACTACGGTCTCATGTCCCTTTAAGATGCTGTCCTACATCGGAGACATGACTCCACCCCATCCAGTCCGTAACAAAGAGGGAAAGGCAGGTGAGGAGATGGAGGACGGTTCAAAAGTTGTAGCGGCTGAAGTAGACAAAGTTAATATGGGAGGGGGTGAGCAGCTTGTGGAGTAGTTATCATCCATTTATCGTTATCGAGGTGAACTGCTCAATATATCGTGATATTGATTTGAGGCCATGTCGCCCAGCCCTACTTAAAACTATATTAGTCGTATGTCAGAGGCGTGTTTATTTCCTGTCTGCAGGGAGCATGTTTCTAAAAACAACAGTGGAAAAAGAGTGGACATTGTTTCCTTCACAAAGAAGTCATGTCGACTTTTTAATTCACAACAATAAATCGGGGGTGAAAACCAGTTTAAACCGAAAATAATGATATCACTAAGTCATTGAGAAGACTTGAGCTCTCACACACGCTCATACACGCTCTGAAAAGGCTTTGTGGAGTTGTAAATAGTGCGTTCTGTTCCTCTATCTATGTGTAGTTTTAGCATGGCCTCCCAAACACAGCAGCAGCTCCCCTCCCCTTGCACTCTCTCTCCCTCTCTGGCATGTTCCTGCTCGCCCCACTGTGTACCATGGCAACAAGGAGGGTGACATCATTGTTTTTGGCAGGACGGAGCGATGGCAATAAAAGAAGGGAGACTGTGACACCACGCTGACCAATCAGGATCCAGGACGCATAATAGCTTATCAGAGGTTCAGAAGTGAAGCGCTCAATAAGGGGTGAATCTGTGAGTGTTTCCTTGCACACAAATAAGACATTCAGCCGAACAGAGACGGACACTGTTGACTTATCTGCTTGTGAACAGTGACACTGGGCAACATTACGCTCTGGTCGCAAGGGACGCCAAATTGAAACACAAGCAACACTTAAATGAACACATCCATGAAAGTGATGATGTTACGAGACACTACGATTCCTGAGACGCTGTATTTTCAACAAAAGCGAAACCCTAGCTAGGCCTAAAATCACAAACTAATCAATATTTAGCATCCCCCTTCCACCCTGACAGACTATGAACAGTTAAATGAATAAATTAGTGTTTCTGAACATGTTAACAACCTGCTAAATGACTGAAGAAAAAAAGGCTGATTTAGCACGAACTCTAACGAAAGGAGTAAGACAACCCCTGAGAAGGAAACAGAAAATAAGTTCTAGCTTATGTCTTGCAAACATTGACTGTTTTGGTAAAATATTCATTTGGTTCCACACATAAAGAATAAAGCAATATAACAAGATGCTGCCCTTTCCATCAACCGAGAAACAATCAGTAGAAGTGGGGCTGATGCACAAAAGTCAACCTCCTCTCTACCTTTTTCCTCTCTCTGCTCTCTCAGTTCATTAGGTCCACATGATCAAAGCCTATTTCTCTTGACAGAACTTCAAACAGCTTGGAAATCTGGATGAGATTGGATTACAAACAGAGGTGAGCCTTTCTATCTCTTCATTTCCATTTCCAGCTCCCCCTCCTTCTTCCCTCTCCACCCCATATACTTAAAAAAGATGAGTCCAGGCATGTCTTCTCTTCTTCTCTAAGCAGAGCGGCAAAGTGATTATTTCTGGCTAAGTTTCTCAGTAACCTGAACGTGCCTAACCAGGTTGCCTTTATTTTGAAGTCCTCTGAGGTTTTTAGATTTTGAATATTTAAAAAGGACGACAAAGTTCATGCCAGTGAAAGCTGAACTTTCACACCGGATCTTAGATTAGTTTGATCTCTGGTGGAGAAATAAAGGAAGGGCAAACAAGGCAGGCAGTCAAAGAGAGAAAGTTTGACAAAAGTACAGGCTTTGAGAAGGTTTTCAGCACTGTTTATTTTCATCTGCTCAGCAGCAAAAAGGGGACTGTCAGCATTCCCATGCACCCAACGCTGCCAGGACTACAACTGATAGCAGCTTTACAGAGAGAGAGAGAGAAAAGGGAGAGCTGGACAGAGAGGCTGACACACACAGATAGAGAGAGAGGGAGAAGGGAAATCAATCACACATAATGCTGAACACAATCATTCCCCTAAAAAATCATCAACAGCTCACTTGTTCACTGTTGGAGAAGTAATAGGAATCTGCACTTTATAGAAATTAAAACCCACAGTTAACAAATAATGCTGCATATGTCAACATTACTGCTCTTCTGGTTCCCCAATCAATAGACCATCATAAAAATCCAATTAAGGTTGATAGATTCATTCAAAGTCATAACATATATGAGTTAGGGCTGGGCGATTAAATGATAATGATACTGAAAATTAATTTCCCTCAATATCAATATAAAACATGGTCAATATGCTTTTCAGTAGTCAGCATTCGGCCATAACCAATGAAAAGGAGTTGCTCCGGGTTCGCTTCGTGCTGAACCAATCATGTGCTGAGTTAGAACCAAGTAGCAAACAACTACATAGTCGCAGGCTGCAGCTACACGCAACCATAGCACTATAACACGTGAAGCCGACACCAAAAAGCACTGTTAAAATTCATTTATATATCGTGATATATATCGATATCTACTGATATGAAAAAAATATATATCGTAATAAACTTTTTCCCATATCTCCCAGCCCTAGCATGAGTATACATGATCTACAGGAGGTGCCACTTCTGCTCTGGCCAAAAAAATAAATAAAATATGACCTTGACAACCCTGTGAGAACTTCAGAATAGCACTAAAACTCCAGGGACAGAGCACCAGTCCATAAACATCTACGGGTGCATGTCTCTTGGAATGTTTGTGTGAGTATTTGCACTCATACACACAACAAATCAGCACTCCTGTAACAGCTCACCACTCCTCCAACACCTTATTGACCCGACATGTTTGAACATGAAGGCTCTTCTTTATCTCTTTTTTTTATTGATTAGCTTCCTCTGTGGGATTATAGCTCAGTCAGCTAAAAAAACAAAAAGCACACACACAAAATAACAGGAAACAAATAGATGGGATGATCTTATTTTTGTACGCTTCCAAAGATAGAGAGAAAATAAAGTGTAAAAACACCACTAAAAACTTGTTCCTTCCCTTTTTTACTCCTGTAATTTGCTTGACTGAGAAAGACAAGGTGAAATCTGAGACAGACAGAGCTTTGCTGTGACACAGGAAACCCTCTAATTGGCTTCAATCCCAGCCCAGTGGCAGTGTTTTTATCAGCAACACCATCGCTCAACTGGAGGGTGAGCTTTACTGTCTCTAAGATTTCACAAACATGGCATGTGCAACCAAAATGAGGAGCAAGACTTGAATGGCTGCATGCCTACAAGTAAGACTGTGATCTGAAGACAGTCCAACAAGCTTAACATCAACAAAACAGTTTTTTTCAAAGGCTTAGGTTCAACTTTTATTGACATAATCAAGCAGTTGGCCACCTGTTGAGCCTACTCTCTGGCTCTTCATGCAAATCTGGTTTTCAGTCAGTCTTGATAGGAGTGTTACTACTGCAGAAGATGGGGAAAAGAATCTCTCTCTCAAAACTTTACGTCAACCAAAACACTAATACTAACTTTAACCACTTTTTGCTTCCTATATGGAAAACTCTTACTTTGAGATATTACCCATATCTGCAGCCCTGTGTGAGTGAGTATATTCTGAATGTTGAAATCAGGGGCAAAGGGACAGAGGAAGGAACTTGTATTTAGCCCCCAGAAAGGTTGGATGATATTACACTCTCTGACATACGAGCTGGAACTGCAGAGGGAGCAGAGGACTGCACAGGAGTTACACTACTCTAAAGTCAGTCGCCTTGCTAAAGCTTGGCAGCTCTTGTGTGTCCATGACATAACGTGAAATTCTAGGCTGCTCGAGCTAGAAATAACTTGTAGTCCGGACTGCAAAGAGATGAGAAGAGAACCAGAACCAGAACAAAAAGACAGGTTTAGAAATGGAAATTCAAAAGGTAGATATGCACCTACCAACCATGACATTATGAACACCTGGGTAAACTGATGCAACCCCAATAAAACAAGACATGGTCAGACAGGTGGTAATTGTTATTTTGCTTAATTGGTGAAGTTGCAGGGGTTGTTGGTGGGGTAAAACACACTCTTGTCCTCCACCACCAATCATCTGATGAGTACAACCATCAACCTATCAGATCATATCAACCAAAACTCAAAATCCAAAAGCAGAATTTGTTGCAGATCAGTTGTATTGGAATGCATTAGACTGCCCAGATGTTCATGTTATAGCTGGTCAGAGTAAAAGCACAAGCATAAAACAGATATTGATCTAATGACTAATGGATGATATGAAGGCATAAGGGTGTGTGTAGTAAGAGACTGAGTCAGTCACAGAAATCTACACATGGCTTAATGCACTGTTATTCAGCCTGTAATCTCTAAAGTCATTAGCCATGTTACCTTTTAGAAGAACGGTCAGTGGCACAAAAATGATAAGAAACACACTTTTACTTTATTAAACTATGGGTGAGTAATGTTCATCTACCTGCTTTAAGGTGGAAAAGGAGTTGGATAAACGTTGGCTTTAAAGTATGAAAAATGTTTCATCAGTTTCACCAAATACTCGTCGAAAGAGTGTAATTCAAAAGACTTGAATAAACATGTATTAAATCTTTCACATTTTCCTTCAAAGTTTGCTTAAACTAAGAGTTTCCCTCCGTGTGAAAACTTCCACAGCGTCGCTAACGTTAACTACCAGCGTAACGTCAACGGTCGCGTCCAACTTTTGACAAAAACAACCCCGAAAACAGCCCCGAAACTTTCACTTTACCTTCGTAGCAGAGGATGCCGATGTTGTTGTTCATTTTGTCCAGGTACTGGTAGTTCAACAGGTCCATTTTCGTTAGAAGCATTTATCGAGTTGTTAGCACAAAAAAGACCAGCTTTTTTTCTCCTTCTTCTTCTTCTCTTCTCAAGCGACGGTCAGAAAGCTAAAGGCCCAGCCTCCAACTTTAGTTTGGAAGAAAAAAAACCCTCTATGTGATATAAAAGACAGAAAGTAGATTCCACTAGGTTTTCAATAAGTTTGGATTACTTTCTCGTAATACGGGTGAATGTATCGCGGTGATATAGAGCAAAAAAAAAGAGAGTAGCGTCAGTTCTCCTCACAGCCAGCTGTAAGTCGACTGCACTGACACGCAGGCTATGCTTGGTATGACTTCTATGCTGCACCAGTGGTTTCCTCTGCTGCTGAGAGGGGCGCACTGGGCATGCTCGCTAAATCCCTGGAGCGCCTCAAATATCGGGGATGTTTTACGCACAAGATCAGCCTCTCCAAACACAACCAAGAGAGAGAGAGAGAGAGAGAGAGAGAGAGACCAAAGGCGCTGCATTAACTCTGTGTTAAACGTTAAAAGTATCTCAAGCACTAATACAGCAGTCTGGCCTTAATAACTATAATGTATAAATGGTAAATAGATAGTTTATTCATGTTTAACCATTATTTAAAAAACAGCATATAGACCAAATAGTTTATTGGAAGTTAATAGTTACTTTACCATAAACAAGCGATAAAATTATGATTAATAATATTCATTGAATATTAATGGACTATTTATTAAAGGTTTATATAGGGTTTAAATGTTGGTTGTAAAACATTTAGATTGAAATGTGTGTCAGTAGCACTTTGTAAAGTACTTAAATGGTTATTGTAAAGTTGCAACTGATGTTTGTAATACTTTGTAAATGATTAATAAGTGGTTTATAAACCACCTATAAACATTAGTTAGATGGTTGTTGTAAAGTTAGGGTTAAGGTTTTTCAAATTGTAAAATTTACAATTTATTAATGGTATATATGCCATCTATAAATGATGATTGAACATTGATAAACTACGTATTTACCATTTATAAATGGTCTATTTACCATGTATAAGTTATGGTTATTGTAAAGTGTTACCAAATTTTTTTTACATCCCATATATCTTTAAGAAGTTACAACTGCAGAGCTTTAAAGCTACTATTAAAGCAAATAATGGTTACAGCTATATCATCAAAGGTCACCTCACGCATGGGAATAATATTACATTAAAGGTGTTTATTTCCACTCTTAATTGTTAAGGGAAAAATAGGAATTTTCTGATTCTATTCCTATACTAAACTATTTTTTCAGGCTCCATACTCCTGCAAATCAGGATACACGCTTTGCTCTATAATGACACCTTATGAAAAAATATATATATACAATGCAACCTTTTCACTTTGCATTAAAAAAAAACATGCAAGTTGCCTTCAGTGGCTATACAAGTGGAGGGAAAACAGTCTCCACTGTGATTGTATGGGAGCACAAAGTGAAAAGATATTTTACAATGGTTCTCTACTGCCCCCTGGTGTTCAAAAGTATGGAATCAGATTTGTGTCAAAAATAATCAAATATAAAAGTTTTGTTTACAGTATCCTCTGTTTCTTTCTCGTAGACCAGATTTTTTGTGTTGTCAGCGGAGGTGATATGAACCCTATATCACCTGTTTTTCTGTCTGCTGAAATATGCATCCACCTGTTATTCAGCTTCAGTTTTACTTTTGAGATGACTATTTTTTGCTTCAGTGAGTTTTATTCTCTCTCAAATTCTTATTTTTGTTTTGATGTTGACGAAGTTTTATTTGATTATTTTTGACACAAAAGAGGCTACACAGATTCTCCAGGAACAAGCATGGAAGAAAGCAGAGAGAGTGAGATGAAAAGAAGAAAATGAGTATCATCATCATCATCACCATCATGGATGAATAGCATGTGAATATGACTGTCATCACATTACATGGTAAAAGAGAGCAGTTTCCTTCTGGGTATTTGCCCGAGAATAATGAGCAGGGTGTGGCCGCACTTTTCAGTGTGGGTTTACACACAGGCACACATTTGCCATGTGCGGGCTTTTGTGTGACACATACCCACAAATACACGGGAAAGGAAATGAAAGGAGTCATGAAAAGCTCAGACAAGATACATGCAGTGTCACTATAACCTCATTAAAAAAGACGCCCATTTATACAAAAAGGAAGTATAAAAAAAACATAGATGTGAGTCACAAAGGGAAAAAAAATGATGGAGGAAAACAAGAACGAAAGTCGAGTGGATAAGTAAAAGGAGGAAAACCAGTACTATCCTGCTTTTATCCAGTTTTGTAACATTCGTTTTGTGTCATGGTGACTACAGCACAGGAAAAAGGTCAAACAAAAAGCAGATAATAAAAAGTTTCAGGCAGGTGTTGTTACCTCTCCATCATGAGCTAAGTACAAGCACAGAGGTGTAAGTCATGGCTTCACCAAACTTCTAGCAATGTCTAAAACTGAATTAAAAGCCTGTTTATTCAGAGAATTTTTACCCCTGCACCTTCTCTTATTCACAAACACAAGCCTCACTTTTAAATCTATACAGAAGAAAAAAAACTTCTTTCCAACTCTGGTGCACAAACACACATCATTCCCAGTCTTTCCAAAACACCTCCCCCAACCCTTTCTCTTACAAACACATGCATACAAATACACACAAAAGCACCCCCGTCCTCCTCCCTCTTGGGCCTCCTTGTAATGGTGACTCAGAACTAAGGAACATGGTTCTTGTCTCATTGGACACCCATTGTTTCCAGTTTCATGGACAACCGGGCTTAGCTCAGACTGAGGGTTATTCACCGCTACTACAGCTGCTGCTGCTCCAGGTTACAACTCACTCACAGGCTTTAAAGGTTAGAGGCCTATAATTGGTTGTGTGCTATAATAGTAGTTAAAAAGTTTCTGCAGGAAGTGGAAATAAAAGAGGGCTGCGTAAAATTGAAGTTTGATCAGCCTTGGCATTAGCACTGCTACATTTGCTTTTATGTACTCCTTTGTTTTGCAATAGAAACACTTGACTTCCAGAGGGAAACACGGTTTCTTATAAAAAGTGTCTTTGTTCTGGCTCAGCTTGCAGTAAGATTTAAAAAGTATTCTAAGGAGATTAACGGTTACACAATAAGTTGGTGAAACTCCACTTCTTTTTCCCTGAAAGGCTAGATGTTATGCATAATTTAGCCTACTGCGGTGATAACCCTTTTTCCCAACTTCTTATAAGATAGAAAGGGTTATGCAGGGGGATGAAAACAGAAGGATTACCTAGTGATTCAGTAATATAGGAGTAACTTTGTGCTTAACAGTTGTATTAACATATTTAAGTAGATGTGTATGCTCATGTTCAGGCTTTATATTGTCCCTGGATACCACTGTAGAAGTATTTTAAATGATTTAAAAGTAAAAGTAATCATTGGTGAGCTGGCCAGTGTTTTTCTATTTGAAATGAAAAATTATGAAATATGTTTTGGAAAGTTTGGAAAAGGCAAAACAGGAAAATCACAAGCAAAAAAAGATTGAGGCAGTTTGTTCCTGCTTGATAAGTAATTTATTTTTAGGCTTTTACAGAGAGTCACCAACTGGTGACATCACAAGTTGAGCAAATATCCCTCACACTTAATTTTTAATGCTCGTGACTTTCTGAACAAGCTGTTTGGAGCTGTCTGTGGTCTCATCCTGGGATTGATTTCTTAACCATATTCTCAGGTCCTATTAAATGTTCTGTGAAAAGAGATTAGGATCTCTCAATTACGATGTTATTCCCACTGTGGTGTAAGTACAAAACTGTCCATCATCTCTGGAATAAAAGTCCTGCTTTCCTGTCATTATCCCACCATACTTCCTGCCCGTCTGTTTATTCATCTGATCTATCAGGACAAGAGGCCTACACCACACCTTCTTAATCTCCTGTGGTGTTGTGTGTCTCTCCGAACAGGTCCGGGCCTCTCCAGAGAAAGGGTGTGTCTGGATAACAACACACCACATAGGCCAGGTGGTGATTCATCCTAATGCTTTATTAACACACTCTAGTGTTGTGGCACAAACACTGACAGAATAGGGTGATGGTTAAGTGTAAAAGAGGGGTCGACTTACTTCCATCTTTTCTTTTTTATTTAGTAAACTGACAAAACTATACAACAGAATTACTGAAAACAGACAAAAGAGCGGGAACTTTGTACGAACCATTTGAAAAACACAGTCTTGAGGGAGCCAAGTTGAAAAAAAAACACTTCAAGTTGCAGGGGCCAAAGGTTAGATCCTCAAGTGTTTTACAGCGCTCTCTGTTAAAACACCAACACACCACTCTTGTTTACACAGTGATGTAATGTATTAAGGATATTTATCCCGTCTAAAATTTGTCGTCTCAGCTCTAAGTATCAGGGCGGTTACTTAACTGTGACTTCTACACAAACCCTGAAGCAGTAAAATGTTTGATGACACATATAATGTCTGTAAACACCTGAGTAGGACAGACCGACCTGTATTACAAGTTAGGATACTACAGCTTCGCGCTCTTTACTCCTTTACCCTCCACATGTGAAGCGAATGTGTCACAAATTCAAATTTCAAGATCATTTTACCAATACGTGTCAAAAAAAGACAACAAAAGCTTTGCTTTACATCATCCCACAGGCATTCAGAGGGAAAATAACAAAGCTGTCATGAGATACCATTACAGCAGGCCCCTGAGACTGTTTGCGCCTATACACACTCACACAGGAGGAAATATCAGGTTACTGCAAAGAAACAATGACCACAACAGGTGATTGTTTGGAAGTGAAGCTATTCAGTCATTTCTCACCTTTGTGTTGTCAGTGTGTGTGTGTGTTTATGTGTGTGCATGTTTGGCATCAGATGACGTGGAGCCTGTTTGGCAGTCCAGCATTCACTCGCAACTCAAAGCACTACACCACTGGCATTTTTGTGATACTAGGACTAGCTAGAAGTTTTAATCCTACTACTCCTAAGAGTGGCTAAACTTGTACAAATGTAAATTCCTTATATATTTGAATTAACACTGGATACACAGAGGCTTTACCAAGGCTACACAGGGTTGTTGATCTCTGGTATAATGCCATACCAAGCGGAAAACTCCAACATTGAACAGTTTTAATTTTGTTAATGCAGAACTTTTAATATAATTCTAATGAACAACTTCTCTCTCTAAGGATAAACAAGATAATAACAACAGAAAAAGTACTGCAAAAGGACAAAATGTGTGACGCAATACATTGATAATTTTGTCAACGAATAAAAACAAGATTTAGTCCAATATGAACTAATTTATTTGTGTGGAAGAGCAGGAAGAGTGGGGGAGAAATCCAGTCGTTATTAATGTGCGTACCAGAAGTCAGACGCACATGTGATCAACCCCCAAGCAACCGGTGACTCACAACTCACTCACTGCACTCTGTTTCTCACTAAACTAACATGACAAAATGTCAAAGACGAGCGCAGATGTGGACAAATTTATGTATGGAAAAACACGAACACATCATTGTTAAAACACAACAAACTTAATTTAAATACAGGTAAGCTGTGATCAGATTTCAGCTCCTTTTAGCACCAAAAACAAGTTATCTTACTGGCATTTGGACTATAAAGTACATGGAAGGCTGCAGTAGACATTCAAATTGATGATTCACTATCACAAAAGTCGTCCTATCTTAAAATGATTTTCAGAAAGTGGAAGAATCTGGATAATTCCTACATTTATGGACCAGTTTTCTACACTGTTACATTACATACACGTGCTTTTCAACAGGAGCCCTGATCCCTAGTGAGCACCTATCAACAACCATTACAGTTTTCTCAGTATTGTTATACAATCTGCAGTGACAGGGACGAGATAAGCCAGCTGAGGACTGTGCAAAGTGTTCTCTCACAGCTGAGACATCCAAGTCATCTCTGACCTACCCTTTCTGAGCACCCACCTGCCCTTCTTTTCTATGACCATCTAAGAAAACCTTCTCACTTGTCTGTAAAATTAACCTGCCTATCTAAGCCTCCAATCTCCCTGCAATTCTTTTTCTATCTCTTTCCCTTCCTTTACAAAAGACTACAAGGCCTTGATAGCCTTCATGAAATGTCCTTTCTGTACCTCTTCTTTTCCTCACTCTCTGTACAACTCGCCATCAAGTTCTCCTTTGGCCTGCCTGGGTGTTTTTTTTCTGTACAACACAAACAAAACAAACAGGGAAACAGTTGCTCCACTTTCATACTTCAGCAATGCAAGGTTAGATGTCTAGTGTATGTTATTGCAGGTATGCAACTGCCCGAAACACGACTCAGATCTGTTTGTGAGATACAAATATCTTCCATGCAGCACATTGGGATTGGTGGCTCATATGCAAAGCAGCGATATCTCTATCAACACAAGATCTACTCTTTAGACCAAAATTTAAGGATCCAAATATGTCACCCAACTTTTTTATCAAGTCTTCTTTGGCTGATTAAAGTCTGTTTTGTTGCTAATTTAAGACAGATCAAGCGTTTCATCCACCCAGCTTCAAACAGATCTTATTTCTTGTCATGGAAAATGATCAGAGCCTCCAATTGGCCAAAGGGAGGTATGACAACATTCTTGCCATGCTATCAATTAGCTGGTAACAAACTGAACCTAAGGGCTTATCATCTATTGGCCAAGACTGCTCTTGCGTGGGACAGCAGCAGGCTCTGTGCCACTGCCACTCATGCTCTGAATCTGGGCCTGGATTACACCCTCACTATGTTCGGTTGTTGTCAACACAACTTTATCTCTGGATGCCGAGGCTTCAAATACGACACATACTTTACTGGGGGGAGTATGTTCGCAGACTATCGGGTATTATTTCGTAGCAGCCTTCCAATCATCTTCGAATGTATTTATATTCGGACTCAACCTTAATCCACCTCAGGAAAAAATTAAATGCAAAGTATATCTACAGTTACTTTCAAATACATAAATGATAGTTTTTCCAGTAACTGTGTCAGAATTTCAGGAAAGAAAAAGATGTTAGGCGTAATTAAATTTCTTCTTTTAAATGTGAGCTGTTTTCTTTAAAACCCATGGGACCAATACTCCAAAAGTAAAATTCAAATAGGTATTTTATTGCACTGCAGTATCTTACCCAGAAGATGGCGCTCAAAAACCCCAAAACATATTGGAAAGATAGCAAGGTAGACCTTTCCAGTGGCGCCACTTTTTTTACCCTTATGGGGCGCTCACACCAAGCGCGAGTAAAATCATCTACTCGACTAATTCACATGAATCTAGACACGTGAATGAAAAGTATTTACTCGCTTCATTCACACGTCAATGGTAATTTCAATGGTAATCCCTGCCAATTCAACCAGGGATCAAGTGATAGACAATTTACCAGGTAATCCGACCTCCTCACTCACTTGCCTCCAGGTGAGCTCTTTTTTATTCCAGTTTCGGTAATGAAAGAAATGGTATCATATAATTTGGGGCACCCACACACTGACACAATCAGTTTATCCTCCATTTTAGATACCAGTAAACAACCGTTCATTTTCATACGTCACCCGCCAACCTTCATGCTGATTTGTTAACGCAATGCGAATATCCACTCAAGTTGAGACATTTGCAGCTCCCGCCAAATTCGCATCGCCAGAGTAGTAGGAGCGTCTAATCGCGTCTTTGCATTGACTTTACATGTGGTTCATTTGCGTGAATGATTTTACTTGCACTTGGTGTATGGAGACAGTTATTCTGCATTTAAACATTACAACAATATTTTAAGTGAACAGACCCTGTTGAGTGCTGGTTTGATTAAAAACACTCTTCTACTCAAGAGAACAAGTGACAAGCAGAGGTGGGTGATGTGAGTCTCTGCACATTGGTCATAGCTAGTGGGCCTGTCCATACCTCACAAATGAATGCTATCTTAAGATGAGCTCAATACCGTACCAATAACTAGCAAGGATGACAGCAAAAGATAGTTCAAGAAAGAGATACACGACTGCACAGAAACTGCACATAGCTGAACACACTGGAAGTCTAAATATAAGAAGACTTTCTGCCCCCAGAAACAGACTGTGTTTTGTGAATTGGTGTCATTTATGTTCTAGTTTTTATGATAAAATAGTTTAAATAATGTTTAAATACATCTACAAGGTAAATACATCCCAGGAATAAAATTACCTGACTTCACCTCTCACAAAGGAAAGTCAGCACACCTCCTGGTTTTCAACAATATAAAGGTTAACTTTACTTTGTGAGAGGCGTTTCAATCCTCTTTCATTTCATTCTCAGTAACTATGGTGAGTGCTATCAAAAAGAGAGGAATGTAAAGCATGTGTGGTCAGCACTGCTCTGAGGAAAAGCTCCTTCACTAAGACAGCACAGACCAATGGGTCTGGCATTTACTGGAACGGGTAGGGCATGGGTTCTGGGAAGTAGCCTGAGTCCCAAATCCAAGCAAGATCCAAAATTCTGGAGCTGTGAGCATTGGACTTTTCTTTTTTTAACCCATTTTAGACATCCGTAATAAAAACTTTGGTATTCAGTGGTGAGCAATGCACGTACAACTTGGCCTCGGCTGGTGACAAATCACAGTCAAGTGGAGACATGTGGCTACCATCTCCGAACCCTTACCAATACACAGGCTCATTTGACCAGGACAGCATTGCAAGAGGTGCTACCATAATTAAGTTGGCAGGCAAATAGGCATTTTAGGTGGAGCAACCAAATATTTTGGGGAAATCGGATCAATTATGCAACATTTTCTCGAACTCAGCCACACATATCTATTTTTGAAAAGAGGCAAGGAGCTGTCCTGTCAGGGGAGACGAAAGTGAGATGTCTGGAGGAGAGAGGAGACGCATTTTGGGGAGATTTCTGCAGTAAAGTGAAGAGCAGAAACGCTGTTTGTTGAGAAAAACACACACAGGGTCCATTATATTTGACCTTGTGACTTGCACCAATAACCCTTTGACACTCGGCCTCTGACCTGTGACCACGGTGGCCCCTTGCCCTCTTTTCTTAATGAGCCATGACACTTAACAAAGCTGTGGCAGTGACGCAAGTGCCTGTGTGCGTATGAGTGTTTGTGTGGCAGCCAATAGGTACGTAAATTAAACTGAAAGACTGGCGGTTATGAGGAATCCCTTTCATTTTTTTAGCCCTGAGGCTGATGTCATATGTGGGCAATGTAAGTGTACACTTGGCCATACACTCCACCCAGTATTATCCTCCATACTTTGACATGACAGTCCTGGACTGGACTCTCTTCAGTTCTGCATGTTTCCACATTAGTAAATAACAAACTTTTCTCTCCACAGTTAATTTTACCAGCATGTTTGATGCTATGCCGTGTAAATGACACATTGAAATATGTGCATAGTTGTACACCTGGTCCAGCTTATCTTACTTCTCATTGAAGTATATACACATTTATCAAAAATAATAAACCTTCTCATAAAATAGCTTAGAATCCTGAAAATTGTGCATATTCTCCTTCTAGCTGTAAGTCGAGTGAGAAGATTTCCACCACACTCACACCTGTCCAACTATTTCGAAGCTACAACCAGTAGCAATCTACCTTTGCTTATCTTAGATCTGCATATAAACTAAAAGACAGACAACAGACACAAAGCATGACTCTTTCTAAGGGGTAATAAAATCATCCAGTAAAGGACTTTAAAGCTCACCAATAAACAATCTGATATGTACAAAAGGTGCTGTAAATGTGTATCTCTATGGAGGATAAGGACTTCCTTGAGTCTTTCAGGGAAACTAAGAAAAGAGTAAAGTGTTGTTACATAATGTGATTTTATTATTCGTGTCAGACTTTAGTGCAACATCTGTTAAAATGTCAATATCATATGTTTTTCCAATGCGAATCGCTATTACGTGACATTGACAGGTGTTTTTTTATCAAACTTAATGCATTGTTTTCTTTACCATGTGCTATTTTGATGGTGGTATCTGAGTAGGCAGGAGTCCTACAGTCATACCTAACACAGTATAAATACCTACCAATGAGAAAAAAGTGACTTAAAGTAGGTGTGATAGAAGAAGAGCAGGAGTGTAACAACCAAGTCATTGTTAAAGTAGGACGTGTGTTGCCGTACATCACTTTGACCCAGTCATTCGCAGGACAGCTCATAAAACCCTCACTGATAGCAAGATTTATCTACAGCAGACTCCTTGACCCACACATGCACTGATAGCATACGATAACTCAGGCAGTGTCAAAGTTGTTGCAGAACAAAATCAATAAATAAGCAACAGACACTGTATGTGCAAAGAATAGGAAAACAGGCAACAGAACACTGGTGCTGTTTGTAGTGATAGAGCGTGTCTTTCATATACTACATATACTCCAACTTTAATTTCATGCACACACAGCTTAGAATGATCACATACTAACTACAGCATTGATACACAGCTGCCCTGCCAGTGTGCTGGATATAAGTGGGAAGAAATACAAAAATGATTAATAAGGAAAGAAGAATCTATCCTTTTACATTTGTGTAGCACTAGAACATATAAGATTGGCCTAGCTTAGCTTAAAGACAAGAACGAAAGGGAAACAGCTTGCCTTACCTGCTCTAGAAAGGAAAAGGAAGCCGTCAACTATCAGCTCTGAAGCTAACAAGCTAATCAGTCATGTAAATTTTACAAAACTCAAAGCTCAGAAGTAAAACTACAGAGGTAAGTACATGCTGGACATTTCTTGGGCTTAAATCCATGACTTTTCAGGAGGATTTTGAGTCATAATGAGGTTGTCCAAGAACCAAAATAGACCCCAGAGACAGTCAAACTACTTTTGTAACATGGTTCAACAGATTAAAGAAAATAAAAATTAAAAAACACTATCAAAATACATGTAGGAAGTAGCTGTTTTCACTTTTTTCCAGCAAAGCTGCAGAAAAAGCCCACAGACACAGTTGGGTTATTATTAACACTAAGGACAACATCCCGGGTTAAAGTGTAAGCTCTGTAAACTTTAAAACTCCTCGAAGACATACAAAGAAGGTGAGTCACTGAGCTGAAGTTCAGACCATCTGTATTCTTACGATATCATGACTTGTTGTTGAACACCTGTGTCGTGTCACACCAGCAGCATTGGAAAATGTCTGTCAGAAACCTGGACGCTGGAGGGCAAACCCACTCCCTGCGTGAAAAAAAAAACTAAACATTGACACACACCCAAAACCCAACCCTCCACCTATGGGCATGAATCTTGATCAAATTACCGCCCACACAGAATTCTGATTTGCCTCCAGCAAGGTTTAGACATCGTGCCATGATGCAAGCGCTGCACTTTCCCGCTCAGTGTTGATCTGGCTAAACATCAGCAAGCACTGACAAGCAAATCCCACTCTTAAATACTTACTAACAGAGAGGACAAGCATGCAACACGTTAAAAGTTTGAAATGTGTGAAGCCTGTTCAACTGAGTTTACCGTGGTTCATCTTCATGTAAGCAAAAGTTAACTAAGATAGTACTAGTATTAGGGGTGTCCAGATACAACTTTTTTTTATCTCCAATATGATACCAATATTAGGGATGAACCGATCCGATATGTGAATTGGATATCAGCTCCGATATTCACAAATTAACTGGATCGGATGTCTGATGAATGATGCTGATCCAGCGTTCTGATCCAGTATTTCTTTTTTAAAGTTAATATCATACACCGAAACACAGCGATTCTGTTATTTGTTATTCTTGTTATTTGTTAATAAATAATATTAAGTAAATTTGTATCTGTGTTAATTTGTTACCTTTTTTTAACAAGGCTAATGTCAAGCCTGATACCTTCACTCACAGGGCAAGGTAGACAGTTTGTCCATTCAACAGCTGTATTGGATCAGTATCAGATGATGCATTCAGCCCAGGCATCAGCCCAGGCATCGGTATCGGATTGGAAAAAAATGAGTCGGTGCATCTCTAACCAATATTGTAGCCTTCAGTACTGTCCAGTACTGATATTGTAGCCTTCAGTATTGTGCGATACCGATATTGATCCCATATTAGCACAAACTTGTGCATGATACGATTTTCACTCAGCCGCAATGTCTTTTTCGGACTTGAATGAAAAGTACTGCCACAGAGCCGGCATCACTTCTACTCCTTAGTACTTTGTTCGTACCTTAGTACACACTGTTGCTATGATTACATGAGCTCTACATGCTGGATCTGGGTGCTGCTGCTAGAGCGGAGTCTAGAATGGACTGCTTGTATCGGAGTGCTAATATCAGAGATTTTAAATGCAGGCAGATAAAACACAATATTTGATTTTTTCGTTGATATTGGACCGATATCTGATATCAATATCCAATATCAATATCCAATATCAATATCGTATCAGGACACCCCTAACCAGTATCATTGCCTTTGCTACTCAGAACAACTACTTAAATTACAGAACAATTACAGCTCTGGACAAGGAGACTAGAACACAGTCCAAGTAGTTCAGTTTTTTCTTTGTTGGATTTTGCTTTGGGGATCAATAAAGTTCTTCTTATCTTAGTTCTTCCAACAAAATGTACATAAGAGGCAAAAGATGTAAATCCAGCTGATATGAGACTCAGTTGTTTAGTCATAAAAGCAGAGTAAGAGTTTTCAAACAGCCCAGGATCTGACACCTTTGCTATCATGTTCCACTGTGATGTTCTAAGAGGGTGGTGTCCATGCTGGTGAGGCTAGCAGACTCAACAAGCTGGTGAGAAAGGCCCGCTCTGTGGTCTGAACAGACTGCAGTCAGAGGCTGAGAGGATGTAGAAGGACAAAATTTCAGCCATCCCGGATAACCGCTCTCGCCCACTTTAAGAGGAACTGTGGCAGATGGACGGCTCATCCAGCCAACACATCATCCCACCTAGGTGCAAATCTGAGTGCTTCAGGAGCTCCTTTGTGCCCACTGCCATTGGACAGCTCAACCGCGATGGAAATCATAGACTGTTATCACTCTGACCAGCCCTGTGATTTTTGCTCCCAACACACACAGTCTGTCACTGCAGTGTCCTTTACTCTCTGACAATCACCACGCTCACTCTGCACTGACTCTGTCACTTTAATAGATCTTACAGTTTAGACATTCAACTTCTCAAATCATTATATTGCTATACTGAGCATCTCTAAACATCTAATGCTGCATTTTATATAATATTACATCTGTGATATTAGAGGCTACTTTTGAGCTACTGTACAGCTACTGCGCAAGTGATTACTATTCTCTATCTTAACAGACTGCACAACTTAACCACACCACACCTTACCCCCTGTTTTTATTGATGCACTCCTTACAGCATCCTTACTACACTTTAAACTACCACTACCATACTTATTATTACTGTCTACTTTATATCTCACACGACAGTTTACGTCACCCTCCGGTGAGCTTGTTGCTATACACTGGGTCACACCATGTCACTTTATCCCATAACTATCACCTCAACCTTTTGCCACAGACCATGTCTGGGTCCCTATTTATTCACAACTCTGTGCTACAGTTGAACAAAACTCTTATTTCATTTCATTTGTTTGATTTCATTGTGTTTAACAAATATCTTACTCAATCTGCACTCACTTGCTTCATACCATGTTTGTGTTGCTGCAACAAAAAAATTTGCCTCGGGGTATCAATAAATATTTCCCATGTTCAACATGGTAGCTTAGCATGTTAGAATGCTTAGAGGTGATATATGGCACTAAAAAAAGTATAGCTGAGGCCTTGTAAGAGTCCAAAATGTAACAATGACCCAAAATATTATAAAAATAATCATAATTTTTTTATTTAAGTAATAATTTGTCAATAAAGGCTAAAATCGCCATAAAAAATAAAAATAAATAATAATAATAATAATTTTATACAGCCCAAAATGTACTAATTTGTCAATATTGTTACAAAAGTGTTGAGCCCGAAATGCAACAAAAGATCTAAAAAAAGAATGTAATAAAACATGTAATGTAATAATTGACCCAAAATGTAATAAGTTACCACATTTTGGACAAAAAGTTTCTACATTTTGGGTTTAACATTTTGTAACATTATCAACCTGTTATAACATTTCAGGTTATGTTACATTTAAAAAAAAAAAAAACATTTCAGGTCATAGTTACATATCAGACTCTAACACTGCTGATGAGTAAAAGCTACAAAACTAGATGTGATGAGCAGCAGTCGACTGATTATAGTTTTTAAATGACCGATCAGCCTTGCTGATGGCCGATATATAATGCCAGTATCACACTGTGTTAGATTTGAAAAATGCTTTTTCAATCAGAAAAAAAGGTAATAGTTATATCGGCCTTTTGAGGGCCAATGCAGATATGATGCCGATCATGTCAAAATGCCATTTATCAGCCTGACTACTCAGCCAACCCATTCATCTGTCTATCTCTACTGATGTATTTTTTGTTTGTTTTTCTGACTAATAAAAGGCCTGGTAACAAACTTCTTGTTTATCAAACATCAGGGGTGTACCGAAATCAACCTTCTTAAATTGTTACTACAGTAAGTGCAAGAATTAGAACTGTATAAAAGAGTCTGCTGCTCTCAGAGTGAGGAAAAGACTGGGAGTAGTTGAACAAATCATGGAAACTATAACAATGAAGGGGGATTCTGTAAGTGTGCGTCTTTGATTGTGTGTATTCTCTAAACAAACAAGCGGTACTTCAGTATACAGCATGTGCAGAAGTAGAGCAGAGGGCACTGAGCGGATCCCAGCCAACCACCTTCTCTTGGCAGCGGTTCGTCCTTTGTTGTGGTTCCTGTCAGAAACAAAAGGTCCATGTTCCATCTCTTTAGTTGCAACCAGCGGCCCTCTTTGGAAAGAAAGGCTTTGATCAAAAATCCTCGACTGAACGAGCAGAGTCAGGGCCTGCTGACTGTTTTTGGGGCAAATATAGAATCAGCACAAAAAACAAATAAATGACTTAAAAAGTCTCCTAAAATGGCTCCACTTGAGAACACTGAGCTACAAACAAAACATTTGAGTCTGTCTTTGGTCGGCCCTGCAGTGTAATCCACACAGTTTAAGGTTGATTTCAAATACAGGTTTGATTCCAGGAAGGGTGGAGTACACTTCAACATCTTCCAAGCAGCCACCAAAATTGCTATGGTGGGGTGATGGCAAGTATTAAACATTTCCCGCATCCACCATTAAATATACGGCGCAGATTTCCTCACTGCTTTTTTAGTAAGTGTGTAATTACTCTAAAGTCAAGGTCAGGGTGATTTGACTTAAGACCTGTGATTAGTGTTGTTCACAGACAGCCTGTACTCCAACCAGGTTAACCTCACTGACAGCCTGGATCAGCCCTGCTGAACTCTGTGTTTTATGGCTGAAGAAGTAATGGGGGTGAGTTGATTTCAGAACTTGTAGTGTTTCGGATCATTCATAAACTTTCTCATCAATGTAGAATAAACTCTGGAGATGATTTTGTTATTTTTTTTACAGTAACTTTTACACATACATAATGATTTGGCAATACACTAACTTGAGTTTACTTTCATCATGATGCACACACCCTGTCCAATTGTAAAGCTGCATATTTAAAATGTTAAAAGTCTGTTAACTTCTTATGGCCAGTATTAGTCTTAAAAAGGGAACTTTTATAGTTTCTTCCCCTAAAAAACCAGGGTACCCTCAACAAAAACTCAAGGCAAACATTATTGCAGTAGTGTCGCTTGGGTCCCGCAAGTATATGGTAGGGCTGGGCGATATGGCATCAAATCAATATCACGATTGATGAGCAGTTCACCTCAATAATGATAAATGGATGATAACTACTCCACAAACTGCTTACCCCCTCCCACATAAACTTTGTCTACTTCAGCCATCTTCTATCTCCTTACATGTCTTTCCATCTTTGTTACAGACTGGATGGGGTGCAATCATGTCTCTGGCGTAGGACAGCGTCTAAAAAAGGACATGAGACCATAGCCTATCTACATACATCCAAAACTGACTTTTATTTATTTATTTCTTGACACTGAATATACTGACATGGGCAAAATTATGTCGATTATTGTTGTAGATTTTGGTATCTGTAAATTTTTGGTTTATCGCCCAGCCCTAGTCTATGGGAAAAGTCTGAGCTGAACATTTGGGATGTCCCAAAGCATTCAATTTCAGAAATCCAGGGTTATGTGCTATGAGATGGTATATGTCATCTGTGCTTGTTTACATCAGGTCTGTAGAGTAATAAAGCAGAATGGCAGCCAATACCAGAGTACAGAGTACAGCTTAGACGCCCTTAGACGCCCAATGTAAACGACAAATGTATAATGTAGTGTAGTCTATAATATAATGCATGTGATGTGATGTTCCTGTTCCCTCACACTCTGTTAAAAATGCTGTTGCTGCCATTACCCATCATTGTACAAACTCCAAATACAGTGTAAAGAAATATCTAGAATAGATAAGAAAAAGACCATTCATCCCCAAGAAGCCTTAATTAATCCAAACAAGGCCATGGATTTATACAGGGATATTACTCAGGGTTATTTTCTTCTGTGGAGCCAAGCAGCATGACCCTCAAAACAATGAATTATTCATGAACTGTAATTTCATTTCCCTCAGGACAGCAATTGTGTAATAATAACCCAAGAAATTCATTTTGAGCAAAGATGGTTTATCTGCAGCAGATTGGATTTTTTAAGATATGCTTTTCATTCTGAGCTAATATGCTGGCCCTCACGAGCCTGTTTGGGTCCTTTTGATTCGACGATGCTTAACTAGCTGTGAAAGCAGACCCCAGTCTCTCCCAGCAGTAAAAGCTCAAGTACAGCACAGGCTTTGCTAAGTCTCATCATTAGTAGACTCAAGGAGGCAGAGGTTACCGACTTGACAGCGTATTGGCCTGCTTGGCTGACTGACTTGTTGCTAGTTTGGCTGATTAACAGGTTGGAGAACTAGCCCAGTAGGCCGGCTGGCTCGCCCAATTCTCCCGCACTATTGTTGAAACAGGTCGAGTGCATTGTCTACGGACAAAGAGACCATGCACTACTCACAACAGAAAGTGACATCAGCGCGGAGGGGTAAAAAACAAAAACACTGCAGGGGAGCGAGGAAGCAGAGAAGGAGGAGGAGGAGAAGGAGGAGGGCTCCCAGGCTATTTCACTCACAAGTGCAAGGAAGCTGATATTCAGAAAAGCATTGTGGGAAAATACTGCTTACAGAAGGCATTATATAAGGCTCTTTCCAAATCATCTTAATTGTACTGTTACTCGCTGGATTATGGGTTGTAAAAGCCATGCTTCCCAATAAACATGCAGCTAGAAAAAAAGAGCAAAGAGGTGTAACAAGGGCTGGTTTCCATTTGTTATAAATTACAATTTCAATGTCTCATAAATTCATTTCAAATCCCTCCACAACAACATAAACAAACTCACAAAGAAACTGCATTTGTCACTTTTAACAGCTCAGCTTAAAAAATGTTATTCAATCCAAGCAAAGCAGTCGAGGAAAACACTCCAAACAACAAACTTTGACATCCAAACGGGGCGGCTAGTTATCAGTGGTATCCACTGAATGTTAAGTGTCTGTGTAAGTTTCACTCAGCTCAGAGGCCTGCTGGCTGTGTGTGCAGAGAGGCCTGCTGACAAGGATTGGCAATTTCTCCTTAATCTCGGAAGGAATTCATTTTCAGGAAGGCCAGAAGCCCTCGGTCATGATTAGCTAAGGCGATAGGAAAGACAGAAGAAGACAGACAGACAGATGAGGCTAGACTGAGGATGGATGAGGGCCGAGACGTCAGTATAACACGAGCTAAAAGTTACTGACAGTAAAGGAGGTAGAGAGAGAGATGTAAACAGAGATCCACCCCACCCTGATTCCAGTGAAAGCAGGTTAACACAAGCAAGCGGCTGGTTGAAAAGCAGAGCTGATGGCAGTTGAGTGCGGTTGCTCTTATTTGCCTGTGTATCTGCAAGTTTGCGCAGCACAAAGACGCCTATTGTCCGGTAGCAGAGAACAGGGCCAAGGAGGCTTATGGCTGAGCGTAATGTTCATCGAAATGTACAGCAACTCTAATCATACGAATAATCTGAACACACCTTTTCAAAGCTCCAGAGTCTAGACGGAAAAACTTCACTTTCACTGACACACTAACACATAAACGAGCCGTCCGGTTGAACTTACTCTCTTCTTCATTCGCATGAACAAATGATGCTGCTCTTGACAGAACATCCAGTGGTGTCTCCATGCTTGGTTGCCTGTAAGACAAGGAGAAGGGCACAGTGTTAAAAATGATACTGACAACCTGTTTAGCTTTTATTTCTCTTCACAGCTGAAAGTTAAAACGTGATAGATGCCTGTCTAATAGGTGCTCCAAAACTGATTCATGATCACACAAGTCCGTAATTACAATCACAAATCAAATCACTCTTATAGGGCTTGGTAACATTAAAGTTCAGTGAATATGTTACTAGACAAGTATCAACTTGATACCCTAAGTGTTGTTAAAAACATGTTTTTTTCCTCTTAACATGTCAGTGTAATGAGTGCTTAAAGTTTTGCCTTTACAAGCAGGTAAACATGAGCTTTTCAAGTAGAAGAATTTAAGTATCCCAGTTTTAGCACGCACATAAATACTGCAACTGTAGTAGATTCAGTTTCATGTGAATTGACTATTTTTTTTCTCAGCACAAACTAATATTCTGAGGGGAAAAAGATTACATTGCTATTTTTTAGGGTCAATGCTGGTTATTAATATTTCATGATAACTCAGATGTGAAAATAATTACATCTTCAGTAAAGTGGTTAAACGCCTAATTATATATTATCATACTTGCATGCTTCAGAGCTTTAGGTGAGACAAAGTGGTGAATGAAAACAGAGCCAGAGTGACAGACAGATATGCATAGATAGATAGATAGATAGATAGATAGATAGATAGATAGATAGATCAGCCAAATCCTCAATGATTGGCCGGACCAATTATTGGTCAACCCCTATTGTAAATGATTTATCTTTCATCTAAACACTAGTAATCATTTTCCTGTTGATTGTTTGATCAAATAATTATTAAGTGTTTAAATATGTAGCATACAGAAAACAGAACCAGAGTGATGGACATATATGCAAAGTAGAGCAGTTTTTGAGTAATTTTATGATCTGTTTTATTATAAAATAATGCAAATAATATTTGGAGCAAAATCAATAATGCTCCCTGGCTCTATACAGAGGTTCTTTTCCATTCAGGACAGTCCATATAATCTCAGAGGTGCTTGAAAATTTACTGTACAAAAAGCTAAAAAAGGTATGAAAAGGAGATGTATCTCCATTACTGGAGTTAAATTCTGGAATGATGTCAACATAAATCTAAAAACATGTCATTCTTTCTTTGGGTTTTAAGAAAATGGTTTGTAAAGCTATTTTTGAAGCTTATAAGTGTGATTAATTATCTGTTGTTGTGGTTGCTTTGCTTTTCTGGAGGTCGGTAGCCTAAAAAGTTGACAACACAGGATAGCTCTGCTTCCGCCTTTTCAGTCAATATTCAACACATGATTCTTGATTTAGTGATTTTGTGTGAAATGTCAGTATTGTGTACAATATTTGGTGATAGTACGACCAAAATATTGGCCTTGACGATTGGTCAGGCCTATTATTGGTCAACCCCTATTGTAAACCATTTATCTTTCATCTAAACAACTCTTAATCATCTTTCTGTTGACTGTTTAATCTGATAAGCATTAAGTGTTTAAATATGCAGCATACAAAAAGACCAAGGCATGGGTTGTTTATTTTTACGCAGCCAAGACTTGTATTTTAATACTTTGAAAAGTAGCACTGTGTCATTTTTAAAGGGGTTACAGTATTACGTGTCATTCTTCTAACATTTGTCGGATTATATGTGATTTCTGCATTGATTTGTTCCAACATCGTGTGGATATGTGTCCTATAATGTTCAGTCTTCAGTCTGGCAGCGCTATGAAAGGTATGCGTGGATAAGAAACGCACAAGCGCGCTTGTCTTCCCTCTTGCTGCATTCCTGGGATACCTTTCCCACATTTCTCCAAGAAAAATACGGTTTAAGCTGGATTAATGATTAAAAGGATCTCCTGGAACACTTCTAATCTGAGGTTTATTGTACTGAATTGCAACACTGTCTACGTGGTGCGCGTAATGACACCAACTTTCGCCCAGCAGTGAAGGGGCGAAACTGAAACTGATTTTAATGGTAACAAGTGCGGCCACACTTATTCTAGACAGGCGTGGATTTAAAGCCTATAAGCTTGAGGAGATCATTTAATATCCTCCCTGACAAAGAGGTGAATCACTGCTTTATTTTACGGTGTTTTACTCTCCCTCATCCCTTATTCCCTTGTGAGAGACAGTAACATCGCTGTAGGAGGTTTTTGACATGAGAAAGTTTGGGAATCCAAGAGTTATTTTCATGTATCAACGCTTGTTATTATCATTTTGTTCATTTCCATATCTCTTTTTAGCGTTTTCAATTTAAACGCCACATATTTGACAACAAAAGACGATATTCAGTGTACACAAACAGTCCCAAAAAGAGCGCACAAACCCGAAACAATGTCAGTCACACACAACTTCATGTATGCAGCACACACATACCTCCTTCAAGCGCCACTTTGGTATCTTCCAGGATATTAAAGTCCACACAAAAAATAAACAACTCACAAAAACAAAGATATATTCCACAGAGACGTGAAAGAAAAACCCGCGGTGACTAAACGGACGAGTAGAGACAATAGTAGCAGAGTTGTCGGGACAAACTTGGTTGTAGGCTAAACGAGGAAGAGGAGGAGGAGGGCGGGAGGGAGGGAAGGAGGGAGGGAGGGAGGGTAGGAATGCCTGGAATGATGGAATTCAGTTCCTAGCAGGTGGTGAAAGTGAAGCGCTCTGATTGGTGGAGGGCTGAAGTCATGATATCAGCATAAATTATGGTAATGAGCTGTTGCGTCACATCCTGTTGAGGTGAGGCTGCTGCTGTCACTGTTGACTCCAGAGGGAGTCCCAAAGTGATGAAACATTTAGATGGAGATTTTAGAGAGTAAAACGTCTACATTTATATCTCAGCTGCAGTAAAGCAAAGGCAGCAATCTCATTAGTCCATGATAAACAATAGAGATTACTGTTAATAATAAACAGTAGATTAATTGTAGCTGTGTCAGGGGGTGGTACTTTCACAAGCTCTTTTGGCTTCTAACCTCCCCTGCACAATGCTGTTTTCAATCTGCCTTTCAACCAGCCCATGATCTAAATGCAACAGAAACAGTATTAAAATGCTAGACTCAAACACTTTCAAACAAATGTGTCATCAATGTATTTTTAATATGTTTTATATGATACATTTGTCCGTAACATAGTTGACAAAATGATTAATCAAATGTTCATTTTCATAAAAATAATTTAAGTCATTTGAGCTTAAGCCTGCCAATTAATTGACTTAGCACATTAAGGATGTATATTGTCGAAACATCTAGGTTATTTATTAAAAAGAATACCTATATTTTGAGTTTTATGCCAACTTGAAATGTACCCCTAATTGTAGAATGACTCATAAACTTAAAAAAGGCTTGATTTCATTGAAACAAGAATGTGCGCACTGAGGAAACGTCACTTTAAAGCTCAAGGTAAGGAAACACTGGAGGTTTAGGTTAAAATCTAAAAACAAAGTAACATAGAATGAAATTTTAGAAATAATAAATAAAATGAAATGAAAACAACAGTAAAAGATACTAAAATAAGAGCACCAAAATAGCTCAATAAAAGATGACCCTGTCATTAACACTAAACGCTAAAACACTTACAGTTAATGATATAAAATTAAGTTAAAAGCAAGACTAAAAAGGTACGCTTTGAGTTTGGTTTTCAAGTCATCCTTGTAGGCAAGGATTACGTAAGTCTACCTGAATGTGAGGTGATTCATGTGTCCATTAACTGAGGTCATGTACCCGAGCATGACTGTCAGGAAGTACTTGGTTCTGTCAGCACCCACTGCTGTGATTCAATGAGGGGCTGATGGACCTTTTTTTACATCACTGACCTCACAGAAATGTTTGCTGTCTGATTTCATCGCTTTCAGTCAAAGAGCAATGAAAGGAAAACTAATTGTTTCACTGCCAATTTCAGTGTCTAGATGTTTTGTCAATTAATTGTGTTTAAATATTATTCGTAGTTGCAAATGTTTTACACAAGAACATGTACCGGGAACGGATATTTTAAAACATCATAGCAGGAGAAAGGAGAAATACCAGGACCCCAAAACTGACACACACACAGTTTTAGTTACTTTATTATCATATTTTTGTAATACTAGCTCGGTGTCAGGCATCATCACTTTATTTTTTAAACAGTGATAATCCTAAATAAAACAAAACACTCAAATCACACTAGAAAAATAGCTTCATACAGTCAGAAAAATGGTGTATAAGAAACAAGTGTACCCTTTTTTGTGTGTTGTGACAATTACAAATCACTAGAAATACTGATTTGTGCAATCACAACTTTATATTGCATGGTTGAAATATTCTGTGGAAAAACAGTACTCAGCTTGTTTTGTATTAAATTTTTATTTTACCAATCCCTCGTAACTGAATGACCACAATACATTTCTTCCATCTGGGATCTCCAAGGATCAATAAGAGCAGCTGAGATAGTGAGTGAAAAATGACATGCTAAGCACAACATACATTTCCTTGTATCCTCTAAATAAGGAATTCCAGCATTATTGAGATTCAACCAACAGATAGACGCAGTTATAATGTGAAATATAAAGAGATGTAAGGTTTGAGCTCTTTGGCAATATAAGAGAGGGGGATATGAAGCGCATTTGTGCAACATTTAACACCAGTCCAGACAAGTATCACCACAGAAACATCATGCTCAATTCCTGCACAGTTCTCATCAGCATCTCACTGAGGTAGCAAGACTCACATAAAAATGCAGGGACACACTCACGTTTCAAAACATGACAGATGGTAATGGCACCAAAAGTCTTTCCCTAATTATTTCTGGCAAAACTTGTGTTTGCAGAGCTCCTACTGATTTTAGTTCTGTGCCTGCGGACATGTTCACCAGTTCCTCTGCAGTCTCTGTAGTCATTATCCAGAAAGGTCCTTTGTGTAGCACCATTAAATGTCATCTGTGGTTCTGGTCCAGCTTGTAAAATGTCACAATTTTTTAAAACACTTTTCATGAGTTGCATGACAAAGGGCAGCGGTGCACAGTCCTACTCTACTCAAACAAAGACTCATACCTCGTCACTGATGTTATTCACAGAGAGTGTGCAGCGGTACAAGCAGAAGGGAGAGTGTGTGGGACTGTTTCACAGGCACGGTTTGTTTCAGGGTAAGAATCAAAGGATGTTAATTGATTGTCTGGATGATGGTTATGGAAAAAGACAGGATCAGGACATCTGTGAGACAGACGGCTTCCTCCTCCAACCTTTCCACATCTTTATCAGTTTCTTCGAGCTGTATGAAACCGTTTTCCAAACTCCTGGAGGGAATCAAAACAGAGAACAGACAGAGCATTGTCAATCAAATAAACAGAACAGTTTCTGTATTAAACACTGCTGTGAAGACACAGGGGTTTGACCACACTCTAAAAACATCTTTACTTCAAAACAGAGCGGACAATCTTTTACAGGATTTTTTAAATTAAAAACATTTGCACAATTTTTATCAGGCCACACCAAAACAAGTGTTCTTAAATGTACAGAAACAGCTGGTTTACCTCCTACAGTGAGTTAGATGTTGATATTCTAACATCCACTTAGCTTAGCCTATTGGCCTCTTTCTCTGACAAAATCTGCCTTCCTATACAAAGACCTCACACCCAATGGGCCTCAATTTAGACCTTTTTTTTCTATTTTTATTGAGAGAACATGTAAATGTGATAATCTGTGGGCTTTTGGACTAATGGTAGGCCAATGCTGTTACTGTTAGGTACTGATCTCTAAATGTTTCACCTCATTTCAAGTCTAAAACTAAGGAGCTAGCTTAAAAGTCAGTTTGAAGACCCAGTCTGATGAAAATCATGTCTTTCTTGTTGTCTACATGTTCATATGACAATTTTTTGATACTACAGGACACATCACGAGAAAAATAAGTGCGAAATTGCATTTCTGAGTATTTCTGCATTCAAATCACTGTGAATCTCTGACAGACCCAAACGCAAGGCTTAGACACAGTGAGAGTTCCTATGTCACAAATCCAAGCTCCGCCCCTGCAGCCCCGCTATACCAGCCAGACTCAGAAAGTAGGGAGGACGGTCACAGATTGCAATGCTCCTGAGAAAGCTAATTATGACATTAACTTTCATCATATCCCTAAAGACATTAGTGTCTGAGAGCTGAATAGTTCCTACGTTACCTGCCACTTCTACTACAACGGCAATGTTAGGCTACAAGCTAACATGAAGACGAGTTTGCAGAGCAGCGCTGTCTCCGCCCATGACTCATAAGCGAATTGCTAATGAGCTACTGGAGCTCTGCAGAAGAAAAGCCCTTAAAAATGACACAGGTTACGTGATTTTGGATCTTGGATCACTTGAAGTGACAACACTTCAAGTAGTAATAAAGGACATTTCAGTGGAAAGGAGCAATGGCTCTTTTCTTTATGTCCAAACACCAGGTCCTATTTCTTAGGCTGGGGTGTCACTAACCCTTCAGAGGAAACTCATTTCATCAGGTTGTATCTTTGACCTCTTTCTTTCAGTCAATATCCAAAGCTCAAGACCAGAGGTGAGGACTGGAGCATAGACAGGCAAACAGCAATCTTTGCAATGCCAGTGCCGTGCCCGTTGACACAAACTGCCTGTCAGTTTCAAATTGCAAGAAACTTGAACTCCTTGACTTTGTGGGAAAAAAAACTCAATCTCTACCTGGAGAGATCAGTCCACTGTTTTAAGGCAGTGTATCATCTAAGAATTAAATTAACCTGAAGTTTGTTGACTGGATGATGGGATGGCAGAGTGCATACCTTTACTTGATCTGTTATTCAATTATCTGTCTGTGCTATCTCCAAGACTTGCACCTTATTTTCTAGGCTGTCTGGCAGTTGTTTAAAGTCTCTGCTGCATTCATAAATGTTTTCCAAAATAAAGACATCATGAGCTCGCTTCTGTTGTTCCAATCACAAGAGTTGCAGTGGTGAATGACAACTGACCTTAGGCGTGAGGGGCAAACTCGCTGTGGTGCCATCCACTGTTCTAATGAATATTGTCATCTAACAGCTAAACCATCAAAATAAGACAATCTCACTTCTTTTGGATGTATTTTGGCCTATAACCACGTCCATATGGCATTTTTTTCTCAAGCACCAGAGAAACTTATACTAACAAGTTCTGACAGGAGAAAATAAACTGTACGATTCTGCCAGAAACTCTCAAACAAAGAAGAAAAGAGCGCCTACCAGCTGTAGCGATGCCTTTGATGCTCTGTGTTATACTGGAGGACTTGACAATCGATGAAATACCTGAGGGAGGACACAGACAGGCGTCAACAGGCATTTACATAGGAAAAACAGCTCATATCTCACCACTCTGCAATATAATACCCTAATGATAATTGTTGCTCAAGGCCACATCATGAACTCACAATTACAGGCTGAATGTTTACTTTTTTACTTAACCATTAATCCTTTACCTCGAAGCACTTTTCCTGCTCAGTCTAACCTTTAATCTACTGTGGGCTTAAATATCTAACTTAAAACCGGCTTAAAACATGCCAATGTGACATGCCTTGTCAGATAAAAACTTTAAAAAAGGGAGCATCAAATAAACAGTCACATTTTAGTTTTGGACCCTGTTTGGTGCTCAACTAGTCTGGTTCTGATAAATCAAGGAGAGGTAATGCACTGCAGATCTAATATTATGTGTATTTTTATTTACTTCTCTTCAGTCATTGGATCTATCATTTTGGATTATATGCTGACTGTCTAGTTCATAATATCATGATCTTTCCTCCCTCCTTTCTTCCTTCTCCTTGGTCCTCACCTTGCTGTACGACAGCTCCACAGTCTGGGTCCTGGGCGACCTGCAGCAGGATCTCCTCGACGTCTCGGTTTTTCCCTGGAGGGTCGACCAGCTTTGTGATCCTCTGCTGGAGCGTCCGAGGCAACGCCATCAACTGGATGAACTGACCCTCCGGGCTTTTGTCAACCTGCCAGCACACAAACCAAAACCCATTACTCACACATGGGAAGCAGAACTGAAACTCACATCCACAAGTTTCATCTGTAAATATTATTTTTTAATAATATACTTACTCCAGTAAAAAAAGGGTATTTGTTCATATTATTAGCGTGATAAAGTAAACTCTGGTTATGTCTCAAAAGCTTTATCTCTGTTTAAATTATAAGTACAATAAACTAAAAGCCTGAGCCTCTATTTTCTATAGTGCCTGTATCATTTTTATCAGAAAATGTCAGCATGTCATCAAGTGTTTCCTCACAAACCACAATGAGTTAACTTAATGAATACGACATACTGAATTTTCTAAAAGAACTAAACCAAACTCAACCTTTAAAACATCAACCACAAACATATAACAAAGAAAATAAGAGAAATACGACTTATTTTATCTTTAGAAATCTGCAGCACATAAGTCTGCAGTTGGTTCATGCACCTGTGATTTCGACTGTTGTGTTTCATGATGTAAGGGGGCGCAACTCTGTTTCAAACGGCAGGCCGCACAGCGCACAAGTCTGTAACGCACTGTTCACTGCAAAATGTGTTATTCACACACAAGCGACACAAAACAAAAGGCTGTTTCTTTCGACCAATTACTAAACATGTTATTCAAGGACAGGCTGATGAGTATTTCAGTGAAATAAAGGACGAGTGCCAAGAGTTTTATAATGTTTGAAAGAGGCAAAAGCCGAATAGAGAGGAAAGTAGATCAGATTTAGTGTTCATGGTGTTAAATGAGGGAACATTTTCCATGCTGTAGTGATAAATACTGCAACGAAGCCACACTCTGTTTACCGCTAAAGACACCAAATGTTAGCACTCTCTGTAATATCTGATATTTATTATTCAATCTGTATGTGATACATGCTTACAAAAAAGATATGGCAGATATATCTATTTTTTATTTTCAAAAGGAAAGTTTTCAGGGATCATATAAATATTTTATTTCAGAGGCATTACATTAAGTCAGCAAAGCTGCGAGTATGCAGTAGATGTTTTTTAATCCTCAGATGCATGAAAAAAGTGAATTTCAGGAGAAAATTCAATATCAATATCTGTGGTTTTGCTCCACAGGGTCAGAAGTTCAAAGAAAAAGAAAAGGAGGAACAGCACACAATGTTCCGTTGTGCTGCCAACATACCAAGTGAAATGATAACAAAAGGTTTGTCTTGCGGGCATTTGTGTGTGCCAGGTTTTACCTCCAGTTTTCCTTGTTGGGGCTTGTAGACTACTTGAGGGCAGTCGCGCAGGATGTTGCTATACAGGATTCGGAAGTGCTGAATGTTGTCTTTGACGATATTCGCCACTTTAGATTTATCTTCACCGATTACCATTCTGAAATCCCCTACAGAGGAACAAAGAAAAAGTTGAAATCTAGCAAAATCACCTGTGTACCCTATGTAGTTTACATTATATTCATGCTTTCATACCACAACAGTACCTAAAACTTCTTAAATGATGCACTACCAGTAAAAAAAATATGCAAGGTAAAATGAATAATTATTGGAGTGTTTTGAATACAACAGGAAGAAGTTTGAAGCATGTTTGCCTGCTAAGTTGGGAGACAAAGTGCAAAAAAGTAAGTTTATATCTAAACCGCAGTGTATATCAATGAGCAAATAGTTAATTTCCTCCCAGCATGCAGTTATACTATGAATGTATATGTGTTTCAGTTTCTTTAAGTTCTTGTGTTTATGTACTGCAGGCTTCTTACCAGCATAAGAAAGCCCAGCTATCTGCAGAAAGAGGTCCTCCTCAGTGAAGCTCTCAGGCAGCATGAGGAAGGAGGCTGTTACAGCACTCTTCAGGTTGGCCACCAGAGCACCGCGGAGTTTCCCATTCTCACTCTGCACCAGCATTTTCACCTGCATGGGAACACGTTAAAGCATGCATGCACACACGCTTCAGCAAAAACTAAAAGGTGCACTTCTTTCTAGATGTGCAAGTTGCACTTTTCATCGTATCAACACATTTTAAAGGGATATTCTGGCATAAAATTAATTTAGGGTCAAACACACCGTAACACCGAGTTAGACACCCCCTAGAAAGATGAATGTTGCCGACCGCTTGCTTCTCTCATTATACCAACTTTAGTAACGATCGCATGATAGCAATACACATCGGTCTGAGGAGCCATCAACAAACCTCAACCAAAACACCACTCTAAAGCCACAAATAATGCTCAGGACAGCACCTAACTTCATCAACAGTACATATAGGGTCCAAGCCACAGCACTAGCCACCAAACATATTTTTAGCTTTGCCTAATTTCTCTAGCAAAGAGACTAAACACAACTCACCCACTCTCTTCCAGCAGCTGCTTGTTTGTGGCGAGACCTCAGGCCAGTCCATTACGGACTACAGCGGGGTGATGCAGCTCAGCGAAGAACATTTATGATCATTACTTTATGGAAATGCAATCAGACAAAGACACTAAGGCAGAAGAGCTACAGCGTCTGCAGTGCAAGATGATTAATATGGTGATTATTACTTCAAGTAAATGATAAAGAAATGATCATAAATGTCGTTCCTTGAGCTGCGTCACCCTGCAGCAGTCCGTAATAGACTGGCCTGAGGTCTCACTACAAACAAGCGGCTGCTGGAGGAGAGTTGGTGAGTTGTGTTTAGTCTCTTTGCTAAAGAAATTGGGCAAAGTTAAAAAGATGTGTGGTGGCTAGTGCTATGGCTGGGACCCCATATGTACTGTTGATGAAGTTAGGTGCTGTCCTGAGCATTATTTGTGGCTATAGAGTGTCGTTTTGGTTGAAGTTTGTCTATGGCTCCTCAGAACACTGTGTATTGCTAAGGTGCGGTCGTTACTAAAGTTAGTATAACTAGAGAAGCAAGTGGTCGGCAACATTCATCTCTCTAGGAGGTGTCAAACTCTGTGTTATGGTGTGTTTGACCCTAAATTAATTTTATGCCGGAATATCCCTTTAAGTATATTCAAAGCTGCAGGAAAACACTAAGTTTGTGAACAGAAATTCAGTCTGATTAATGAATATAAAACAGGATTCTCAAATTTAAAGAGCGCTGCTCATGATACTGACTGGTTTGTGTAGACGTCCTGCCACATATAAGGTCTTCCAGTGCATCAGGTCGTTTATCAGAGCGTCAGTACTTATCACACCGTATTTAATAATCTGTAAGGAAAAGAAAAGAAAAGGTTGTTTTGGCATAACAATTATACAATTTAGCTTCACACATTGACTAGTTAAAGATGCAGAAGTCATTTACCCTCCCGTCCACCGGCACCAGTGTGTTATAGTACACTGAAGCCCCGTGTTCATGTTGAACATTGCTGATCATCGTGGGTCCCAGCAGCTTGAGGATGGAGTAGTGTTTGCGATTCTGCAGGAGGTTCATGGTGTGCCATGTCACTGGGTCGTCCACAGCAAACACGAAGTCCAGCATGTTTTTCTGTGAACAAAAATGATCAAAACAAACAAGAATCATGAATTAGAGAGTCACTGTGCTACATGTGATGAGAAGGGGGTAATCTAGTCTTCACTTTAGGATTATTAGTCTCTGTTTACTTAAGATTTACCCTGATGTTACTGTAAAATAATCATATGAAGTGTAAATCTTGTTATTGTAACTCTCAGACTTTAGAAACTTCCTTACCTCCATCTGACCTTGGCTGGTCCCCTGTTGTTTGAAAACACCTGATCCATACGCGAAAGCCAGACTGATATCCTGAGGAAACTGAGACAGGATCCGTCTGTAGAGCACGCCAGTGTTGTGCAGAGCTGGAAGACTCATTTTGTCCTGAACCACCGACGACAGCTTTCCAAGAACCGCTCACGTTTGTTTGTCACCGGGTTAACGTCAAATCCGAGACAACAGTAGCATAAAGTTGTTTGTACATTTTGGACCGACAGCCCTAAAGCCAATAAACTGTTTTATAAACACTGGAAAGTATTTAAAATGAGCAAACTTATCGTACAAGTACAATATTCAGGTCAGTGCGGGTCAGCTGTATGTTTGACAGTCGACTACAATTTGCGTCATCAAGTCCGTTGCAGAGTGGAGGCTCATGGGAAATGGAGTCAAACATGCCTAACGGTGAAACTGCCGCCAAAAAGGGTAAATAAGCTAATATTTTATACCGTCTTCGGTTTTTATGTGTGTCTGTCTTCGAATACTGTAGTTGAGCTGAGTTTGCGGCGATTTAGACATCCAGGGGATAATGAAGCGTTAAAGTACAGCTCTGAATTTAGCCAGCAGAGGGTGGTTTTTGACCAAGGTTTGCAAGATGGTGGCACTAGTCTCTGCTTGGAGAGGTGGGCAAACATATTTCAGAAGTAAGTAACCTGCATCGACAGAAAGCAAGAGTTTACAGTACAAATGTCCAATCAACAGCAAATACATTTCAAACTTGAATCAATGTCCTCAAATGTTCAAGGAATGTTTTAAAACTCACAGCTTTGCTTTATTATGCAGTGACATGAAGCTGTGTAACATGCAAACCAAAGAAATTTCAGGTTTAACAGCAATTTATGGTTATGTAAGCTTTAACACTGAAGTCAATTCATATATTTCTGTTAACTATTACAGTTAACTGTCTCTAAGTTGAGCTAAAAAATTGTGTTTATAGAATTCAGACAGAGAACTATTCACAAAGTGTTGACAGGTTCATAGGCCTATTTACATATTTACAAGTTTAAATGCTTTTCTCTGCATCTGTTTGTTAGGGTTAGCAGATTAAGCAGAATGTGATTCAGAGGTTCATTTACATTTATTTTGATTGGTAAATGTTGTGACATGTGATCAGGGTTGTCCAGGGTGTTAAGTTTTTTGGTTATGTGGGGGGGATGATAAGATGGCTGAAGAGTAAAAGTGCTGCTAAGACAGTTATCTGTCTCCGTCCTGCTGTTTCTCATCATTAGATCACCTTACATCGAACCTTCATGTGACAGTTGTTTTGTTTTTGTGAAATGATGGAGTAAGCTAAGAAGTCAGGACTGGTCCATTTGATTAGTTATTTCAATTTTTGTGGTGCTAGGATTTTTATTATGTCACCCGCTGTGAGATATGTCAGTATGAAATTGCCCTGCCATGACAATGATTTTTCTCCTGTCAGGCTCCAGAATTGCACATATGCAAACAGTGTTTTGAACCCTAACTATCCTATGGAAGACAAGTCTAAATGTAAATGTAGGCATACTGTTTGTTCAATTATTCAGTAAGACAGACCACACCATCCTGCTTTTGGCAGCCTCACTTAAGTTAAAACTGAGTGCATACTCCGAACAAACTGTGAACCTAAGATTTATCTTGACTGTGAAGATCAGCCAGAAAGGCTTAATGGTCACCATTAGTCTTTGTGCATGAGTCCCTGGTCTCCCAGGCCTGATTCTCACATTTATTTGACTGAATGAATATTGGATGTAGATTAATGAAAGTTAAAAATAAGTCTGTGGCTCATTAAAGAATTGTCAGGAGCAGGGCAAATATTATCTTCTGTGTAATTGTCATGAGCCGTCCTCTCAACCAAATGAATATTGATAGGAGCACCAAACCCTGAATGACATGCTCACTCATTCTGTTTAAGTGCCTTACATCAGGGACAGCGAAGTACCAGATGAGTAAAAGTCAGGGGTAATATCATTTTTACATCCTGTGTTGTACGTATGTGTTAAATAAATGAGTATGATCATGACCTTAGAGATGCACATTAGTATACTGTATATGGGCTCTGCCAGCCTGCAGCTATTTCCTTCTTCTTTGGTTATGTAGGCCTAATTACTGAGTCTGTGTAACCTTGGGAATTTATAGCATCATTCCCTTTAAGGTTCATTAAGCTGTAAATGCATATGGTTGAACTGTCCTCATTCAGTATAAAATAAGAGCAGCTTTGGTGTATTTTTTTTTTTTTTTGATGTAACCTTAAATCTTTTTTTCCTGCCACTTAGAGGGAACACCCTGAAAGAACTACATGAATTCAATGCAGTTATTTGGAGTTTTGTGGTATCTCAAGGGCTTTTAAGTCCAGTGTGTCTCTCCTGTTTGTTATAGTCTAGTCTCCTCTGACTCAAAAGGAAATATCGACGTAGCATGCTCTCCATTTAGCCTCAGACTTTGTGTTTCTCATTTTGTGCATGGCAGGCAGTAAAAAAAAAACAGGTCAAACCAAGGCTGATAGTGGCTGGTAAGTTGAAATTCACAAGTACAGTGCGCTTTTTCAACACTTTGCACTTGACACACTTGAAACACTCCATCGTAATTTCTGTTGAATAACTTTTTAATGTAGTTTAGAAACTGCAAAAACTTCAAGGTTAATTTAAGAACTTATTAGCAAACAGTATCACATTTGGATTGCTACCAGAATGAGAGTCACATTGGCATCCATTTGCAGTTGTGTTTTTGCAGAATGGCAATTGTAAGTTGGACAGTCCCCCTCTCTTGGCTTCTTATTTTGTTTATAGCAACTGTTGAGCAGAGTATCCAGCTCTTTAACTGCAAAGTGCCGCATTATGCTCCCTTGCTTGTGGCAAACTGTGTATTGTACTGGTTTTAAAGAGCCTTTTCCCACAAAACAGATGCCTGCTGGGACTGAAAACAACACTTTAAGGACACTAAGGGTGAACTATGCCAGTTCAGGAAGAGGGCAGATAAACAATAGGCCGACACTGGGTATAGGGATCTGCAGGGGGACAGGGAAAGGTGAACAGAAATGATAATAATCTGTAGATGCTGCACATCACTACATGCAACCTCTGTACTATGGTTTTTATATTGCTATTTGCTACAGTCTTGATTTCCTGAATTTTATAGACACTCTGCAGCAGTGAACCTATACAGATAAGGGGGTGGTAAACTGTAGAAGATGAGCGCTGTTTTCATTGATTGTTCAGCTGTTTGAGTCCTTTCTCATCTGCTTTTCAACAGCTTATAGAAAACGAGAGGACAGGAACAAATGCTTATAAGAAATGAACCGCTCTCAAGCCAGTGAGATTCCTTCCATCACACCTCAATCTTTCCTCACAGTGTTTGTGTGGGCCAGTGTGAAAATGAGAGAAGTTGCTGCATGCCGGGGATGGAAGTGGAGTCAATGTTTCATAACTTTTTCTTGGAACAAGAGTAAATGATTAAATGAAATCGATAGGTGGAGTGATTGTGCATTGATTTTCTCATTTAAAGCGTTTAAGCCTGTGTACACATCCAGCATACAAGTCTGATATTGGCACCTGATGAACAGCTTACTGTACCTCACACTGGGTTGCAGCGGTTGCTCTGAGAAAAATGAAGATGAATGTCTTGGCAGGTGCCCGGACTATAGTTCAGTTAACTTCACTGAAAACATAAATATCCATCAATCTTTTGGTGCACAGGTCTAACAGGCTTGTCTCATACGAGGAAACTCCAGATTCTCATAGATTATTCAGATCCTAGTAAACAGTGTAACTCAGATTGATGGTTATGCACATTCCTGCATTCCTAAACAGACCCGGCATGCCACTTCAAACACAGATACAAACATGCATGCTCACACACATGCACAAACTAGCGGGAGCTTTTCAGCTTTTGCACGCCTGTTGCCATGGCAATTGCCATTGCTGCCCATGCCTAGTGAACGAACATCAAACGAAAACGCACCATTAACCACACAAACACACACACACACACGTATGTCGGTATCACTGCACAGTTGCTTCAGGCTCTAACAGGAGGAGATGAGCAGAAGCAGGACTCTTATCTGACTCACTGACAGGTTACAGTGTCACAAAACAGGGAGGATCTGACTTGAAGATGAAAAACCAAAATTTAAGAGCACTTTAGAGGTAAATCAACACCGATTTGCACCTTGAGTGTAAACATTAAGAATCGTGCGCACAACTGACTGCAGAATTTTGGCAATTTCACCTTCAGTTTGTAATAACTTTGCTTTATTTGTATATAAAGGGAAAACAAGGAGTACTCCTACAATGACTATCTGGACTACATACTGTATATACACATAGACAGTGATGTACATATATTTCCTCCTCCCACATATTGCAGGTGTTTTTTTTTCTCATATCAAATCATCTGCAGTTGATTGCATGAACACATATGCGCATTTACCGGTAATGAAAGTACATTTCATTTTCATTGTAAGTCTTAGATTAAGTGTGTCCACTCCAGCTCCTCCTGCCCCTTTTGTTTGAGTGTCCATGAGCGAGTCCTGTACCTAAATTTACCCCAGCTTGCCAGTGCCCTGCCAGGAACTTTTGATGCCACTGGCATTTTTTTTGTGTGTGTCAGGTCAAGTCATTTTTATTTGTTTAAATCTTCATATCAGGACTGACAGACACGCAAAATATTTTGTAGATAAAGGAAGGACAATGGAAGATTCACTGATTATAAATGTTGATACACTCAACGGATGTATGTAGATTGTAGAAACATAGTGTTCCTTCAGAGGGATGTCAGCATAGGAAGTGCCCGAGCCTTACGACAATGTCCCTTTGTGTGTAACAAGACATGCACATGAACACTGGTGATGCAGGGAAAGCATTTACACAGGGTAGATGAAGACAGAGAAGGAGAAAGAGACAGGTGAGGAAACACACCATACAATCCAAACACACCATGCAGATAATTAATAATTTGGATGTCCTAAATCAATATTCACCTATAGACGGGATTTAGTTGGAACATGTAAATCAGTATGTTTAGTTATGTAAATATGTGTTTGTGGTGAAGTAGGTATGCAAAGAGTACGGTGACAGGCAAATACAGATTAACCACCAAAAAATGGAAAAGCTTTGCTGGTATATCAGGTCTCTTTCCTGGGAGAGACATTCAAGCTTACCTCATTTCTTAGACACACTTCTGTCAGTCAGACCCCCCTCTGTCCAACACACAGCAAAATCCTATCATGTAAAGTAAATATTCTGTTGAATATTCTTCTGATTTTAATCCCCCCTTTTTATGCACAGCTGAGTCTAGTCCACAGTATAGACTAAATTATAGAGTCGGCTGTTCAAAGTGACTATAATCCAGTCCAGACAACAAGGACTTTTGTCCCACCCT